ATATTACCTATTCGGATAGCACTACCATAAACGATTTGCTATTTCTGAAATAGAAGCAATACGTACAAAAACTTTTTTCCACAAACAGTTGTTGCTTTTTCCTTTTTTATTAGTTTCTTAACTTGAAGTTACCTTTTGAAACTACTGTGCTATCTGAGTATTAATAATTAAATATAAGAAATATTTGTTGTTAGTACTTATCAGTGAATAATAATACTTCATTTATGATTATCTTATGGTTTGTGGATTGTTTATCTTTTTTTTTTAGTGGGAAAAATAAATGCATTTATAGGAAAAAGTAGTTTTATTCAACCATTTACCTCCAGATTCTAAAGTAGCTCGAACGTCACGGTTTGATTAGCGACAGGCAGTCTTGTTATTCAAAAATTCAAATTGCCCGCCATTCGCCTGCCATCTGTCGCCCGTGCTGCTACTTCAAACAGATTGTCAACAGTGTCAAGCGACTTCGAGGTTTTAGACTGCTTCGAGTGCACATCGTGCTGACTGCGATGACGAAGAAGCCGACATGGACGTGGACAGCCTTGCACGATGTCAAAAAACGACAATGTCACTTTTCAAGTTACGTAATGTCTCAGTCTGTCAGTTGAGTGACACGTGAATCGATTACACGGATTCGAATTTCTTGAAAACACTCTCCAACGTATCGATTCGATATTCGATCTTTTCGACGTGCCTGCAAAGTCAGTCTTTCAGGGTTGTCATATTGGGGGATTTTTCTCCGTATTTGAGAGATTTTTACTACCGGTAGTCAGCGTATAAATATCGAAAGTCTTGTTTCAAAAAAAATATATTTATTTTGAGGAAAATATCTGTGAAACGATATGAAGTCGTGTTTTTTTTCTTAGTGTTCGGCTCAACAGGTGAGGATGTTTTGGGGGAAAACACAACCTCTGGGTATTTTTTGGGGGATTTTATTCCATTTTTAGCCACGCAAAATTTTCCACTTCTGAATAATTTTATCTTTCTGTAGCTTTTCCTTTCATCTTGTTGGTAGACCTGTAACCATAGCCATAGAACGAAAAACGCAGAATAGTAAGATGTGAACCAGTCGGTAGACCTAGCGACCTATTCTTATCTTACACGTGTTCCAGGAGAGAGTGAAAGAGCTTATTCACTGAATCATAACCACAACGTCAAATAATGACAGTGACGCACATGGTTGCCACATTAATTAAAACTACTAGATCCTAGGACGTTTTACAAAATCTACTTTGTGTCTTCGATGACTTACCGCAACCAACATTTCGGAGCGTAAGTTTTGTAAACGCTAGAGCTGGTATAAATACTATTTACTATCTAATACCTCTCTTACGGACTGTAAAGGAAATAATGGAGCTCCATGATCTCGTTCGGTCTCAAAATATTTCGTCAAAGGAACGACGAAATATTTTGCTTGTCGACCCAGAGGTTTCGCCATTTTAGCAAAATGATTAAAAGGACACCTCGAAGTTTTGGAAAAAACTGTTTTTATAAAATAGCAATACAAATATTGGGACCAGAAAAACGAAAACAAAAGCCGTTGGTGTAATTGCCTGACAAACTTTGCGACAATGTCACAACACAGAAAACTGTTACCAACATAAATGTTCCCGGAAATTCAAACTACGTACCAATATTTAGGATCTATTTTGCATTAAGGTTGGCATTCAAATTACTAAATATGACGTAACTGTTTTGTTTCAGTGAATAAACTATAGATGATGACTCCTGTTCGCGATGTTGCACCGATCTGTTCGTCTTTTGCGTTCATGCGCAAGTGCGGCAAAAAAAGTATTTCAACACTTAATACGACGCTCACTGGGTATTTACATTACGAAAAATCTGACAATTCCCTTTTCAAAAACCATGTAAATCTCCCAGGGAGGGTTCTAAAAGCCTAGGAATATTACGAATAACTTCTGTTCTTTCATTAAGTTATTCTTCTCTTCCCAATTATGCCACGTGATGTGGGGAATTCTTATAAAAAATTGCAGTTCTGGGGAAATGTCTGACGCATTCGGCAACGCTGCAGTCTATGACGCTATGCTACGGTTTTATGTGTTTTGTGATGTGATGTCAGTTTTATGTGTTTTGTGATGTGAAGTCAGTTTTATGTGTTTTGTGATGTGACGTCAGTTTTATGTGTTTTGTGATGTGAGGTTAGGACTTAACCTAACCTTGACGCCCAGATTTTTGTTTGTTGTGTCTAGCAACCACCGGCTGTTGACGCTATTGGGCTGTAGAAAAGGCTGACGCCTTCTTGGACCCGACCCCTGTGGTAATTCTATTAACATCAAGACATGGAAAACAGACAGGACTGATCAGCATTTAAAGGCTATGCTAAATAGCCCTGCTCGTTTCACACCAGCTGTGCCTGTTCCAGATTGGAGTTTGGCGCCCAACGTACAGCCCACAGTAAGTTGAATTCTAGCATGGAACACAGTATATTAATATGAATTGGTACTCGATACTCTTTTTCCAGGTTCCATTTGTAAGAGAGCCCCATCCCACCTCAAACTTGACCGTTCCTACCCCCGGTTCAGCTGGAGAACACACTACAATAACAGTTCAGTAAGTTTTGACAAATTATATTCACATACAAGAATCGCATCCTTTCTGGTCTAGTAGTTTTTAAAACTCCCTTTCTGTTTATTCTTTCACATTTATATTATATCTGCATAACATAACTTCTGATTTTGGAGAACTGTATTGTATAAAAAAGTAGGTAGTTAGATAGAAAAATAAAGGACTCCAAAGGCTACTGTTTCTAGAGGTTTTATATCATTTTTCATGCATAACATCGAACTATCTTAATTTAGCTGAAAATAAATAATATATAAAACACAATTTGTAAATCAAGCTTTTATTTAGCTGTTCAAAAAATGTACAAGTAATTTAAAAATAATTTTTCGATTGGAAATATTAAAGCAATAATGAAGCTCCTTCATCTCATGTTTTCAAATAAAAACGCGTTACAAGCTTTTTATGGCGTGAAAATCTTCTCCGTTGAGTTTCATTTTTCTAACGACTCGGTACGACACTGCACGTATTGTTGTGAAACTTTGAATTTAAGTTTAGTAAAGAGTGAGGTTAAGATTCAGTACTGACGTTCGATCCGCGCGGCCTACTATGTTTCTATATGCAAAACTTAAAAGACATCCCTCGTATCAAAACATAACTTTATTTGCCCTGAACCGTTATTCCTCTCTTGGTATACATCCTCTTCGGTTAAAGAAAATTATTCTCTTTACAGCAACTGTGTTGCAACAGTAGACTTGCACACGAAACTAAACTTGAGCATAATAAATGCAAGGACAAGAAACTCTGAATATAACCCCTCCAGATTTCATGGAGTCGTAATGAGGCTGAGGGAACCCAGAACGACTGCACTGGTTTTTCAATCGGGCAAAATAGTGTGCACGGGTTCGAGAAACGAACCTGACGCCCTTTTAGCGGCGAAAAAGTTTGCAAAAATCATACAAAGGCTAGGTTTCAATGTAAGTACGGTATTATTTGAAAACTTTGTGTCATAGTTTCAATACGTTTGTCTGTTAATTTTCAATGGCTGAATTACTATATTTTACTAGTCCTGTGCAATGGCTCAGGGTTGAAGTATCGTACTTCTTTATGGATCAAAAAACACATTACAACTGGTAACCTTAAAAAGAGGTGTTAATATAGTATTTAATTAGCTATGAAATTGTACTGTTAGTGTCAAAAATGGCTGCCATTTCGTTGGAGAATGTGGTGTGTGCGTGCCTGGTGTTTTTAGCAGTATTTATATTGAAAATGTAAATGATGGAGAATCTATTAGCCGGAAGGAATGCCTAGCATAATTAAATATTTTTACCATTTATTGTACACATTGATATACAGGGTTCGTCCGGAAAGTAATAGGACTGAGTCGATTTAAAAAAAATTATTGAGCCATATTGTTGACCATATCGGAATATTAATTTTTTCTAATTTTTTATCGTCAGTCGTTCCTCGCCTTTATGGCCTCCTTGATTTTCACAAATTTTCCTGACTCAGAAAGGCAGGGGTATTTCTTTATCTGCTGTTCCGTGCCAGCGCTATATTTTGAGGTTATATTACAAGTATCTATTTGCATAAAACTGTTCGTGCTTTTGATTTTCACCATCAGCCTGATATTTCCTACATTTCAAAAAGGAAACATAACCTCACAATAGGAGAGCGCTGACTCGGAACAGTAGAAACCTAGAAATACCCTTGCCTTTCTGAAGGACAGAAAAAACTATGAAAATCAAGAACACCCTGAAAACGACTGACGATACGGCCCCAAAACACCTTTTAACGTTATGCTAGGAGAATTTAGATGCCGAAATTATCGTCTTCGACACTGACAGGAGACTTTCATAGCTCATTGTTATGCTGTTAAGCTATGGTAGCCTTCTGTATTGGAAACACAGCATATTAACTCTTGTTTGATGTGACAATGTTAAGCCAATGTCAGCTGAATTTTCCCCCCAGTTTTCCAAGTTACCAGTTGTATTTTGCTCCATATATTCTTGGTCGCAATATAATAAACGTAAACTGCATATTTTTCAGGTGCAGTTTGCAAATTTTAAAATACAAAATCTGGTTTCAACGTGTGATTTACGATTTCCTATAAAATTAGAAAATTTAAACATGATGCACGGACAATTTAGCAGGTATGAATAATATTGTTAGCATTTTTTTTTGTCAGCTATATCACATTGTATGGAAGTGTTATTAATTTGACTCAATGTTTCTTTCAGTTATGAGCCTGAATTGTTTCCTGGTTTGGTGTATAGAATGCTGAAACCCAGAATGGCATTATTGATTTTGTGAATGGAAAAATTGTGTTTACTGGAGGTAAATCACGACAAGAACTGAAAGAAGCTTTAGATAATATTTATCCAATTCTGAAAAGTTTTAAGAAAAACTGATATATTGCCTTTTTTGTTATGTTGATACCATGTTTTCAGATGTATTGTTATTATTTTCAATAAAATACTACAATTTTCATTCGTAACTCTTTTTTAGAATAAATTAAATTTAACACCGTGTATATTACAGTTTTTTCAAATATATCTGTTTTTACATTTTACTGCGAGCTAATAACATTTCGACTAAGTCGGCTGCTTCATTGGCACATCCAATAGACAGCGTGATTCCAGCACCACCATGTCCGTAGTTGTGCACAACTCTCAAAAATTTATCTTGCCTTTGAAGTGTCTCCGCCTCAACTCGTACCCTAGTCCTGGAAGGTCTCAATCCAACGACCTCTTTAAGTATTTCTGCAGTCTTCAGTGATGGTATTATCGTCTGGCACGTGCTGTAAAAGAATAACAAGCGTCATAGTAGTACCGTAATATTGCACACAACAATTTTACATTACGTAATTGACGTCTACTTTCCATGTAACACACAATGTTTCGGCCTATTTGACTGACTTGATCCGTTTAATTCCTCTGTTATACATGTTCGTGCTGTATTTTTCTCGAGTATGAAAGACTGCTAAATGTAATGATAAGCAGCATAACCCAAACAAACAACTGTGCCACCAACAAATTCAAATATGTTGTAGATGTCCCATAGTAGTACATGTTTACGGTATAGCTTTGCGAAAAATCAGGGGACTGCTCAAAACAAAAACAAAAAATTCGCAAGACCCAATCGAAAAATTGTGACACTAACAAACTCATACATGTTCCAGAGACGAATAGTTTTTCATATTGGAAATTGCCCTCTATCACCCTCCATGGGACATCCTGTACTTCCCAGATTGTATACAAAGTTATACTCTTATGGGACCTCTGCAAGATATATGAGTTTGCTGGTGGCACACTTCCTCAATATTCAACAAACTATGTTGAATGTCTAGTGTGTCTAGGGTCGTATCGTCAACAATTGTAAGGACGCTTTTATAGCCTCCTTGATTTCCATAGTTTTTCCTATCCTTCAGAAAGGCAGGGCTATTTCTTCTGGATTTCTACTGTTCCGTGTCAGCGCTCTATTTTGAGGTTATGTTGCCTTTGTGAATTCTAAGAAATTTCAGGCTGATAAAAATTGAATTTTATCATCTGTTTTATCAGCCCAAAATTACTTAAGATACAAAAAGAAAACATAACCTCTCAATAGGAGAGCGCTGACGCTGTCACGGAACAGCACAAACCTAGAAATACCGCAGCCTTTCTGAAGGAGAGAACAGACTACGAAAATCAAGGACACGGCCCTTAGTATCTTACCTCTGAATGTGTTGGCGATCAGTGTTACTGATATTCGTATTGTAATCGATTTGTTTAGTTCCGCCAAGAGTTGTAAGCTCTATATTTGGTATGATATAGCTGCATCTATTGTGGCAATCTATGATGTAAATGCCGTTTTGCCATGGAGCTTTGACCTTCATTACCTGTCCTCGGACTGGTTTCATCTCATTGTCACCTAAAAAATAAATTATATAAAACGGAATGCCAGGTTTCGTCACAAAGAACAGACATATACACACCGTACCCAACATAAGTATGGAAGTTAGGAAATATGTGTTCAGTTTATGTTTTATTGGCCATAATATCTTGTCGTGTTCATAAAGGCACTTAAATGAACCGAACTTAATTTATTATAATCTAACTCAATATAGTATGGCTTAATATAACTTAACCTAAGGATGTGAGCATTTCCCATACCGCTTAGGTTATGTTCGCTTGTTTTGAGATACCTTATGTTCGGTTATAAACGCATGATTGCACTTGTATCCAATGGCGATGTTGGCCATGACCTGCAAGGTCATTTGAAGGTGTACTCCTTTTTTAATGAGACCTTATGTTTTTGACCGCAAAAATGGAGAAATTTTATGTTCTAATATGTCTTTTTTGGAGCTAGACCTTGGGCTTGACCGTCAAGGTCAAACACAAGTTTACCTTGATTTCTTGATAAATCAGAAAACAGGGTAATCCCCAGAAAAACTGACTTCGCTGTTCTTTTAGGATTGTTCTCTGGCTACAAAAATCAATTTGACCTTTACATGAACTTGGAGGTCATCATTGTAAAGGTTAGATCCTTGATCATAATCTTATATACTACTGGTTTTTAAACTATATCACCGTACTTGGGTTTGACCTTGACCATGACCTCCTAAGGTCAAAGTTTAAGAATGGCCAAGAGCATATTTGAACGTGAAATTTTCCGCTCTCTTAATTCACAGGGTCAAAAGTAAGGTGTTTTATTTAAAAAGCGACTTTTGAGCTTCAAATGACATTGAAGGTAATGGTCAACGTCATCATTAAATAGCTGGGGAAGACTTCTATCAATCTTTCATACCATTATTATTGTACATGTATCCAAGGATCTGACTATGGCCATGACCACAATGTCATTCAAAGGTCAACTCCTTTTTTAATGGGACCCTATTCTTTTGACCGCGAAAATATAGAAAAGGAAAAATTTTACCTTCTATTATGCCCCTGACTATTTTTCGAAGTATACCTTGGACTTGACCGTCAAGGTCAAAATATAGGTTTACCTTCATTTCTTGATAAATCGGAAAACAGGATAATCCCCAGAAAAACTGACTTCGCTGTTCTTTTAGGATTGTTCCCTGACTACAAAAATCGACTTGACATTCACATGACCTTGGAGGTCATCATTGTTAAGGTTAGATCCAAGGTCACCATTTGATCATGAAAATAAAGTTTTATATACTACCGGTTTTTAAGCTATATCACCGTACCTGGGTTTGACCTTGACCTCCTAAGGTCAAGCTTTAAGAATGGCCAAGAGCATATGTGAACGTGAAATTTTCCGCTCTTTTCATTTACGGAGTCAAAAGTGAGGTGTTTAATTTAAAAAAAGCGACTTGAGCTTCAAATGACCTTGAAGGTAACGTCAGATCCTAAGTCATCATTAAATAGCTGGGGAAGACCTCTATCAATCTTTTATAGTATTATTATTGTACATGTATCCAAGGATCTGACCATGCCCATGACGACAATGTCATTTAAAGGTCAACTCGTTTTTTAACGGGACCCTATTCTTTTGACCCTGGAAATATAGAAAAGGAAAAATTTCATCTTCTATTATGTCCCTGACCATTTGACTTGACCGTCAAGGTCAAACACAAGTTTACCTTAATTTCTTGATAAATCAGAAAACAGGGTAATCCCCAGAAAAACTGTCTTCGCTGTTCTTTCCGGATTGTTCTCTGGCTACAAAAATCAACTTGACCTCCACACGACCCTGGAGGGCATCATTGTTAAGGTCAGATTCAAGGCCACCTTTTCATCACGAAAATAAGGCCTCGACAGCTTTCCTGCACGACTACCGATTTTCAAGTTATATCACCGTACCTCGGTTTAACCTTGACCATGACCTCCAAAGGTCAAAATTCAAAAATGGTTACCACCATATTTGAGCGTTAAATTTTTCGCTCTTTTCAGTTACGGGGTCAAAAATAGTGGGTTACAAAATAAATCTATTTGACTTTCAAATGACCTTGAAGGCGGTCAACGTCAAATCCAAGGTCACCATTAGACAACTGTGGAAAACTCTTATCAATCTTTCATACCAATTATCGTGGGATTCCGGACCTTTCCGGACACTGTATTGCTCACTCAAATGATCCATTACATACTCACAAACGAGATCCTTAGATGCCAGTCCGGTACAGTTCACTACTACGTCATATTCCGAGAGCTCCCACAAATCCTGAATATCTCTTCTCACAATGGTACCTCCTCCGTCGATGAACAATTCAGAAAAATAAGGAATGAACCTGGATGCTTCCCATGTAAAGCTTACGAAGTGAAACCCTCCAGTGAGTTTCTGATTGTACCTTTTGCTAAATTGTTCTATCTGCTGCCGCGGGAGCTCTGTATAACCTAGAGTTATTTTCAGCCAGCTTGGGGTAGTAAAAGTACTTGTGTCAGTAATGTACGTTACCGGTTGAAGCGTTATTCCCAACTTTTCAGCTAGAATGAAAATAGAACTGTCGTATTCTTGCTATTGCAACCTACTGAATTTTAATAAACAGCTAGCTACGAATATACATATTAATTGTATGGGCCTATTTGACTGACTTGATCCGTTTAGTGCCGACGTAATGTGTAACCGCATAATCAGTCCTAACTTTGAGTCAAATTGTAGAACTGGTGCTACCTTGATTCCAATTTGCAATGAGGTATTGATACGTCTCGCCGGCCCAACGAGTCGTTTTTTCTTCGGGTGTCAACTCCAACAAATACGGCTCCCACAATCCAGCTGCTACGTCACTGGTCAAGTTAGGACTGAAATCCTTCGAGAAAATCGTCACGTCCACTTTGCTCTTCAATCTTTCCTGTATCTTCAAAGCGGTGGTAATACCGATTGCACCGCAGCCTATTATTGCAATTTTAGATTTTGTCATCTGGAAATTGTGAAAAGACGCAGTAGTAACAGGCGTTCAAAGAATTTAAGGTGGTGCTGGTAGATACCGGGGTTAAAACTAGACACAGCTCGAGGTAAAGCGTAGAGAACACGTCATTTGTAACGCATGGGGCTCTCCCTGCTCGTTTTTTGAAGGTTTATTTGCCAAAAATGGGGATAAAAATGGTTTATTATTTTTTCATCAAGGCATTGTAATGCTAGGAGAATGGACCTATCCCCCTTTTTATAGCCAGAGGACACTCGCAGATTAATTTTTTCAACAAGAAAATCGCTAACAATCTGACAATACACTATTTACCTTGATAATTAACGTTAATAACAAAGTATTAAAACAAGCAGAGTGCAAAACCATAAAATCTGTTTTTGGTCAGTTCCAGATCTTAACAAAATTAGTTACTCATTTACTCATTCTGAAAATGTGAAATGCTCATTGGCAGTCATCTTCAATATACAGGGTGTCCGCAAAGTTGGGGTTTTCCTTTTCAGAAACAACTACCCTTGAAATGACAAATGTGTAGTGAAACGAGGGCGACCAAGTAAAAAAAAAATAAAGGAAAAAGTACTCACTCTCCAGTTGACGACAAGGGCTAAGTACGTCTCTGCCCGAAATCTTACCGCTCCAACAGAAAATGAAATCAGCTGATGCGCTACCGAGCAGACGCAGGCAAACAAGGAAGGCAAAATGTTGCGTAAAAAGTCTAGGCGTGCGGATTTTCTACTGACCAAACATGAGTGTTATTCACCCCATTACGCGTGAACATAGATTCGTCTGTCATCAATATGCACTTCAAAAAGTCCGGATTATTGTCATTTTGATGCAACAACCACTCACAAAACCGCACTCTTGCTGGAAAATCGTCAGGTTGAAGGGCTTGTACACGTTGGACGTGAAACGGATACGGCCCCTCTTCACGCAGCGTTTGCCACACTTTAGTTTTTGATGAGGGATTCTCGTCTACGCGATTACCTCTACACGCGTGACCGTAACCATCAGTTGAAGGTTGCATACTGACCTGACACACTGACCCCGACCCAGTTCTGTCGTCGGGTTGAGCTAGTGTCCTAGTACCACTCGGGGATGTCGCGGCTACAGGGCGGTATTCAGATATTTTTGATGTTGCAGAGCCCTTTATCTCGGTTCCCTTAAGACATTGGTGTATATGGTACTAAGAAAAATTGCTTATGTTTTCAAGATCTACACGTCGTGTAAAGGAAAACCCCAACTTTGTATATTACAAAATATGAAGTCTATTGCATCGTCAGATCATTGTAATATATCGTATGAAACAGGTTCAAATTGTGACAACAAACTTAGTAGTAAACGCTTTACGGCTTGATATTTTAAGCTCACCTTCATAAATACACTGAGTGCTGCTAATATTCAAGAACAGTGTTGATATAATATGGCTTTACGATTAAAACGAATTTAGTAATAAACCAACAGCGTTTACTCTTCTGCTATCAAGGCTCCGATAATAGATGTTGTTAATATGCAAGTTCGATATGACCTAAAAAAACTATTCCGTAAAAATACGAAATCAGGAACATGTAAACTGGATTATTCATTTTGTGGAACCGTTACTGCGGTCTAGTCGATTTTCTCTATTATAATGATGCGCTTTTCAAACAGTTTCCCATAATTGTTTTTTAAACAGCTTGTGCTAGCAAGCTGGAATTAAAGATGATGACCCGTAAGCATGGCGTAAAAATAGGCTAGGCGTCCTCTTAGAATAAAGACAGAATAGAGGTTTATGTGATATCTAAAGGTCTACGGTACTGTCAATCAATATGATGCGAACATTGACGTCGCTAAAGTCTAATAGATCATATGGTTCTTCAAAGTGTTTTTGGTTAACCGAGACCCAACCTTTTCTAGAATTTCGGCTACATCCGTGTAGTGTTTTTATTTGTAAGCTGCTATCATATTTTAGTACGTAATACGAAACAAAAAAATAATAACGTGTTGGACACCCTAGCAGCTGAATACACTCCTGTATACGACTGGGCATCGACAAAATGAGATGATCGATGCCTGGTTGTGGCACCTCATTCCTAGCAACTCGAACTTCGTGGATGCTACGAAAAAAATCCAAAGGTTCGAATGTGGCGATACAGTGTTCGCACAGTAATATATCTACTTTCTTCTCCAAACCATTGCCAGCGATCTGACGCGTAGTAGCGTACGGCTAGTACTCCTATACTAAGTGACATATAAATCCGAACACCCAGTTTAAATGGTTTTATTTTAATAAAATTTTGTATAAGTACTTAATGAAGCATAATAAGTAAATGATAAAAATTTCAAAATGATTGCACTGCTTTAAAGCCCTTTGACCTTTAATAATGTGTGGATGCACCCTGATGTGCTACGCATTCTCCAACGCGCCTAGGCATGCTGCTGATCAGGTGGTCAATGTCCTCGTGTGGTATCTCATTCCAGGCAACCACCAACTCCTCTCGAAGTGCTTCTAGAGTCTGAGGAGGACGTTGCAAATTGAGCAATCTCCTACCCATCATATCCCGCACGTGCTCAATTGGGGATAAGTCGGGAGATCTTGGTGGCCATGGTAACAATGTGACATCATTATGTTGAAAGAAGTCTATTGTGACTCTTGCAACATGTGGTCGGGCATTATCTTGTTGGAAAGTTGGATCTGCCAGGGTGTCAAGATACGGTAAAAGATGGGGTTCTAGAACTTCGTCGATATAACGCTGCGCGTTCATGTTACCTCTGATGAAGATTAAAGGTGACCTGGAACCATAAGCTATAGCACCCCAAACCATAACTCCAACAGTGTGATGAACATGTCTTTCAACAAAAAACTGTGGATTCCTCCTTTCACCACGTCGCCTTCTAACCCTGGCACGACCATCGTGCATGCCTAAACAAAATCGAGACTCGTCACTAAAGACAATACTGTTCCATTCCTGATCCCAGAGTGACCGTTGTCTGCACCACTCACGGCGATTACGTCGGTGTTCTCGAGTTAAAGGGAGGACCCAGTGTGGCCGGTATGAAAACAAGCCAAAACTTCTCATTCGTCGGTAAACACTTCGCATGCCAATAGGTCTTCCGTGTTCTGCAAACCATTCATTTGCAATGGACCTGGTAGTGGAGAAACGGTCCCTTAAGGCCAATAATCTTAGGCGGCGATCTTCACGGTCTGTTGTTCTACGGCGGCGTCCAGTGCCCCTTGCTCTTTGCGTACGGCCTTCTCGAAGCCATGCCTGACAACACCTAACCACAGTGTCTACACTTCTTTGCACTCTAACTGCAATTGCCCGAAAAGAAAGTCCAGCTTCCCGAAGTCCCACTATACGGCCCCTATCAAACTCACTTAGTTGACGAAATCGTACAGGTCTCCGTACTCTAGGCATCGTAACCGATCGTAAAGGATGTCAAGAACCAAAATCCGCCAACGTTGATTCTTTACTGCGGCTGAAATATTCATTTTTAGAGCGTTAGTGAATTAAAAAAAAACAGTATAAAAACCGGAATGTCCAACTGATAAGGCTAAAAATTTTTTCACTTGTTATTTACAGTAAGATAAATACATTCACCAACTTTTATTAAAATAAAACCATTTAAACTGGGTGTTCGGATTTATAAGTCACTTAGTATATCTTGACGCTCTGCAATACGCCTATCACGAACGTATCTTATTTCTTTGGGGCGAATAAATATCATTATATTTTTTATCATCATCTTTCTTGTCCGTGGAATAAGCCGTAAGTGTGTTTGAAAGTAACACTTATCGATACGATCACATAATTGTATCTAGCTGATAAAAACGTACTCGAGTGTGATACTGCTACTAATCGATGCAGTAAAAATTTTATTTTACTACTATCCAGTTCATCTAAATCCCTATAAACATGAAGAATCCGAGGGGGGCATTAAAAAAATGCTTTAAGAAGAACGCGTTAGTGTTAATGACAATATGTGGTGTTATAATCGGTGTTTGTTTAGGTAAATACTTTACGATCAATTCTAGCTACTAGGATAACGTTTAAGTGACTCCAAACTTATAATAAACTGCTTCTAGTACTTAACGCACTTAGAACCATTGCGTCAAGGTTTCCTGGAATCGGCTTCGCTGTTTTCGTGATAAAAATCTAGCACCGTTTTGTCACTACGTACGAGGGTTGTCTCAAAGATAAGGTTCTCACATTTTTTCAAGCATAAGGAACTTTTTTTTCCGTAAAAAAGAATTCATCATTGGAAACGTTCATCTTTTTCTACGCATGTTTTTAGACGTGAATCCACCTTTCCGAAACGCTACGGCAGCGCTACAAGCGGGACGGGCGATGACTTTCCAGCCAAATCGCTCGATTCAGTCAGTCGTTTGTTGTGAGATACGAGCATGCTCATTGTTGTGGCGCAGCTTTGGATAGTTTTCCCCTCAGCTTTTTCCGAAGCCTCAGAAATTTCAATCGGATCGTGATTCGCCGATCTTCGAGCAAGACTTGCTCAGTCTTCGCGATAACCTCGGAGATCGACGGCCTCTTCGTTGTTCATCGTGGATTGCCATGCGGCCGTCAAAAAATCCTGCCGCAATAGGCAGTTCTTGTTGGGATCGGCGGTGGGGGAGCCAATAAGAAGACGATGGTGTTGCTAGATTTCGCCTGTCATCACGCGCGGCCAAGTTAGAGAGTTGGGGATTGCATATTTGAATCAACCCTCATACAAGGAATATAGTGATACAACTTTTGGTGGTTAAGGCACTACGCCACTGACAAGGCTACGCATGATAGTGACTAATGACTTTCTGTTCAAGTATATGTATAGAAACAACACAGATTCCGCAAAATGCTCACAAACAAGGTGTATAATATTGAATTGAATTAATTTTAATGAACTTGATCCTCCCTTAAGTTGTTACCTTTCCCACAAACTGCTCCTACAATCCAGATGATGAGAAGTGATAAGCTATTCCTGTTTCTTTAGGGCTGTTTCTTCGAGACACAAAGCAATGGACGGACCGAGACAGAATGTATATAAGATATGTCGGAGATATCTTCCTGCAGATGCTGAAGGGTCTCATTCTCCCTTTAATTGTTTCATCCCTTGTGTCAGCTATCTCCAATTTAGATCTATCGCTATCAGGTGGGTAAGTCTAAACATCGCCTACATCTACAATAGTTCGTATGCGTATTTGTATACTTAGTATCTAACTAGTTGCACTAGTAATGATGCTTCGTCCTTTCGAGCAACTATGTTCAGCTGTTTCTCACCAAGAGAAAAGTCTGCTTAAATATTTTTTCATAACGAAACATCCGCGCAGACAGTAGCAGACCTTTTTAAAAGAAGAAGATTCATATAACCTACTCATGGGTTTTGATTATTGAGCTATTGGATATTTTTTATCAAAAAAAAAAAAAACACCAAAGTTTGACAACCTGCGTATGTGCTGTCTTGACAGTTTGCATTAGTGTAGGCATATACAGTATATTCAGATAAGAGATAGACCGGATGTAAACAAAAGGTTCGGGTGATTTTCACGCTAACGCCGCCGTCTCGACGTAAAACAGGAGCCCTCATTGGTCAATTCGCAATTAAATGCCTATGCCGAGCGGCAGAGCAGTCGTATCAAGGCAGAGTCACATTCAGGTTCCGACGTGTTACGTATGTCGTGTGCATCATTGCAATTTGATATTTCTTTGGACGTTTTCGTTTGTTATCTTATTAAGTTGTTGAGTTTGTCGTTGTTATTGTTATACCTTGTTATTGATTGTTATTGTTATCAACTGCTTGCGCAAAATGCCCAGTAGTACAGATACTGCCGATGAAGTTGTAAACTCCTGTAGTCCACCTAGGAAACGCTCTAAAAAAAGACAGCTGAGTGCAGAAATGAAAGAGGTCATTTTGAATATATATAAGATCGAGCGCGAGGAGAACGAGGCATCAACCATCAAAGAAATTGTTGTGAAGGTTTCTCACTTCATCGCAAAAGTATTGTTAAATCATTGGATGAAGCTGATAAGCCTGCGATTAGGACGAAAGTGCATGAATTCTTCTTTAGGAATGAAATACCTACTATAGATAAAGTACTGCAGGAGGTAAATGGAGATACAACGTTGCCAAATTTCAAACGATCAACTTTCCATGCGTTACGGAAGCATTTAAATTTCAAATGGAAAAAACGGGGTCGTAATAGTTTACTACTGGATAGAGAAGAAATTGTGCTATGGAGGAGGGATTATTTAACAAAAATTGGGAAATGTAGAAATCAAAACAGGAAGATTTATTACCTTGATGAAACGTGGGTAAACGCAGGACACGCTACAAGTAAAGTATGGGTTGATGATTCTGTAACTTCATCCAGGAGGGCCTTTCTAGATGGACTGTCCACCGGATTAAAAAATCCAGCAGGTAAATACGAGTAATAGACAACAATCGGATGTTTTTCAAACCTTGGGAACAAGGTTCTAAACATTAATTCCAGGTGGCAGATAAAACATATTACAAGTAACAAAACTTTTATAACTTTCGATAAAATGCGTGGATGTTTTATTGTCATTTTCATTTGTTAGAACTTTTTTAAGCCATGTTTTTATATGTTTTCGATATTTCAATAATTTTTTAATATAATCTTAAAATATGTCGAAAATTATAAACTTAAAAAAAATTACTAAGTTTTATATTGTGTACCGTTCCTAATATTTCTAATCATTTTAATTCATACTTTAAGCTTTATAAAGTTATAATTTGTTAATATTAATATTTGCGCGTATTTCAGGTTCCTGATCATTCATTTTTTAAAGGTTTATAACTTTAAATTAAATTGTGAAGCGCTGAGTAATCATACGACGTTCAATATTCTTTCTTTCAATATGACTAAATAATCCCAATTATAGCAATCTGATACTCATGTCTCAATGTTTTTTCGCTGAATGTGATGGAAACATTTGAAAAAGGTTCGCTTATTGAAATAAATCTACACCAGTTAGTACTTCGATTTCCAGATAAAGGGAAAAGGCTCATTATCTGCCATATTGGCAGTGAGGATGGATTTGTTGTTGACGGTCTGTGGTGCTTTGAGTCTAAGAAAACTGGAGATTACCACGAGGAAATGAATGGCGAATCGTTTGAACAGTGGTTTTCAAAAATTTTACCGAACTTAGAGGAAAACGCAGTAATTGTGTTGGATAATGCGCCTTATCATTCTCGAAGAATGGAGAAGGTCCCAACAACGGCTTCAAGGAAAGTTGATGTTCAAAATTGGCTCCGCTCGAAAAATATCAACTTTGAAGAAGCAATGCTGAAAGTACAATTATTAAGAATTGTCAAGGATCACAAGGCGGAATATCAAAAATACGCCATTGACGAAATGGCAGCAAGTCAAAATAAAACTGTGCTCCGTTTACCTCCATACCATTGCGAGCTCAATCCCATTGAGCTCATATGGGCAGAGGTTAAAAATTATATAGCTAAGCACAATACAACTTTTAAATTTTGTGACCTCAAAGGACTTTTCAAAGAAGCACTAGAATTAATAACAGCGCAAAAATGGGAAAACTGTATTAAGCACGTGAAAGACAAAGTTGAAAAGAGAATGTGGGAACTGGACAATATTTTAGAGGAACAAGTCGAGCCATTCATTATTGACGTTGGTGCTTCAGGCAGTAGCGATGATGAAAGCTCATCAAGCTCATCTTTCCAATAAAAGATGTCGTTCATCAAATTCGGTAAGTTATAAGTAATTATAAAGCTACTGTATTTTTTAATTAATTATTGACATTTTTGAACCCGTTTTGGCAAAACCTATTCAAGAATCTACTTTCTGACAATGTTCAACCATGCACATTTTTTTACGTTTTGAACGTTTTAATTTGGTTACATATTTACCTAGAAATCAAAAAATATACTAATAAATATTCTAAAAGCAATTTTAAGAGATATACGATTATTTTTAATTTAGGCTAATTTAAACGCCATTTTGAGATTATATTCGACTGTATTTCACCAAACATCAGGCGGCATCCGAAGCTGGAAATCGAAGCGAAAATTTTGAAACCCTTATGTATATTTACATCATTATATATTTCTTACCCCACCCCCACATGATCCTATATCCATCACCAATCGTATACACATCGAATTGTGCTAATTTACTACAAAGTTACGCAAAGCAGCATCTACTATCTAAAATTTGTACTGCGTGACTCTTAATACGTCCCTGTCGAATGTTACAGCGTTCGATGATCACGTGATCTTGTTTATGTCCGGTCTATCTCTTATCTGAATATACTGTAGGTTAATGTATACATAAAAGGAAAACATAGGTAGCTAGATTCGCAGATTTGGTCAAGGTCAAGTCACTTTTTTTCGATGAGATACTCCATTTTTGATTACGGAATATTCTGAATCCCATTTGACTTTTTCAATAACTCATCTGCCGGGAGTTAAACTTTGTTCAGACATATTAAACATCATACTTGATCATGCCGTATTCTACAAACATTTTAGGTAGTATTGCCATTAGAGCCATTGGCTATTATTTGACAACGACGTCGTTAGCAGTAATATTGGGGATAATCCTCGTAGTCACCATCAAACCAGGAATCGGCCAGACTATGAACGATGGAGGAACCTCAAAAGTACAGGATGCTCTAACAGTTGATAGTTTGCTTGATTTAGGCAGGTAAGCAGCTGTGTTTCTCTGCAGAATTTTTGCCAACGTCAGTCAGCCCGCGTTAAATACAATAAGGCGACCATAGGCACTGTCCTTATTTATTGCGGCGCAACTATAGCGGAATTAATAGTACAGTCGTTTACAGTCTTTAATCTCAGTTGATTCCAACAGTCAGACTAGTTTCCTACGCTCAAAATGTTTATTTTCCAATCGCTATATAGTAGTCGAGGCACTTAAAAAAATCGAAACTTTTGAACGAAAAGGGATAAAGAAATGAAAAACACTTTATCTTAATGTCCGATTTCCGGGCTTTCTCACTCAAAAATCGTCAGGTTCGTAGCTCCTTTATCTTCGGAGGAGATAGAAATTGAACGTCGAACGGCACGGAAATCTACTGTTTTTTTCGACTTTGACCGCGGTTTTCGATCGCAATTCTTCCTCTTACCTCGACGACTCTCATTGGATCGTAAAGCGCCGAGCTTCTAGTTTCCGAAACGCTTTCCGTTGAAACCTTTCGAACCCGGAAAAAAAAATGGAAAAACCGCGTCGATGTCAAACGCTCCGATCCAGACTCGACACGCGACGATTATACCAAAAACAAAAGATCACCGCTTAATATAGTCGATTTTTCGACTTTACCGGCCGTTTTCGATCCGATCCGTTCCTCTCGCCGCGACGGTTCCCGCTCCCCGGTAAAGCGCCGAGTTTCTACTTTCCGAAACGGTACCTCTTTCCTTCCGGACGTTTCGCGAACCTCCTAAAAAACCGGAAAAACCGCGTCCACGTCGCACGGCCTGAATCTCTAACGTCACGTGGCCTCTCCCAAAAAACAATCGATCACCGCTTAATATAGTCGAAAGCATGTCAAAAGCGATCTCACATTTTTGAGTTTAGCAGGTGATATAAAATTGTTTATGTATCTCGGGCTTAACTAGGATTTATGTACCTCGGCGTTCGTGTACGTTTAGTACCAGTAGCGATTTTGATTCTAATTGTGATTCAACGTCCTTTTCACTCCTTGGATACACAAATAACTATTACGGATTATTGTGCATTAAACCGGTCGACAGGCTTTAAGGATATTTAGTGATACTTATCAAAGTTGTATTTCCGAGATGCAGGTATTCCAGTTTCCACTGCATACTAATATACTTTTTGAGACTAAGGGCTCAATATTGCCATCTTGATAAATATCTGCATTTCCCAATTCTCGCAAAGGCATTATAAGTATTCAAATTTATCCTCGCACAAATAAAATGCTAAATGCTAAAAGCACGTTTGTACCTGTTACCCGGTATATTAATCAAAATATATTCTAATGAATGATTGTATTTGTTTCAGGAGTTTGTTCCCTCCCAATTTAGTAGACGCCTGTATATTCCAGGTATGATTAAATTCTCAGCAAAATCAATTCTGCTGTTAACGTTTTCACGCGATGTTTCAAAATTAAATTGTTAGTTGAATTGGTCCCATTTTCCTGTATTGCATACATAGTATTTGTCTCGGTAATAGTGATTCCAAAACATTTAAAAACACTACAACTGTTTTGTCTCCCTTTTTCACCACGCAATCTTTTTAAGGAATCATATGCACTGGATTTTGTAAACATAATTAATTGCGCTTCAATAACAACAAATTTCATTACGCAACATAGTTATAACTGATTTTAAGGTTCTAATTTGAGTTTATTATTAATGCTTTATATTTTTTCAGTACCGCACCAGATTAGTACCAAATGCCAGTGAACCAGGTGGGTAAATTTAGCTAGCCTTGAACGAAACCCGGATGAAAAAGAATGGGGGATTCGCTGACATCTGTTGACTTGACTTGACATGACATATGAACATAAACGCCATCGTGCTTAGAGCACAGAACTTCCGCTGGTCCTGGTTTCATTTTGATACAAATTAATTCTCATCAGAAATGTTAACAATCGCCAGATATCGAAAATTTTCTGGATACTAGCCGCCGAAAGTATCCAATCGCATTTGAAGCCGTCAAATAGCCACTTTGGCGAAAAATAGCAACGCTTGGCAACCTTGTCTAACCTCCGCACCGGGGTTCACCCTGGAGCCTGCGCTTTGATTGGCTGGCTCAAAAGGTCCTGCATTCTAATTGGTTGATAGACAGCGGGTTTGAATGCGGTGTTGCCGATTTGTGCAAAAAGTCTTTGATAACCGATATAATCGGAAAAGTGATGGAAAGAACGCAGTTTTCTCAATATGTTATTGCCAAAGGCATAAACTGCCCGCGAACACGCTTTGACAATTATATTGAAAAGCTGCTAGGTAGTAGCTAGTGGATTACCTGTTAGGAGCTAGGTGGTACCAACTTATTTACACTATCAATACCTTCCTTAATATTTGTTCATATGGTTTTTACTTTGATGTTGATGGACAATGGGCCAGTTACGATGTTTTTATCGATACATCAACTTAAGACTTAAAGTGTAATTTTGACTGTTTGTACACATATGTCTAACCCAGAGAAAAATCCTCGTAAGATCAGACTTTACTCCATTTTCCAGATAAGTACAAGCTCGCTATAGAAACGCAAAAAATGGACGGAACAAACATACTGGGTTTACTGGTAGCATCAGTGGCTATTGGCGTTGCCATTTTACACCTGAAACAAGAAGCAGAGCCGGTTGCTGATTTCTTTAGAGCACTTATGGCAATTGCGATGAAAATAACGACATGGGTAATTATGTATTTCATTTTATAAGGCTTTTCTATGACTCTCAGAGCAACAGAAGAAGTCAAATGGCAAGTATCGATAGGAGATTCAAAATTACGTTAACGATCTGTTGCATAGGAACTTCAGAGTCAACCTACTTGACGCCATTTTTTCGACCTGCATCATCGTAAATCTCGGTAATTTGTCACTTTAGAACCTATGTTATTACGAATTTATTACCACATTAAACATGTTTCTGAGCCGTTTTGAATCACTTTTAATTGCAGGTAGTTCGGCTTTCACCCATTGGTGTGATGTTTCTGGTAGCTCACGAAGTGATTAAAATGGAAGATTTGGGAACAGTGATTGGGTCACTGGGAAAATATTTCGGTACTGTTGTTGTTGGTTTAGCCATCCACGGCTTTCTGGTATTGCCAACTATCTACTTCCTCCTAACGAGGAAGAACCCGTACACCTTCATAGGGCAGATGAGTGAAGCTATCACAACGGCTTTTGGCACAGCATCAAGGTCTGTTTTTTTACCTGTTTCTTCAACTATTCCGGTGAAATTAGAAGCCTATCCTTATGATTTACAAGAAAATGCCGTTTCAGAAAGTATTATACCAAGTTATAAGACATGTTAGACATTTTCTTTGATCTCTAGCAACTCGGGACTGGAACGCCACAACTTACTGTAAAACACGAACACATGAGTCTCAAAACACATTCAATAAGCATTCACAACTCGTTTAAAAAACATTTTTAAACATAAGGTTTTCCAAATTGTGCATAGTCAAGATGCAGGTAAACTTTGCTTATCTACTTTAACAGCTCAGCAACATTACCAGTGACAATTCGATGCCTGGAGGATAACGTTGGTGTAGACAAGAGAATCGCCAGGTTTGCGCTTCCTATTGGTTCTGTCATCAATCTGGATGGTACGGCACTCTATGAAGCAGTTGCAGCTGTTTTTATAGCGCAGGTATTCTAAAATATTTTGTGTAATAGAATGTATACAATGTATACAATGTATACAATGTATACAATGTATACAACGTGTACAATGTATACAATGTATGCAATGTATACAGTGTATACAATGTTTACAATGTATGCAATGTAAGCAATGTATACAATGCATACAATGCATGACATGCATTCAATGTATACAATCACTTTTGCAGGCGTTGCATATATACAACCTAATTGATTTATATTTGCTATTGTGTACATTGGCTACAATGCTTACACTGTTTACTCGAACATCAAGACGTATAAAATTGTAATTGTATACGCGTAAGCAATGGTGTATTTGACATGGTGTATACAATGACCTATCACTGGATACTAGTCTAACTATTTTCTTATCGCTGATCAAACGCAACTGTGAATTTACCCAAACTGGGTTATTTGTAGATGCGAGATGTGGATTTGAATGTCGGAAAACTGATAGTGATCACTATAACAGCTACAGCGGCTGCTATCGGAGCTGCAGGAATACCGCAGGCTGGAGCTGTAACTATGATAATGATCCTGAATACTTTGGGTCTGCCAGCTACGGATATATCCCTTATTATTGGTGTTGATTGGCTTCTGTAAGTACAAATAGATTGCATTTCGAGAAACTCTTGGAACCAAGTTGACATCCTTGCAGATTTCGACGTGTTCCTACCCAGCTTTCACTACGTTGTATTGTATTTTTTGCATGACCTTTTAACAATGCTGCATGTCGTCAGGCTCAAATTTGCGTCGACAATGTTTGGAACAATTTTTTTCACAAATTCCAAAAATGGTTTCTTTTTCACTCTTGTCAGTGTGTCTAGGCTTTGTTTGAACAACAGACATAATTTCTGTAAAATTCAACACAATGAAAAATATTTTTTCAGAGATCGATGTAGAACTGCTGTAAACGTAATGGGAGACTCGTTCGGAGCTGCGATCGTTGCTCATCGAAGTCAAAAAGAGTTGGCTAGAACAACGGAAACAAGAAGAACGTCTCGATCTAATGCTAGGAAAATATCAGTGCTGGGACAGGCTCAGATTTTTGTTGATACGTAGATTTATTATTATTTATTTATTGTGCCTTAATAGCTTAATAAATACTTTTGATATCCGTTGTGTTTGTCAATCAAAGCAGTATAAGTATTATACGTGAATTAGGTAAACAGATGCAGGTTATATACTCGTGTAAACTGATACCTAGTATTATCGTTGAAAGCATTTTCATTTACCGTACATTATATTAAGAGGAAGAATTTTTGCGACCCACGGAAATCCTGGGTCATGCGACCTCCAAAAATCGTGGTGCAAGCGAACCCACCGGAATCTTGGGGCAAGCGGGTGGGGCGACTGTCCCACTAAATAGTGGGTCAAGCGACCTTCCAAAATCGTGGGACAAGCGACCTCACCAAAATCATGGGGCAAGCGGGTAGGGCGAGTATCTCACGCAAGCGACATCCCAAAATCGTAGGGCCAGCGACCTACCGAAATCGTGGGACAAGCGAGTGGGGCGACCCCCGGAAATCGTAAGGCAAGCGACCCCCAAATGGTGAGACAAGCGACCCACTGAAATCGTGGGGTATACGACGCCTCCGAAATCGTGAGGAAAGCGACCTGGCTGAAATTGTGGGGCAAGCGACCCTCGGAATCGTGGGGCAAGCGACTCATCGAAATTGTATGGCAAGAGAGTGGGGCGGCGCTCCCCAAAATCGTAAGGCAAGCGATTCTCGAAATCGTGAGACAAACGACCTCCCGAACCCTTGGGGCAAACGATTCCACCGAAATCTTGGGGCAAGCGGGTGGACGACTCCCCCACGAAATCGTAAGGCAAGCGACCTCCAAATCGTGGGACACGCGATCCAGCGAAATCGTGGGGCATGCAAAGTCCCCGAAATCGCGGGGTAAGCGACCCCACTAAAATCGTGGGGCCAGTGACCCTCCGAATCTTGGGGCAAGCGGATGGGGCGACGCTCCCCGAAATCGTAAGGCAAGTGATCCCCCAAATCGTGAAACAAACGACCTCCCGAAATCGTGGGGAAAACGATTTCACCGAAATCGTATGGCAAGCGACCCCCGGACATCGTGGGGCAGGCGACCCACCGAAATCGTGGGGCAAGCAGGTGGAGCGACGCTCTCGAAATCGTAAGGCAAGCGACCTCCAAATCGTAGGACACGCGATCCAGCTAAATCGGGGGGCATGCAAAGTCCCCGAAATCGCGGGGTAAGCGACCCCACCGAAATCGTGAGGCAAGTGACCCTCCGAATCTTGGGACAAGCAGATGGGGCGACGCTCCCCGAAATCGTAAGGCAAGTGATCCCCCAAATCGTGAAACAAACGACCTCCCGAAATTGTGGGGAAAACGATTTCACCGAAATCGTATGGCAAGCGACCCCCGGACATCGTGGGGCAAGCGACCCCCGGACATCGTGGGGCAAGCGACCCTCCGAAATCGTGGGGCAAGCGGGGGGGCGACCCCCTCGAAATCGTAAGGCAAGCGACCTCCAAAATCGTGGGGCAAGCGACCCCACCGAAATCGTCGGGCAAGCGGGTGGGGCGAACCCCACGAAATCGTAAGGCAAGCCACCCCCTGACATCTTGAGGTAAGCGACCCACCGAAATCGTGGGGCAAGCGGGCGGGGCGACCCCCCCCGAAATGGTAAGGCAAGCGACCTACAAATCGTGGGACACGCGATCCAGCAAAATCGTGAGACAAACGACCTCTCGAAATCGTGGAGAAAACGATTCCACCGAAATCTTGTGGCAATAGGTGGGACGACCTGCCCATGAAATCATAAGACAAGCGACGTCCAAAAATCGTGGGACAAGTGACCCATCGAAATCGTGGAGCATACGACGCCCCCGAAATCGTGAGGAAAGCGACCCCACCGAAATCGGGAGGCAATTGACCCTCGGAATCGTGAGGCAAGCGGGTGGGGCGACCCCTTCGAAATACTAAGGCAAGCGACCTCCAAATCGTGAGACACGCGATCCAGTGAAATCGAGGGGCACGCGACGTCCCCGAAATCATGAATCATGAGACAAACGACCTCCCGAAATCGTGGGGAAAACGATTCCACCGAAATCTTGGAGCAAGCGGGTGAGACGACTCCCTCACGAAATCGTAAGGCAAGCGACCTTCCAAAATCGTGGGGCAAGCGACCCCACCGAAATCGTCGGGCAAGCGGGTGGGGCGAACCCCACGAAATCGTAAGGCAAGCCACCCCCTGACATCTTGAGGTCAGCGACCCACCGAAATCGTGGGGCAAGCGGGTGGGGCGACCCCCCCGAAATGGTAAGGCAAGCGACCTACAAATCGTGGGACACGCGATCCAGTAAAATCGTGGGGCATGCGACGTCCCCGAAATAATTCGGCAAGCGAGTGTCGATTTAACACCCAAAAAATAATATCTCATTTCAAAAGCTTCTTGCGATCACACCACTTCTTCGTCTGTTACGTGGATGGTAAAAAGCGCACTCGTATCGGTAGATCGGTACAGCCATTGAGTAGTTACGAAGCCACAGATGGACACAAATGCATATGTTAAGCTTATAACACCCTCCATATTTGAGTCGGCGGTTCGATTTCACTTCCACATTTCCTGTCCATAATTTCCATTGTAAAAGTAAAATCGAAAATTCTGGAAGTATATCTCACAGATACGATGTTTTCCACTTAACTTTTTAGGAGCATAAATACTTTTTCAGCACGCACGTACGAATTTGTCAGGTACCTTGATCTCACATACAAAATTGATGATCGGACATATGCAGCGATAAAGATCATCGTAAACATGCCGATAGATCGTTGATTTTACGTAACGGCGCCGAGAGACCGTGGGCATCCGTACCATCTTTAATTAGCAATTAAGGTGGCTATTAATTGAACATCGAGTGATGCACTGCGGTGGTATTAGGTTCTCGATGCGGATTTTTCAGCACCAGCGGCCAATCAGCAGTGACATGTCGTGGATGGATGCAAAATTAGCCTACTATATAAAGCTGAGGGCATGGGGGTAGCACTCTCAATCGCGCGTGTCGTCTACGTCGGATAGCAAAGTGTACATTTGGTTCCTTCATCATGGCGATGGTGAGTCGTTTGAGGAATAAGTCTAATTATTATTATTGGGGGAGTGCCGGAATCAGCTCTTTTTGAAACCCAGGATGGCGAATGGATTTTACCAATTTTTCTCCAAAATTTCCAATAAATTTGAAAAAAGATGGTGTCGAAGGGGTTGAGGAATATATACTAAGTGACATATAAATCCGAACACCCAGTTTAAATGGTTTTATATATAAATAAAAATGAATATTTTAGCCGCAGTAAAGAATCAACGTTGGCGGATTTTGGTTCTTGACATCCTTTACGATCGGTTACGATGCCTAGAGTACGGAGACCTGTACGATTTCGTCAACTTAGTGAGTTTGATAGGGGTCGTATAGTGGGACTTCGCGAAGCTGGACTTTCTTTTCGGGCAATTGCAGTTAGAATGCAAAGAAGTGTAGACACTGTGGTTAGGTGTTGTCAGGCATGGCTTCGAGAAGGCCGTACGCAAAGAGCAAGGGGCACTGGACACCGCCGTAGAACAACAGACCGTGAAGATCGCCGCCTAAGATTATTGGCCTTAAGGGACCGTTTCTCCACTACGAGGTCCATTGCAAATGAATGGTTTGCAGAACACGGAAGACCTATTGGCATGCGAAGTGTTTACCGACGAATGAGAAGTTTTGGCTTGTTTTCATACCGGCCACACTGGGTCCTCCCTTTAACTCGAGAACACCGACGTAATCGCCTTGAGTGGTGCAGACAACGGTCACTCTGGGATCAGGAATGGAACAGTATTGTCTTTAGTGACGAGTCTCGATTTTGTTTAGGCATGCACGATGGTCGTGCCAGGGTTAGAAGGCGACGTGGTGAAAGGAGGAATCCACAGTTTTTTGTTGAAAGACATGTTCATCACACTGTTGGAGTTATGGTTTGGGGTGCTATAGCTTATGGTTCCAGGTCACCTTTAATCTTCATCAGAGGTAACATGAACGCGCAGCGTTATATCCACGAAGTTCTAGAACCCCATCTTTTACCCTATCTTGACACCCTGGCAGATCCAACTTTCCAACAAGATAATGCCCGAGTCACAATAGACTTCTTTCAACATAATGATGTCACATTGTTACCATGGCCACCAAGATCTCCCGACTTATCTCCAATTGAGCACGTGTGGGATAGGATGGGTACGAGATTGCTCAATTTGCAACGTCCTCCTCAGACTCTAGAAGCACTTCGAGAGGAGTTGGTGGTTGCCCGGAATGAGATACCACAGGAGGACATTGACCACCTGATCAGAAGCATGCCTAGGCGCGTTGGAGAATGCGTAGCACATCAGGGTGAATCCACACATTATTAAAGGTCCAAGGGCTTTAAAGCAGTGCAATCATTTTGAAATTCTTATCATTTACTTATTATGCTTCATTAAGTCCTAATAAAAAATTTTATTAAAATAAAACCATTTAAACTGGGTGTTCGGATTTATATGTCACTGAGTATATTTAGCTTTGTTTCTAAAACGCGTCTTTTCTTCTTTTATCTCTAATTTCTTGTCCACCGCAGCTAAATGGACAGGTTGACCTGGCTCTCTATGTCGCTGCAAGAAGATCTTATCTTCATTTATTTTCATCGCTTGAAGAGCATCGGCATGCGCAATATCAAGCAGAATGTCCAAGTTCGTAACAAACTTCTGTCGACGTTGCTCAACCTCTTCTCGTCTTTTGCTTGCAGTTTTTGGGAATCTCCAAAAACTCGGTATAAGGCAACTACTTTCTTAGCCCATTTGGATAGAGATTTAGTCGGTATACTCGCCTTTTCCCAGTAAATAATGCACTCGCGAATACGAATTGGCACCTAATTTCACTTCCCTATTTGAAGTTAATGTTATTACATATTCTGAATGTCTAATACTTATTTCCAGAGACTGAGAGAAAATAAAAAAGAACAATTTTTATTTTGATGTAAATGTCACGTATAAGGACTACTCTTTATTCCTAATTTCTTAAATAAGGTCATAGTTACTGTAATAAAGAGTCTAAAATATGGAAATAAAGGAAAAACCTGTGCATGGCGGTCTTTTCTTCATGATTTGTGAATGCGGAATGAATCAGTCGTTTTGACTTGAAAGAGGGACAAGGAGGACCTACCGCGTTTTGTTCCATGGACGTGTCTTCACCGCCAGGCAATTCTATGATGGCTGGCTAAGAAATTCCTGACGAGACTATGATTAATTAAAAAGTATAAAATGGATTTTTATCAAACGTTGCACTAATGAGTCTAACGAATAAATTCAATATCAACCAAAGGTATGAAGCCTATAGAATATGCAAACATTCGGCTGTTTATGTTGATACTAGTTATTTTTACAGATTTGTTTAATAATCAAGTTTAATATCAAAATAAGCATCATTTCATCGCGAACACCATGGTATATGGATGTCTGCAAAAATGTGGCAGAAATGGTTGGCGGGTTTTTAGAAGTGAAATTTTAATGAGAATGGAAACTTGCGATAACGAGTCCCGAGCTACATATATCCTGTTCGATAGAAGAAAACGTATGCAAGGGACTTATAGGGCCGTATCGTCAGTCACAATTTATGACCTCCTCGAGTTTCATAGTTTTTCCTGTCCTGAAAGGTAGATTTCTACTGCTCCGTATCAGCGCTCTATTTTGAGGTTATGTTACAAATATCTATTTGCATCAAATTGTTGTTGTTTTTGATTTATATCATCCGTTATATCATCCCGAAATTTTCTACAATCCAAAAAGGTGGCATAGCCTCACAACATAAGAGCGCTGATGCTGACAAGGAACAGGAGAAATCTGGAGAAACCCCAACCTTTCTGAAGGAGATAAAATACTTTAAAAATCGAGTAGGCCATAAAGGAATCCTGTTTCTGAGCATTATCGGGACCCTCCAACGAAAAACGAGGTTGATGCGATTTTTTTTTCGTTTTAGCTCTTTTTATCCGCCACCACTAGTCCGAATTTCAAGAATTGCAAAGCATTTTCATCATTGGCATAGTAGCAAGCTTGTGTGGAAATTTCATCAAAATCCGAACGATGCTTTTCAAGTTATAGGCGGTTATACAATTAACGAACACACAAACAGACTGACTGGTTTTTCGTACTAACTCAATTTCGAAATGTTTACAATACTTCCTCGTCAGTTTTGTATATGTCAAACGCTTTCAAATGCGCAGAGCGCCATCTACCGCCCACGAACTGAACAGTTTGACAAGATTGACTGTTTATTAGAAACGCAGGAGAATACTCTTATAAATGAAATCAAGATCATGAAAATCGGTGCAACAAAATTTATGTGATTTTTTCTGAAGTGACATTCAACCCTTCCCCTACCCTAAGCTGACTAAAATATGATGAAATGACATAAATAAAACAATTGAGAAGTCAACACGATGCGGCTATTTGATGAACATATTGATTATGAATTTTTTTAAAATAATGACGTTTGTATTTTTGAAATTGGAATGACCCTACCTAGTGCAGCAATCTCTTTCTAGGGAATTTTTATCAAAAAATTTTTTAATCGTCAGCGGGAAGTAAAACCTGTCAATTGTGATAATTCCTATAGGACTGGACTTTAGTCTGGTTTACACCTATCAGCAGCCTGTGAGATGATAAATGATGTTTGCATTAAATATTTAAAAACTTTTGCGTCTTCCATTACGATTTATACTAAATATTGTGTGCATGGGTGCAAATTTAGCATTGCGGGAGCGCTGGAATTTCAGGTAGGATGATACTCGTATGTCAATACCTTCCTTGACTCGTTGCCAGGGAAGTATAATTAGATTTGATCGATGACATCCAGTAATCAACATGGATCAACATATACTAAGTGACATATAAATCCGAACACCCAGTTTAAATGGTTTTATTTTAATAAAATTTTGTATAAGTACTTAATGAAGCATAATAAGTAAATGATAAAAATTTCAAAATGATTGCACTGCTTTAAAGCCCTTTGAACTTTAATAATGTGTGGATGCACCCTGATGTGCTACGCATTCTCCAACGCGCCTAGGCATGCTTCTGGTAAGGTGGTCAATGTCCTCCTGTGGTATCTCATTCCAGGTAATCACCAACTCCTCTCGAAGTGCTTCTAGAGTCTGAGGAGGACGTTGCAAATTGAGCAATCTCCTACCCATCATATCCCACACGTGCTCAATTGGGGATAAGTCGGGAGATCTTGGCGGCCATGGTAACAATGTGACATCATTATGTTGAAAGAAGTCTATTGTGACTCTTGCAACATGTGGTCGGGCATTATCTTGTTGGAAAGTTGGATCTGCCATGGTGTCAAGATAGGGTAAAAGATGGGGTTCTGATGAAGATTAAATGTGACCTGGAACCATAAGCTATAGCACCCCAAACCATAACTCCAACCGTGTGATGAACATGTCTTTCAACAAAAAACTGAGGATTCCTCCTTTCACCACGTCGCCTTCTAACCCTGGCACGACCATCGTGCATGCCTAAACAAGATCGAGACTCGTCACTAAAGACAATACTGTTCCATTCCTGATCCCAGAGTGACCGTTGTCTGCACCACTCAAGGCGATTACGTCGGTGTTCTCGAGTTAAAGGGAGGACCCAGTGTGGCCGGTATGAAAACAAGCCAAAACTTCTCATTCGTCGGTAATCACTTCGCATGCCAATAGGTCTTCCGTGTTCTGCAAACCATTCATTTGCAATAGACCTGGTAGTGGAGAAACGGTCCCTTAAGGCCAATAATCTTAGGCGGCGATCTTCACGGTCTGTTGTTCTACGGCGGCGTCCAGTGCCCCTTGCTCTTTGCGTACGGCCTTCTCGAAGCCATGCCTGACAACACCTAACCACAGTGTCTACACTTCTTTGCACTCTAACTGCAATTGCCCGAAAAGAAAGTCCAGCTTCCCGAAGTCCCACTATACGGCCCCTATCAAACTCACTAAGTTGACGAAATCGTACAGGTCTCCGTACCGATCGTAAAGGATGTCAAGAACCAAAATCCGCCATCGTTGATTCTTTACTGCAGCTGAAATATTCATTTTTAGAGCGTTAGTGAATTAAAAAAAATCAGTATAAAAACCGGAATGTCCAACTGATAAGGCTGAAAATTTTTTCACTTGTTATTTACAGTAACACAAATACATTCACCAACTTTTATTAAAATAAAACCATTTAAACTGGGTGTTCGGATTTATATGTCACTTAGTATACATTGATCTTTGCTCTAGATGTTTTAAAAGTACCATAATTGCGCGAAGAAAACGAAAGTGCATTAATATTAATTAGAATAACCGAGGAGTCGATCATGCCATGTAATAGTTTGAAAGGAAATATTGTCGCTGCATGTTGATGATTTTTTTCCATAAGCAGATATTTGAGACTGTCTATACCTGCCTGTAGATACACCATTTATACTATTTGTACTTTACACTAAGCAATTGTTTGTTTTTCCAGGACCTGAAGCCTGCAGAGAAAGACAGTAAGTTTCAAGTATTTTTAAATATCTTGTCAATGTGAATTTGTAGCTTTAATTTGTTACCATAGACGGCTATGCAGACAGAGCTGCTTTCTAGTTACCTTGTTGAGTTACTCTGAGTAACTCAGTAGCGCTCAGCACCAATTCTGTTCCACCGCACGTTGTATTTTCGTGCATTGTTCCCGGAGCAGTTTGGCCGCGTGTCACTCAGAAACCAAAAAGCACTGGAAAGCACCTCAGGTATGCATTGATTTTTGACAGTACGCTCATTCCAGCTGTGGATTTTGCCTTCGAGGTATTCAACGAAGGTGGAACCCTAGATGCCAGCACGTTGCCTCAGTTGGTATACTGTTGCGATGTGAATCCAAGCATTGATACTCTCGAGAAAATGGGATATGTGAAAAAACATGGTAAGAAAAGATATTCCACTTGCTAATCCCTCATATTTGTTAGGTCAGTTGGAACGAAATTCATTGAAAGAATCTTCTTTACTGTGAACGTTTCGGTCACACCTTCTTCAATACAATGACTCTGACAATATATTTTATTTATCTGTCTTCCAGGTGACACTTTGTTCTTTCTTTTCAGATAAACAATATACATATATATATATATAGGTGAAAAATTAAAGCTTCCGCCTTTTGTTGGGTACTTCGACAAAATTTAAGCAAAGACGACTCTTTATACTTTTTTTAATTCTCTCTAGCTTTCAATGGACTTTGCCATCATCATCAGGAGCTGCAATTACAATGATAACAGTAGCAACAAAAGTGTAAAATGAATTTAAATTGACTCAACTTACAGTAGTATGTGAGGATGTTGCTAATTGTTGTTTACGTATAGGATGAGGGAAACGTCCAGTAACATGGTGAGAGCTGGATACATGGTACAATGGTCAAAATTATATAAAATATGACAAGACAAGTTAAAAACAGATTAAAAATTATTTAAAAAACATTAGAGCATTACATCGTGAAGCCACTTGATGATTGCACAAAATGGTGGTCATGGAATAATGAGTGAGATGAACCTTTGACAGAAGGCCGAAGGTTGTCAATGTCTGTGTTGAAAGATGGAACGAATTGTGGGCGTGTGCCAAACGTTGCCAAATCACTTCAGATGATGTGATTTTCAGAATGTTATGTAAGAAATTGTTAAACCGACCAGAGGCAGTTGAATAAACTATATTTTAATTAATGGGAATTTTAAATTAACAATTATTAATAAATCGTGAGAAGAGAATTATTAGATTTTGAGTGGAATGAAATTTGTTGGTGGATCGGCCAAAACACAGATTATATTTATGGTTGTGAAAAGTCGAAATTTGAGGAGATATGTAAGTTCTCCAATTCGTTCCATCTTTCAACACAGACATTGACAACCTTCGGCCTTCTGTCAAAGGTTCATCTCACTCATTATTCCATGATCACCATTTTGTGCAATCATCAAGTGGCTTCACGATGTAATGCTCTAATGTTTTTTAAATAATTTTTAATCTGTTTTTAACTTGTCTTGTCATCTTTTATATAATTTTGACCATTGTACCATGTATCCAGCTCTCACCATGTTACTGGACATTTCCCTCATCCTATACGTAAACAACAATTAGCAACATCCTCACATACTACTGTAAGTTGAGTCAATTTAAATTCATTTTACATTTTTGTTGCTACTGTTATCATTGTAATTGCAGCTCCTGATGATGATGGAAAAGTCCATTGAAAGCTAGAGAGAATTAAAAAAGTATAAAGAGTCCTCTTTGCTTAAATTTTGTCGAAGTACCCAACAAAAGGCGGAAGCTTTAATTTTTCACCTAACTGGTCTAGACGACAATGATCACGTCTCAAGTTATATATATATATATATCCTTCAATTTCTTTGGGTAGAAGGCAAATTATTGTTAAAGTACACTCTTATAACTTAAACCCTCAAGCTTTCGAAGATCTATGTCTTCATCGTCTCAAGCTGGAAACAAAAATTGACAATAGCAACAAATAACAATTAGGAGAAAAATATTTACTTACTAAGTCGGCAAGATTGTTGCTGAAATTGTTTTTAAAGAACAGTTTTTAAAGTCGACGAATAAGACACTGGACTGATGAGGTTCGATTAGGACGGAATTATTTTATTATTAAATGGAAAATCGTTTTGAAAGGTTTTTTTTTATTAAACGTTGATTGATGTTGGAAGAAATTTGGACATTTTAAAACTGTCAACTATTGAAAATTCCTTCGAGATTTCATTTTTCTTCCCACTGATTCTACAGCGGCGTATGAAGTGTGACATTGAAAATTATTGGAAGGTCACTCATTATGTCGTAACTGAGAAGAGTGTTGCCTAATATGTCAGGCGTTTTGTAGTATAGTGCAAGGAGGTTGCGCTATTATTGACCGATGAAGTACAGAGATATTTTCAAAACTTGATAGAAGTTGCTTCGGAAGGAGTGTGATTTGGATGTTATCCTACCAAACAACTAAGAAATCTGTAGGGAATATTCACACTTGAGGACAAAATACTTTGAGCAATATTGATTTTGATTCAATTAAGATAATGAAGAATTATTATTATGTGGATTGAGCGATTATTGGGAGAAATCGATGTTGGGGGGGGATATGTTGCTTTTCCAATTTTTCGCAGTTCAGCAAATATGCATAGACGACGCTAAGTTGATTGACATCAGCTTTTTCCTTCATTCAATTGTCTATCATGAAGATATGTGACATTTCCAGAAACAGGCGTTTTGATAGATAATTTTCTCTGTCCAGCGCCTTGATATCACTGTATCTCATTTGATGCCCTGTGGAGTTGGCCTGTGAAGCTACAGCACATCTTTCTGGATGCAGTCTGGTATCACTTTTGCGTGAGGTTATTCTACCTTTAAAGGATCTTGAAGTTTTACCTATGTACAGCTCCAGACGATGAAGGCATAGATCTCCGAAAGCTTGAGAGTTTAAGTTATAAGACTGGACTTTTGCAAAGAAATTAAAGGATATTTTCTCCTAACAGTTAAGGCAATTAACTGTGAATACCTATCTTAATATATATATATATATATATATATATTAAGATAGATAGATAGATAGATAAATATATATATATATATATATATATATATATATATATTAAGATAGCTATCAATATAACTGACACTAACAAATTTTGTGCAGTGTAAAAGATATAGTTTTGAAATTATCGTGAGATGTTAAATCAGTATAGCTAGACATGACTGATATACCTATCTTAATTTAAATAAACTTCATCATCATACTGTACTGTGACGATGACGTGGAGAAAAAGCAATACGTTAAAATATAATTGATATATGCTTAATGTTTTTAGGGGAGAAGAAATTCAAGTTGGACGAACTCTATCCAATCGTAGCGCAACTGAAGAAGGAAGTCAAGGATCAAGGTTGTTACGATGACTTTGTAGAGTGCTTGAAATTGTACGATAAGAACGAAAATGGCCTCATGCTGGTTGGAGAGCTGAGTCACTCATTTATGACATTAGGTACTTTTTCAACATATTTTGTTTTGAACATTAAGCATCGGTATATATTTTTAGTTTCTTTGATGGTTGACAAGCCTTTATTTTGCGATACATATCGCCAGATTATAGAATCGTAGTTTCATCCCTGCGCGATTCATACCTCGGGGATCGGTAATCTTTAGTATTTTATGCGAAATCTATTAACACATTGCCCAATCTTAAGCCCGTTCTAATGGCGTGCTTTTATACCCTTTATATATACATATTTAAATTGTGATTTTGTGGTCAAAATGCTTCCTTTTTTCATTGCCATTTTCGTGAGAATATATATATATATATATACGTAGTCGTGCCATAAGTTCTGTCCCATGATAATCTCATGATAAAAATGAAACAAGATAAGATATATTTATATGAAAGATATTATTTATTCGACAACATTTTTAGAATTCATAATCAAACAGTTTTATTCAAAATGTCCCCCCTTGGCCTTCACACACTGCTTCAATCTCGCGGGCCACTCATCTATCACTGCACGCACAGCTTCCAAAGGAATAGCTGCCGCTGATCGGATCAAATCCGCTTTCAGGGACTCGATATTACGGTGGGCTTTGGAGCAGGCCAACTGCTCTAGCAGGTCCCACAGCTTGTAGTCTAAAGGATTGAGGTCCGGACTCCCTGAGGGCCAATCTTCCGCAGCAATGAACTCTGGCACATTGCTTTCCAGCCAGCGCTGCGTACTCTTAGCCTTGTGAGCGGGGGCGGAATCCTGCTGGTAGACCCAGTGTTGGTTGGCAAACAATGTACCACTTAAAGGCTTGACGATAGGATCCAGTATGTCGCTCTGATAGTTTGCCGCTTTTGTTTTCACGCCCTGTTTACAGAAATGGAGCTGAGTGACCCCTTCGTAGGACACCCCCCACCAAACCATGACTGACGCAGGGTGGTGGCCTCTCTCAACTCTCGGAATGATCTCCGAAGCTTCCTGTGAACTCCTTGCATACACTTTGTCATTTTGTCGGTTGAATTTTTCTTCTATGGTGAAGATTTTCTCATCCGTGAACAAAATCTTTCGGAATCCCCCAGCTGCGTACCTCTCCAAGAGCTTCTTGGATCTTGTCGCCCTGATGTGTCGCAAGGTGGCCGTAAGTCGCTGGCCCGTACGTCTCCGGTAAGCCCCTAGCCCTAGGTCTTGTTTAATGATGCGCGACATCGTCCGGACAGGAATCTTCATTTCCCTGGATAGGATCTTCTGCTTCCGGAGTGGATTCCTTTGAATCCTGGCTTTTACGGCTTTGATGGCTGCTGGAGTCCTTACTTGACGAGGTCTTCCGCTTCTTGGCCTGTCATCAACAGAGGACGTCTCATTGTACCGCTGAATGGTCCTAGACACAAATTTACGCGATATTTGAAGGCCGCGTAAGAGTTCAAAAATCTGACTAGCACTGTGATTACACTTATGTAAAGCTATCACTGCAATACGGTTCTCTACCTTGCCCCACTCCATCGTTATGCTTCGAGAGATCAATACAAACTGAGGTATATGTAATTACCCGAAAAGCGCTTAATCAACTGACACCACAATGTAAACAATCGGACAAGTATTAACAGGTCTACACTTGTTTGAAAACGAGGGACAGAACTTATGGCATGACTACGTATATATAACAACAAGTAGGAAAATAATGGGCAAAATCCGCAAAAAGGAGGAAAGTGGATTCGAGCAGAAAATAGGATAGGTAACCCGAGCGATACGTATTTCTGCTGGTTGGCTTCATCAGGCCCGAAATGAATGCACATATGAAACCACAAAAGTAGATACACATGCCCACATATCCGATACGGGTGTAACCCGAGGAAACGAAGTTGGAGGGGGAAAAAAACAACACACGAAGTCCACAACAAGAGCCAACCTACACATTGTAGTATAAAATGGCTATACGACCTCGAATTTTCAAGGAGACGTCTAGCCACCATCACGCGGCCGGTGATAGCCACTTGCTGTGGTACTTCAAGCCCAAAGTATCTACATTTCGGGCCTGATGAAGCCAACCAGCAGAAATACGTATCGCTCGGGTTACCTATCCTATCCACTTTCCTCCTTTTTGGGGATTTTGCCCATAATTTTCCTACTGGTTGTTATATACCTTTCTCCGCATGATCATATTCTCTCTCTCTCTCTCTCTCTATATATATATAAATTAAATATTTATAGGTGAAAAAATGACAGAAGAACAAGTCGATGAGTTGTTCGAAGACTGCTTAGATGAAGAGGATGATGATGGACAGATATCTTATATCCGTAAGTACGCCTGTTATTTTAATAAGTGGATACACGCAATAGAAGAGAAAAAAATAATAATAAACAAACGTAAAATTAATAAACAGAAAGATTTACTCGTTGGTAGAAACAATTACATTTTTGCCAGATAGATGTTTGTAGTTTGGGTGTAGGTCAACAACTGTTTGTTAATTGAAATAAAACAAAGGTGAAAAGTATATTTAAAAATGTTATCTTCTTTCATTGAGTGGATATGGCTACATTCTTTTTAATAAATTTGTGTAGATACTTGATAGACTATTTGTATGTTCTATAATTTATACTGGTATTGTTTTTTATAAATCATTTCAAGGATGTGTATTTTTAATAGTCCGGTTATTTGTCTAGAGTTTTTACATTTGTGAAATCAAATTACTGCATGTATGCCAAATGCGGTGGAGATATCATTTTTGTTTCTTATGTCATACTCATGCTTATACATACTTTTCATTATATACTGTTTAGTCTGTCCTATATATGAGCTTGGGCTTTTGCATGTTATTTTGTAAATGAAGTTGCTTTGTAGATCTCTCTGGATTGGGTGCTTTAGGTTTGAAAATATGTTTTTAGTTGTTACTACAGGTGTTGTGCCTGTACCAAATATCATCCAGATCCGTTTAGCTACTTTCGGGGTAATTGAGTAACAAACATTCACACTTTCTCATTTTTATTTTTACGTAATCTTTCTCACGTGGTACCAGTAAATCGTGCGTCTATCCAACTTAGGTATACAGACATTAAAATACATATAAACACTATAAACTGCGCCACGTTTTGTGTTTCAGAAAATAAATTATTTTTGGATCCTGGGTTCTTATCTAGGTACTCGTATGTGCTTGGTCATCAAAGTGATATTATTTCATTTCCTGTTCACATAGTCATCCGTAACCAAGAAACATTTAATACCAAATATTGGTCAGTAATGCATTCACCATATTCTGTAGTACACGCAGCGGCGGCTCGTATTCTATGATACAGGGGGTTCACAAGTGGTATGAAATAATTTTTTTTGCCACCACCAAATTTTTTTTCTTATGCGTGACGTAGAAGGCAATAAGAGTACTAAAACAAGCATCAAGGACACAACAAACGGTTTGTTGTGCTGCATCCACAAATCCAGTTATTCTTTTCATATATTTCCATTTTAAACTTTCTAATAAAGTCTCTAGATTTACCCTTTGTGGTCTGAGTTAAGTTAATATCTGGTGTAGGTCTTCCCGCATTTTTGATTTCAATTTTTTGCTCAATGAACTGAAGTTATGTTTCAAATATGCCACATTGAAACCATTAATTTTAACTCAATATCTTATTAAAATACTGCTACGAACATAAAAATTTTAACACGCCTCCAATTACTGCATAAAATGCACGCGCAACGGACAATGGCGCACTCCAGAAGTGTGCGCCTTCTCCAACTAAAATTGCGATAATCCCGCTATACCCCGCAACCGGAACAGCAGGGAAAGAAACACACTAATCCCGCGTACATGATCGCATATGCGACTATTCGTCGTCATCCGCCGTCACCCGTCGGCGGCAGTCGGACCGGGCCAGTCCAAATCACAAGTCCGAATTGCCCGAATCAGGCAGCGCACCGGTAAGACTGGTGACTCACCAGTGGAGAGCTACTAGATCTTTGATGTTATACGATTAAACATCAGGGAGGCTCGAACTTTATTTGAGAAACTATTAAATGGATGTTATACATATTTTTTATTATTTATTTTGGGGGTGCACGTGCTCATGTGCTCCTACAGTGGAACCGCCACTGAGTACACGTAGAAACTTAGAAAAATGGTGGATGTCATTACGTACATAACCCATGTAACCAACAGTGATCAATACAGCGTAATTTAGAAGTTTTATAATAGAGAGAAAACTGTGAATATTTTCTTTATGACTTTGTTATTGGCCCACTGATTTTTTTTTTAATTTTTATGTATACGTTTATATCCAATGTTTATCTCAGGATTAAGATTATACTCGGGGTCATCCTGTTAAAAGGATGCGCCAAACCTCAAAGTAAGGATTGGATTAAGATTTGGATTTGTCTTTACCGATATAGGCACTTAAATCAGATTTTTGAAATTCTGCGGCTAATCTGACACTAAAGCAAATGTCAGTTGTCATCTTGTCGAGGATTGAAAAAAGTTGATCCTAGATAGAGATCCTAGAATTATCCAAATTGTAATAATCTTAATCCTATTCCGTATAAACATAGTGACTTTAGAAAAACTATTTGACATTTGCAAAGCAAAAATGAAAATGTAATTTTTTGCAATAAAAAGTGACTGTTTGGTATATATGTGTCTGAAATTGCAACTTTTTTGCAGCATTCCTGAGGAGAATGTGCTCCCTGGACCCCCCTCTGAAGAAGAAAAAGTAGGATTATCCGTTTCAGATAATATGTAAGTTTAAGAAATATTCACATGTTAAGAGATAAGTACTGTACAGAAACATATAAAATAAAAATTGCACAGATAAGCCACATTGTTTCGCAATAGTTACAGCGTCTTTGATCCACTGCTGAACATGCGTATTTGATTTTTATGATGTATCATATATTATTATATTGAAACCACTTAGTTTCTTGATCATATGATAGACGTCATCCTGATTGCACCCAAAGCGGCTGGCGACCGCAATCCGACGACACCCAAATTCTGCATATGTATTTAACGATTTTGGAGGTGTCGCTTGCCTCACGATTTTGCGAGTGCCGCCTGCCCCACGACTTTGGGGGTATCGCTTGACCCACGATTTTGTGGGCGCTACTTGCTTCACGATTTGAGGAGGAACCGCTTGTCCCACGATTTTTTAGGGAGCTGCTTGCCCCACGATTTGGGGGGTGCTTGTCCCACGATTGGGGGGGGGGGTCAGCACGATTTTGGGAAGACCGCTTGCCGGTTGCCCCACGATTCTGAGGAGCGGCTTTCCGCTAGCCCTACGATTTAGGGAGGTTTGCTTGTGGCACGATTGGGGGGAAATACCGTTTGCCTTCACGATTTGGGGGGGACAGCTTGTTCCACGATTATGGGGGTGCCGCTAGCCGCTTGCCCCACGATTTTCAGGGACCGCTTACTGCTTGGCCCACGACTTTGGAGAACCGTTTGCCGCTTGCACTACGATTTTGTGAGTGTCGCTTTCCCCATGGTTTTGAGAGGCGGGGGGAGGCCGCCTGTTGCTTGACAACCCGATTTTGGGGGGACAGCTTGTTACACGATTTTGGGGGTGCCGATTAATGCTTGCACTACGATTTTGAGGGTACCGCTTGCAACTTAACCCACGATTTTGGGAGGACCGCTCGCTACTTGCCCCACGAGTTTGGGGGACCGCTTGCCGCTTGTCCCACGATTTTGGGGGTGACGCTTGTCGCTTAATCCACCATGTTGAGATGAATGCATGTCGCTTTCCCTACGATTTTGGGGAGCCGCTTTCCGCTAGCCCTACGACTTTGGGGGGATTGCTTGTGGCACGATTGGGGGGGAAGATCGTTTGCCCGCACGATTTGGGGTTGGGCAGCTTGTTCCACCATTTTGGGGGTGCCGCTCGCCGCTTGCCCCGCGATTTTGGGGGACCGCAATCTGCTTGCCTCACGATTTTGGAGGTGACGCTTGTCGCGTGCCCCACGATCTTGGAGAGCTGCTTACCGCTTGCTTAAAAATTTTGGGGATGTCGCTTACCCCATGATTTTGGGAGGATCGCTTGCAGCACGATTTTGGGGGGCGAGGGGAGGTCGCCTGCTGCTTGAAAACACGATTTTGAGAGGACAGCTTTTTACACGATTTTGGGGGTGCAGCTCGCCGTTTGCCCTACGATTTTCGGGGTGCCGTTTGTCATTTAACCTACCATTATGGTGGACCGGTTGCTGCTTGCCCCACGTTTTAGGGGGGCCGCTTGTTGCTTGCCCCACGATTTTGAGGGGACCGCTTGCTGCTTGCCCGATGATTTTGGATAAGCACTTGCCGATTGCCTCACGATTTTGGTGGTTCCGCTTGCCCCACGACTTTGGGGAAATCGCTTGCCGCTTGAGCTCACGATTTTGGGGGGACCGCTTGTCCCACGATTGTGGAGGTGCCTATTTCCGCTTAATCTACCATTTTGGAGGATCGCTTGCTGCTTGCCCCACGATTTTGGGGGATCGCTTGCCGGTTGCCCAAGGATTTTAGGGATACCGCTTGCCGACGATCTTTTTTATCTTACTTATCAAGGCAACGATGTCCAGTTTTACAATTTTTTAACTTGTAGTCAACTAATCTTAGGCAAAAACACATTCTCTTATACTTTGTAAATAGATAGCATTTCTGTTCAATTTATTTGAGAGGTAAGTTTCACAGTTAATATGATACATACGTAACTATCACATTAAACAAATCACAAAGAAATTGCACCAATCACAAGTATTCTCAAAAGTCAGCACAGCTTGTTACACGATTTTGGGGTGCAGCTCGCCGTTTGCCGTACGATTTTCGGGGTGCCGTTTGTCATTTAACCTACCATTATGGTGGACCGGTTGCTGCTTGCCCCACGTTTTAGGGAGGGCGCTTGTTGCTTGCCCCACGATTTTGAGGGGACCGCTTGCTGCTTGCCCGATGATTTTGGAGAGGCGCTTGCCGATTGCCTCACGATTTTGGTGGTTCCGCTTGCCCCACGACTGGGGAAATCGCTTGCAGCTTGAGCTCACGATTTTGGGGGGACCGCTTGTCCCACGATTGTGGAGGTGCCTATTGCCGCTTAATCTACCATTTTGGAGGATCGCTTGCTCCTTGCCCCACGATTTTGGGGGATCGCTTGCCGCTTGCCCCACGATTTTAGGGGTACCGCTTACCCACGATCTCTTTTATCTTACTTATCAAGGCAACGATGTCCGGTTTTACAATTTTTTAACTTGTAGTCAACTAATCTTGGGCAAAAACACATTCTCTTATACTTTGTAAATAGATAGCATTTCTGCTCAATTTATTTGAGAGGTAAGTTTCACAGTTAATATGATACATACGTAACTATCACATTAAAAAAATCACAAAGAAATTGCACCAATCACAAATATTCTCAAAAGTCAGCACAGCTTGTTACACGATTTTGGGGGTGCAGCTCGCCGTTTGCCCTACGATTTTCGGGGTGCCGTTTGTCATTTAACCTACCATTATGGTGGACCGGTTGCTGCTTGCCCCACGTTTTAGGGGGGCCGCTTGTTGCTTGCCCCACGATTTTGAGGGGACCGCTTGCTGCTTGTCCGATGATTTTGGAGAGGCGCTTGCCGATTGCCTCACGATTTTGGTGGTTCCGCTTGCCCCACGACTTTGGGGAAATCGCTTGCCGCTTGAGCTCACGATTTTGGGGGGACCGCTTGTCCCACGATTGTGGCGGTGCCTATTGCCGCTTAATCTACCATTTTGGAGGATTGCTTGCTGCTTGCCTCACGATTTTGGGGGATCGCTTGCCGCTTGCCCACGATCTTTTTTATCTTACTTATCGAGGCAACGATGTCCAGTTTTACAATTTTTTGACTTGTATACATCCAATCTTAGGCAAAAACACATTCTCTTATACTTTGTAAATAGATAGCATTTCAGCTCAATTTATTCGAGAGGTAAGTTACACAGTTAATATGATACATACGTAACTATCACATTAAAAAAATCACAAAGAAATTGCACCAATCACAAATATTCTCAAAAGTCAGCACAGCTTGTTACACGATTTTGGGGGTGCAGCTCGCCGTTTGCCCTACGATTATCGGGGTGCCGTTTGTCATTTAACCTACCATTATGGTGGACCGGTTGCTGTTTGCCCCACGTTTTAGGGGACCGCTTGCTGCTTGCCCGATGATTTTGGAGAGACGCTTGCCGATTGTCTCACGATTTTGGTGGTTCCGCTTGCCCCATGACTTTGGGGAAATCGCTTGCCGCTTGAGCTCACGATTTTGGGGGGACCGCTTGTCCCACGATTGTGGCGGTGCCTATTGCCGCTTAATCTACCATTTTGGAGGATCGCTTGCTGCTTGCCCCACGATTTTGGGGGATCGCTTGCCGCTTGCCCCACGATTTTAGGGGTACCGCTTACCCACGATCTCTTTTATCTTACTTATCAAGGCAACGATGTCCAGTTTTACAATTTTTTAAACTTGTGGTCAACTAATCGTAGGCAAAAACACATTCTCTTATACTTTGTAAATAGATAGCATTTCTGCTCAATTTATTCGAGAGGTAAGTTACACAGTTAATATGATACATACGTAACTATCACATTAAAAAAATCACAAAGAAATTGCACCAATCACAAGTATTCTCAAAAGTCAGCACAGCTTGTTACACGATTTTGGGGTGCAGCTCGCCGTTTGTCCTACGATTTTCGGGGTGCCGTTTGTCATTTAACCTACCATTATGGTGGACCGGTTGCTGCTTGCCCCACGTTTTAGGAGGGCCGCTTCTTGCTTGCCCCACGATTTTGAGGGGACCGCTTGCTGCTTGCCCGATGATTTTGGAGAGGCGCTTGCTGATTGCCTCACGATTTTGGTGGTTCCGCTTGCCCCACGACTTTGGGGAAATCGCTTGCCGCTTGAGCTCACGATTTTGGGGGGACCGCTTGTCCCACGATTGTGGCGGTGCCTATTGCCGCTTAATCTACCATTTTGGAGGATCGCTTGCTGCTTGCCCCACGATTTTGGGGGATCGCTTGCCGCTTGCCCAAGGATTTTAGGGATACCGCTTGCCCACGATTTTTTTATCTTACTTATCAAGGCAACGATGTCCAGTTTTACAATTTTTTAAACTTGTAGTCAACTAATCTTAGGCAAAAACACATTCTTTTATACTTTGTAAATAGATAGCATTTCTGCTCAATTTATTTGAGAGGTAAGTTTCACAGTTAATCTGATACATACGTAACTATCACATTAAAAAAATCACAAAGAAATTGCACCAATCACAAATATTCTCAAAAGTCAGCACAGCTTGTTACACGATTTTGGGGGTGCAGCTCGCCGTTTGCCCTACGATTTTCGGGGTGCCGTTTGTCATTTAACCTACCATTATGGTGGACCGGTTGCTGCTTGCCCCACGTTTTAGGGGAGCCGCTTGCCGCTTGCCCTACGATTTTGGGAGTATCGCTTTCCCCATGATTTTGGAGGGATCGCTTGCAGCACGATTTTTTGGTGGAGGGAGGCTACCTGCTGTTTGACAACACGATTTTCGGGGGACTACTTGCTGCATAACTCCACGATCTTGGGGAAGCCGCTTGCCTCAACATTTTGGGGGTGCCGCTTGTCGTTTAACCTACCATTATTGGGGGACCGATTGCTGTTTGCCCCACGTTTTTGGGGGGACCGCTTGTTGCTTGCCTCACGATTTTGAGGGAACGGCTTGCTGCTTAACCGATGATTTTGGAGAGGCTTTTGCCGATTGGCTCACGATTTTGGTGGTTCCGCTTGCCCCACGACTTTGGGAAATCGCTTGCGGTTTTAGCCCACGATTTTGGAGGGGGGACCGCCTGTCCCACGATTGTGGGGGTACCGATTGCCGCTTAGTCCACCATTTTGGAGGACCGCTTGCCGCTTGCCCCACGATTTTAGGGGTACCGCTTACCCACGATCTCTTTTATCTCACTTATCAAGGCAACGATGTCCAGTTTTACAATTTTTTAACTTGTAGTCAACTAATCTTAGGCAAAAACACATTCTCTTATACTTTGTAAATAGATAGCATTTCTGCTCAATTTATTCGAGAGGTAAGTTACACAGTTAATATGACACATATGTAACTATCACATTAAAAAAATCACAAAGAAATTGCGCCAATCACAAATATTCTCAAAAGTCAGCACGGTCTCCGAGTTTTAGAAGACTTTTTCTCGTCTCTTCTTCCTAGAACAAAAATTGAAGTTGAATACCTTCTCTGTTAATAGAAAATGGGGTAGAATGTGTGAGCAGATTTTCTAATTTCCAAACGTAAATGCGATTTTGGCTAAACTATCAGTGACATATACAGAAAATTTGCAATTTTTAGATCATTCATAGATGAAAAACAAGAAATAAACAGCTTGCCGTTTTCTTTGTCGCAGTGGTCGATTCTGGTAATAGATGACAATTTGTGCTGTGTTATTTCAAGGAATAAAGGGTCGTCAAGGGAGACGAAGTCAAAAACATAAAGAAAAACAAAAGAATCGAACACACAACATGGACGGCGACAATACGAAGCATTTTGAATACAGGGTGTTCGAAAAATAGACGGAGATATTTTAGAAGGTAATGCGGAGTTTTCAAGAAACAGGGTGATGAATTAAAAAAAATTTATTAATATCTCAAAAAACATTTACTCGATTCTGTTGAAATTTGGCAATACTATTTGTTGTATCTTGAAAGCTCTGCATTTTCGGACCTATGTTTATACGAAATTTTTTTCATACTTTAGAACAAGGAATCACCCTCCAAAATATCCCCGTCTATTTTTCGAACACCCTGTATAATGCTCTTGTTCAGTGACTCGATATTTACCACGCAGCAGTAGATGTTCCATCTCTCCAATAGTGTATTCGATCTGGACATTTTCGCTTCGTCTTTGGTCGTGCCTTCCCGGGAATTGGATGGAGATCTTGTCGTTCTTGTTTTGCTTGTTGGTGAGCGCCTGCTGCCAAATGTTCTGCCACAATTTCCGTCTGTCTTCTTCTTTTGTGTTCAGTATCGTTTGGACGAACTCGTTTTTATCTGAAAGCGTCAGACAGAAAAAACCTCGAGCTTCGAAATGTAAAGGCGCTAAGTTGATAAATGCTTTGTTAAAGAGGTTATGTATTATTTGGATAGACTTGCATTTGAAAGTTTGTTGCTTCAAGGTCGCAACATACAAACATTTACATATGACAATCTGTTTGTATGATGGGTATGTCGTGTAAGCGGCTTTGCATCAATCAAATGAATTTTGACATATCCTTTTACATAACCTCTTTTACTATTGTTTGACTGATGGTTATTTTGCCAGCGTAGCATGGTAGTATTTTATACATGGCGATTAAGAACAGTGGAAGGGTAGAAAGTATGCCCAAAAATAATAATAAATTCCGAAAGTCTCCTTCATCAAGACGCAGAGTCCCGTCAGAGTATGCGGTACCCAGAAAGAACAGAGTTTCTTTACATGTAAATGGCCTTGCACAATTGAATTAATTGCTGGTGCATGAAGGTGTAAGGTCTTCTCTATCTGAAATGAGGAATTCTTGATCCTTATAGGACAAAAAAAGAGGAATTCTCCACGCTGCTGACCTTCCTGGCATGTTTTTCGCATTTTTATATGAGCTGTTGAGGTTTATATGAATAGTCTTTTGTATTGTATAATTTCACCCGTATTATATATTTCTTTCTCAGCGATTCAGTATGGTGTTGACGATCAGCAAAAAACTCTGTAGTTTTTCTCCGTTAGTTGGTTTCCTATAAAACATATCTTCTTCAAGGTCACTCAAGATACCTTCTTCCAGAACGTTACGTGTTCTGCGTGATTAGCTTTTCTGTTTCCGTTCAGGTCGTGGTGCAGGGGTCGTTTCGACATTTTCCGGACTCTAGGATATTAGGCCCCAAGCGCCAATTCATGGGCTAGCACCCTTTTTTGTGTAACTCAAGTTTAGTCATCAACCCATACAGCAGCCTCGGAATTCGGACGGATTACACGGAAAACGACAAAAGCAAAGCAAACGGTTAACGAATATTGGATGCTGGAATATACAAGGACTAAAGATGATCAAGTATTTACAGAACTCCACACATACGACATCGACATAGCAGTACTCAGCGAAACAAAGAAGAAAGGACAAGGAAACAGCTACAAAGATGAGTACATATGCTTTTGGAGTGGAGTAGAAAAATCGAAACGGGCCAAAGCTGGTGTAGCTATTGCAATAAAAAAGGTCATGGAGAAGTTCATAATGGACTGGAACCCAGTTGACGAAAGGATCATAACGGTTGACATGAAAATATAAGGAAGAGAAATTAAAATATTCGGTATCTACGCGCCCACAGACGACTCAGATACAAACACAAAAGACAAATTTTTTGACAAACTCTCTGAGGAATTAGATAAGACGAAAAATAGACAAGAAATAGTCTTGATAGGCGACCTGAACGGAAGAGTGGGCAAAGCTCTTGACAGCAAAATAATTGGACAACACGGAGAGGAAGTAGTCAATGAAAACGGAACCAGATGGATAGAGCTTTGTGAACAACACTCGTTAAGAATCTTAAACGGATTTTTCCAACACAAAGACATACACAAATATACTTGGACTCAAAAAACAAAAAACTTGAAATCAATTATTGACTATGTCGTGATTAAGCAGGACACTTCCATAATACCCTATGATGTAAAAGTTTTGGAGAGGAGCTGAGTGCGGTTCAGATCACCTGCTAGTAAAAGCACCCATTGAAATTACTTACAATAAACATCTCATATATCAAGAACAAAATAACAATGGAAAACCCACAAAGCGATATAACATAGACAGCTTAAGGGATGAATCCACCAGTTTCCTTTACAAACTACGTTTAGCACAAAAACTGGACGAAGATATTAACGGCAAGGCAGAAGAAATGTATGAAACTTTGAAACACAAAATTCACGAAGCAGCACTAGAAGCCCTTGGTGTTAAAGATAGAACGGAACACAAAAATTCTTGGTGGACGGACGATTTAACCCAACTGGTAGAAGAAAAGAAAAACTTATATCTTAAATGGTTAACTACAAAAGACGATGAAGATCGAAAAAGCTATAATCGTTTTAAATATACAGTAAAAAAAGAAATTAAAAAAATAAAAAACAAAACATGGGAAACCAAATGTGCTGAAATTAGCTCAATGGTAGGAGGATCTAGGTCTAGAGAAGCTTGGCGAACTATAAATGGTGTTAAAACAAACACGAATGAAAGAAGAAAAAATAAATCCCATAAAAATAGAACAGTGGAAAGACTACTACAATAATCTACTGGCAGAACAACGTGGACAGTATTTAGACACGCAACTAGATATAGATCAAACGGGAGTTAGCAGAGTAGATACCATTCAATTAGAAGAAATAAAAACAGCATTGCAAAAAATGAAAAATAATAAAGCTCCGGGACCGGGGGATTTGCCTATCGAGTTAATTAAACACGCCACCACGAGAACGCACGAGCTACTTTGTGTAATTTTTAACAAGTGCCTGGAAGGGGAAACGATTCCCAGAGATTGGAGGAGCTCTTACATAAATTCCATTTATAAAAAGGGAAACAGGAGTGACTGTAGTAATTATCGGGGTATTAGTATTACATCGTCCATCGGAAAGCTGTACGAAAGAGTCCTAACAGCCCGAATAGAAGACGAAGCCACGGAAATTGAAGAACAAGTGGATTTCGACCTGGGCGATCCTGTGTCGACAACATATTTACAATAAAACAACTGACAGAAAAGAGATTAGCAAGAGGAATGGAGCTACACGCTACTTTTATAGATCTCCGCAAGGCATTCGACTCCGTCCCTTTGCAGAAATTATGGATCGCAATGAAAGAAGCAGGCATAAATAGCAAATACATAAACGCCGTAAAAGCAATGTATAGAGAAAATCAAGTGGTCGTTAAAGTCGGAAATCAAATTTCTGAGGCTTTCCCACAAACAAAAGGTGTTAAGCAGGGCTCCTGCCTCTCTCCAACCCTGTTTAAAATTTATCTCTGCAGCGCTTTAAAACAGTGGATAAGAAAGTGCAGCCCCATGGGGATATGGTTAGAGGACTTTCACTTGTATACAATCCTCTTTGCAGATGATCAGGTAGTCTTTGCAGAAGACCAGCAAGACATGACTTACATGATAAACAAACTTATAGAAGAATTCACTAAATGGGGTTTGGAGATAAATATACAAAAGACACAATGCATGACTATAGGAGGCACAGGACAAGACATCGAAACAAAAAGCGGAAAAATAGAAAACGCCGGACAGTACCAGTACCTAGGAGTTACAATAGATGAAAGCGGAAAGGATAATAAAGACATACTAAGGAAAATAGGAAAAGGAAAAAATATGATTAAAGCACTACATCCGATCTTGTGGAGTAAGAACCTAACAAAGAAAACAAAAAAAATTATATATCAGGCTATGATTCAGCCAGTACTGACGTATGGGTCAGAAGCGTGGGTTGTAGATAAAAATATGTCACAAAAGCTTCTCTCAACCGAAATGATGTACTGGAGAAGATGTTCCGGTTTAACTTTACTTGACCATGTTAGAAATGAGACCATCAGAGAAAGAATGGAAGTCGAAAATACAATAATGGACGATGTAACAGAGAGGCAGTTAAAATGGTATGGACACCTGCAACGAATGAACGAAGAAAGGATACCATTAAGGGTTTGGAAATGGACACCAGCACAAAGAAATAAACGAGGAAGACCACGAAGGAAATGGATTTCAAACATCCATACCGCAATGGAAAGTAGAGGACTACATGAAGGAGACTGGAACGATAGGATACGATGGCGTTTGGGTTGCGAGAAGCGACCTTAGGTTGCAGAAACTCGCCATATATAAGTTTAGTCATTTTGGTTTGGGTGCTACGTCTTCCATTTTTTTTATGGGATTTTGACCCTAAGCGGCAAGTTCTTTTTATATACTTTCGGACCACGTGCCTTAATGCGTGTCCTGATGACGTTCGTTCAATATCTGCTTTCTTTTAGTCAATAGAAACAGAAGAGAATCGTCATCCTTTCTCCTCCAGTTGGTTGCAGAGCTAGAGCCTAAATTTGCACGACATTAGACAACTGTTTTGCTTGGACCAACCGTTAGATACTATTGTGTTCTAATAACCAAAAAAAGACGTGGCACTTTCTTGAGGAGCTTTTGTAAGACCATTCTTTTCGGATATGAATCCGTTTGAATTTTTAATATGAAACCATGGAATTAAGAACACGCCAACGTTAGGAAGGTTTGAACATTTTGAAGCCTTCTGTCGCGTAGAAACTGGCACCTAGTAAGAGAAACATTTAGAGCCCATGAATCATCATTAGATGCACCTTCTGATCTAGAAGTATTAGCACTGTTTTTTTAATCATCCTGCATGCAAGTTTATTAACAGCAAGGTAAACCTCAATGTTTCTCTATGGCACCAAACGTTCAGGAACAATCGGGGTACTAGCTATTATATAAAATGATTATACTTACAGTGATTAACAGATTCGTGTGATTCATTCTTTAGGACAGATGAGGTCTTCGAATCCTGCGATTCTTGCCATTTGAACATCTTGGGATTTACATAGGCCACACACACAGCTTCCTTCTTCAAGGTACTGTCTCTTTCTGGGCCTGGCGCTTTTACCTTCTTTTCGTCATTCAGCTTTGTCTCCTGGAACAAAGATATGGTCAGCTTTTGCAGAGCTAAAGAATCGAACAGGTACTAAGTTCACACCTCCAGTTATCACACTTTTTAGTTAGGATTTTCCATACCACCGCCAACCTAGCTTATCCCTTTACTGAACTTCGAATGCATTGATGTATAAACTATTTTTTTTAATTTCTCCAGTATGGATGAAGCTACCCCAGTCGAAATACTTAGTGGCCATGACAAAAACTCCACTTCAGTTTTTTTTTTTTTTTATATCGAAACAGCCGCGCAGGCAGAAGCCTAAATGCCGGAACACCGCGGCTGCTATGATGATCCCAAAGAAATTTTGTTAATACGATTTTTGAACTGCCTAAGGTTAGTAGAACTGGGAAAAGCTTCCTCCCGTAGATTGTTCCACAATCTAGACACCCTCGAGACAAAGGAGCGGTCGTATCGGCCAGTTCTGGATGTACAAAGTTTGACACGGTTAGGATGGGACGCCGAAGTCAGGCGGGTCTGTCTGGAAGGCACATCGCGCGGCGGCATCATGGAAGAGAGCTCTAAAGAGCAAAGCCCGTTGGTGTAGCGATAGAAAAGAGCTAGATCGCCGACGGCCCGCCGGTGCGAAAGAGTCCCGAGAATGTCTGTTAGGGAAGAGTCATCGATCAGTCGGACCGCCCTCCTCTGGACAGCATCGAGCATGGACAATGTAGTCGGGGCGGCAGCACCCCAAATGTGTGAGCAATACTCGAGGCTAGGCCTCATCTGGGCCTTGTATAGAGTGAGAAGGTCATGCGGAGAAAAGTACTTCTTAGCCCTAAACAAATAGCCTAGCTTTTTCCCAGCAGCTGCAGCTATTGAAGAGATGTGTTCGTGCCAGATTAGGTCCTCGGTGATCTGGACTCCGACCAGCCGAAATGAATGGCTCTTTGGTAGAACTCGACCGTCCATCGAAACTGTATGAGCGCTAGGACGCTTTTTGTTCGTCAAAGTACAGTACTGTGTTTTGGAAGCATTGAACTGTACAAGATTGTTGCGTCCCCAAGCAGTGATAGCCTCCAGGTCTCTTGTCAGAGAAGAAGTCGTCGCTAGTCTTCTTTTTTCCAGCTCAGCGGCAGAGATCGGCTTGTCACTCTGAATCCCCGCATGCAGAGTGCTGTCATCAGCGAAGCTGTGGATTGGGTTGATCGTGCAGGAAAGGAGGTCGTTGATATGTAAGAGAAACAGTGTTGGAGCCAAGACCGACCCCTGGGGAACACCCGCGTTGAGGTTGTGGGATGAAGAGGAGAATCCGTCAATTACGACGGATATCTTGCGGCCAGAGAGAAAGTCAGCCACCCATCTGCAAAGTTTTTCTGGGAGGCCGTAGGATGGAAGTTTGCTCAAGAGGGCAGCGTGCCACAGCTGATCGAACGCTTTCGTGATGTCAAGAGCAACGACATGAGCCTCACCATGAGACTGGATGAATTTACTCCACAGTTGCGTGACGGAAGCTAGGAGGTCCCCTGTGGATCGTTGGTGCCGGAAACCGTACTGCCTGTCGCTAATCAAGCTGTGACGTTCGAGGTAGTCCAGAAGTTCGCGATTTATGCACCTCTCCATCACTTTACTTATAACAGAAAGCAGAGCTATAGGCCTGTAGTTGTAAGGGTCGGTTTTAGATCCTTTTTTTGGGATGGGCTGTACATGAGCAAATTTCCAGTTTTCTGGGAAGGTGCCGGATTCATAAGATATCTGGAAGAGACGCGAAAGGACTGGAGCAAGCTCAGCTGCACATCTCTTCAGTACAATGGCAGGAATCAAGTCCGGACCAGAAGCTTTGTTGATGTCGAGCGACAAGAGCACTCGTCTTACGGTCTTATGCCTGAATGTTACCTCCCTTTGAATTGACGGCACTTGGGCGTTGGTGGGAACGTCCATGGTGGAGTTGGCAGCAAAGATCTTGGCTAGCACTTCCGCCTTGGCCTTTGAATCAAATACAATAGTTCCATCCTGACACGTAAGTGGTGGAAGGCTACTGTGTGAGAAGTTCTTTTCAATCTGCTTGGCCAGCGTCCAGAAAGACCGACTGCCATTGCGCTGCGACATTACCCTGTGCCTAACTTTTATATCATGCTGGGTTTTGGCATTGCGAACCGCTTCGTTATATTTGTTTGTGGACTCGACGTCGGCTTGTCTGTTCTCTACAGTGGGGTTTTGTAAGTAGGTTCTGTGGGCCTTGATCTTCTGCTGGCGAGCAGTGTCACACGATTTGTTGAACCAGCCGTTGGACCCTGGTTTAGGAACTTTCACTGTGTGAGGGATGTATTCCTCCATTCCGACGTGGATAATTTCGGTTATTGAAGAACAGACAGTCGACGCATCCGCGTCAGTGAAGCAGACATCTCTCCAAGGAAAGTTAGAGAAGAAGTCTCTGAGCCCCTCCCAGTCGGCATGTCCGTAATGCCAAGTTTTGCGGCCTGTGCGAGTTTCTGCGGCCACAGCGGCTTCTGACCGAAACCTAACCTCCACAACACCGTGATCTGAGTTACCCAGGGGGGACAGGACAGCAGTGCTGTAAGGGGCAGGATGCGTGGTCAGAAAGAGATCCAGCAGGCTACTGGCGTGTGACGAGACGCGGGGGAAAAAAGTAGGGCTCGTCACCAGCTGGGTCAGCCCTTGAGTAAGAGCGAACGCTTCGACTGCACGACTTGCTGCATCGGTCTTATTTGAGCCCAACCAAAGCTCATTATGGGCATTGAAATCACCGAGAAGAACTACCTCTGAAGCGGGGTGATTGATGTTCAGGAAGTCGATCTGGACGGCTAGGTATTCGAATAGCCTAGAATAGTAGAATATATGTCGAATGCCTAATGACCATAGACAAAACTAGATTTTTTATTTGAAACAAGAAATTGTTTATGTAGTACGTTTCTCAAAATACATCACATTCGTCAAGATGAGCAACCACTACAAATAAATAATTTCGTTTACGTTCACAACTTATTTTTCTTCCTCTTTCGCTTTTGATCAATCCCATCCACAGTAAGTGACGCTTTACCCTGAGTCTCAGCTTTCGCTTGGACTTACTACAGTAGCGATTACACTGCCATTCCATCCTACCTTAACTGGCAACTCATTCACGGCATTGTACAGGTTATTAGACAATTCATCAACGAAGTCCTTCAGCTCAGTCTCTTTAGGCTTCTCCTTGGACCACTTGAGCGCGTTCAGCGTGTCTTCCATCAGAGCGATGATCCTGTTCTTCAAGTCTATTCCAGGCTTCAGGATCTCCTCCCGCCATTTCCACGCGCTGCTGCTGCTGTGTTCGGTATGACGGGTCTGTTTGGAGGAGGTGTGGATCGCGTTTTGGTCTATTTCGGCCCGCGTTCGCCCCGGGTACTGATGATGGCGAGCGGGTTCTTCAACGATTATCGGCTGGACCACTTTGTGATAGAGAGGGCTGTATCTGGAAACAAGGATTGCAGGTACTTGAAACGTCGATAGGAGGTGACCAATCGCCGGAATTATACAAGAAAACACGTGCGATTGACAAATGTTTCGTCGATTGATATAATTTATTTATAGGTGCATTCTATATGTGTCTCCTCTGGTATATTTGTGGAAAAACGTTCGGACACGTCAACTTTGATTTCTAGGGGGACGTATTTTCATCCATAGCCATACAATACAGAATGATCCAAAAATGAGATATTGCATTACACTTTAGATTTTTCCATGGAAAACCCCACTTTTTTTAATTTTTACATTTTCCATGAAGTTTTTGGTATCTTTTGTACAATGAAGTTTATACATATCGTCAGTCGTTGTGAAGCTATTTGAGTTTATAATAAAACTACTTTTTTTTTGCAGGTTTACAGGTTGCTTAAAAATAGAAACTTTCTATGGATTTTGCTAAAGATTTTCTTACATACAAAGTATGGCAATATACATGGTAAATACAAAACAATATGGCTTTAAATCTAATATGTTTAAACGAGCAATTCGTTCCGGTCACAAAATACAGGGTGCTAGTTTTCTGTATTTATGTATAAAACTAGCATCCTGTACTTTGTGACCAATTGACGGAATCAATCATAAGAAATATTCTTATTCGAAGCTGGCAATTCTTCTTCGATTCTCTTAGATACAATAATATCTAGTTCCTTGTCGGGTTTTGCTTGTAATTTGTAATTTCGCCACACTTCGTTAACTAAGTTTTGTACATTTTGTACTTTCGTACTTGTATGAGATTTTTTAAAACTTTCAAACAATTTTTGGTATAACTTGGATTTGTCTATGTGAAACGACAACTTATTTAAACATTAAACTTTGGCTAATGGAATCAATGGTAACACAAATGTTAACTTGTTTTTGCTATGCTTACAATAAGTCTACTTACTCGCTATAGTATCCGAACGAAACAATACACTGATAGAGGAAATTTAGACAAGTGAACACCGCGAGTAGGGGAATTACCGAGCGCTGTTCACTAAACGTATGCATTATTTGCGGGAATCCCCGAAAACTCGTTTCGTTTTCAAGCAAAGACAATGTGAGGGTTGTCATTCGTGTAAAAAAGTAAATAACTACCGATGACGTAATCATCATCTAGACTCCCTATGTCATCCAAAATAAGCAAAGCAAAGACCCCCCCGCCCCCCCATAGTGCTCACGTAATTCTTGAACGGCCCGTCAGTCAGAATTGAAGACGCAGAAATAGCAGTTTTGGGACACGTAGCACTTGGCAAAAATTTAAAAATAATTTTTCCGATTGAGAATATTCAAGTGATAATGAAGCTCATTCATCCCAAGTTTTCAAATGAAGGCATGTCCAATCGGAAAAGATATTTCTAATGTTTTGTTCATATAATGAACAGCTAAATAAAACCTTATTACTAAAATTTGATTTTTCTATTTGATTCATTGAAGCAGTGCTTGAGAAAAGGCTGCGGGGTAGCCGAAACGTCAGTGCAGTAATTCTTTCATCACGCGTGATTGCGTTTGTTACCCACTTATCTCGTTTAGGTTCTGGAACAGCGTACTTCCTCGGCGAGCCGGACTGCATTTTGACGTTGCTAGGTGCCGCTTTTGTGATGTGCGTCACCAGCTTTGTTATGATCCTCCTGAAGTAGTCTTTGGGCACGGATTTCTCTTCCTGGATAGCCATCCTGGTTTCTAACTCTTTGATTCTCGTCGATAATTGTTGGAAGTACCACTCGCAGGGTGCAGGTTCGTCTGCGAAGTTTACAGACCGCTTGCGTCTGGAACTGAGCAATTACCACTTCGAAGTTGAGTCATTTATTTTAACAGTGAGTAGATCTGATCAAAAGAAATGTTTTTTTCCTTTAACATTTTTGTGGTAAAATTAAAGTAACAAAGTTATAGCCCTTTAGAAGTTTGAGTACCGCCCTGTCTCAATAATAATATTATGTGCTCGTGTTTGGCGACAACGGATATAATCCGCCTTATCGGTTGATCGCATCGGATACAAAAAAGCGAAAGAATTTGGAACGATGTTTTTACAATTATTTCATTCAGTTGTATACAGTCAGTGTCAGTCGGTAGTGAATAGTGGTATCTGTTGCGTGGCTCAAATGAAATAAAAAATGGCACATGTTTTTGCGGATCGGTTTCCCAATCGAGTGCAACCAACCCCTCGTGCCTTTGTTAATGTAGTACAACGGGCTCGTGAATCAGGTGACTTAAGACCTCACGGGGGAGGGCATGCCGGTGCTCCAAGACCTCACGATCAAATACAGGTCCGCACTGAAATACTTATCGGGAGGATACTTTATGAAACAAGGTAAATTTTTTTTTAATTTTTTTTTATTTTTACACACATATTTTGGTTTATCTTCCTTCTACAATCATTATCTGAAAATTAATGACTCAACTTCAAAGTCACCCTGTATACAGGGTGGTTACAAAGTTGAGTCATCTGTTTTAACAGCTTGTGGAACTCTTCAAAAGGTGTTGATATAGCAAGAATCACCTATATAAAAGTTGCATAGTAAGAGAGTTAGTTTTGCATTATTAAAAATTATTTAAAAAAAGTCATTATCAAGGTAAATAGATACCGTTTTTACAAAATTGTTCTGCGAATCCACGGCTCTTAACAAGCTGCGAAGATAAAATTCTGGTGTCGACGAATTGAATCACAAGCATTCTCAGTTGTCGTACTTCCAGAGTATTTACTGCTCAATCATGATGAAGTTCAACAGTTTTTGGGATGGAGAAAACCACTTGTATTATGTCTTACCGAAACACATGCTACAGAAGACATCACTGATGGTGAATTACAAATTACTAATTATAAAACCTACAGATGCAACTCCAATTCCAGACATACTGGAGGTGTAGCGATTTATGTTTACCACAAAATACAGATCACATTATTCGATTGTACCACTTTAGACTATGCATACTGGTATGCACATATACAGTTCAAATTATTTGGGAAACGGTATGATCTGTGTACTTTTTACCGTTCACCAAACAGTGATGCGGATACGTTTTTAACGTTTTTTGAAGAAAAATGCGAAGAAATGTGGAATTTTAGAAACAATATAGTTCTTTTAGGTGATTTTAATTTAAATTATTATGGTAAAAGCATGAAAACAAGAAAATTGAAAGAAACCATAAACAACTATGGGTTCAAGCAAAAAATTGAAGAGAGTACCAGAATAACATCATTATCAGAGACTTTGTTAGATCTTGTTATTGTAAATTTCGAATGTGCAGGGATTAAAGCTGTACATACACCTAAAGTTAGCGATCACAGTTGGACAATGCTGCCCTTGGTAGGGCATTTTTCTGGTACAAAAATAAGAAAATCGTAAATACTATCAAGTACGAAAAACTTGAACGAGTACTTGCTGGCTGCTATTGGAATTTTGGTGAGAATATGGAAAAATATATGACAACATAATAGGAAATATAAAAACTTGTTTAGATCTTGCAACTGATAAAAAAGTGATTTGCTCGACAAAAAATACACCCTGGTATAACAAGAATATTAAGGCAGCTCAAAATTTGAGAGACAAACAATACAATAAATGTATATTCACAAAATCAAATGATGATTGGGAGGTCTACAAAACTCTTAGGAATAAATGTGTATATGTAATTAGAGAAGAAAAAAGGAAATTCTACGATAAACAAATCGATAATAACAAGTGCGACAGTGTAAAGTTGTGGAAGACTTTAAAAAGACTGATCAATTCGAAGACGCATGATTGTGTAAATCAAGTTCAATTCGAAAACGGTACCGAAATAAATTCTTTGGTGATTGCAAACAAACTAAATGAATATTTTGTGGAAAGTATTGTTGATATTGTGGGTACTGCCAATGCTGCACCTGACTATATGAAAATCAGTTTCCAGGGGGAAATGTTGCATACACTTTCAAAATTTCACAGCGTGTCATTGAATTATCTAAGAAAAAAGTAAACAGTTTAAAATCAAATAACAACTGTACCGAAATGACTAATAAAAACGTGCTGAAAAACTGTTTCGAAATTTTGGGATATCCTGTATTAAATTGGATCAATTGTTCACTGAAAAGCAGTTCTTTTCCTGAAAATTTGAAACGCTCTACAATAACACCAGTTCCCAAAATAAAAAATTCTAAAAGATGCAGCGATATGAGACCAGTAAATGTGTTACCAGACATTGAAAAATTAGTCCATAGTGCATGACCAATTAATGCAGTTTATAGAAGAAAACAAAATTTTAGTGGAGGCGCAAGCACGCTTTCGAAAAAAATATTCCACAGAAACAGCTTTCCAGTTGGTAACTGAGCATTGGAGAAGAGCCATAGACTCAGAAGAAGTTGTTATTGCAGTATTTTTGGATTTGAAGAGGGCATTTTAAACGATTGATAGAGATATTTTGTTAGGTAAATTGAAGGCATATGGTATAACAGGAAGTGTTTTAGATTGGTTTTGAAATTATTGGTCTAAAAGGATGCTAGCTACAAAAGTTAATGACACTATTTCATCAAAAATTGAAAATACGTTGGGTGTTCCACAGGGCAGTATCCTGGGACCACTTCTTTTTATTTTATACATAAATGATTTACCTGCCATAGTCAAAAAATGCAAAATTCAGATTTTCGCCGATGACACTATGATTTATATAAGTACTAAAAATATTCAGTCTGGTATCTCTTATATAAATGACGACTTGAAGCTTGTCTCAAAATGGTTAGCATCTAACAGACTAAAATTAAATGCAAGTAAAACGAAAGCCTTGTTAATCGGAAAAGAACAATGTACAAATGTTCAACTGAATATTGATGGTGAAGATATTGAATTCGTAGAAAATTTTAAATACCTGGGGGTTTTTGTTTACTCTCGACTAATTTTTGATATTCATTATGAAAAAGTTATAAATAAGATTAGTAGTAAAGTGGGATATTTATCGAGAGTTTCTGGATGTCTGAGTTCATATAGCAGAAACATTATCTATAATACCATCATTCTACCAAATTTGTTGTACTGTTCGACTATTCTATATTTAGCAAATAATTCCATTTTTGAAAGACTGCAAATTTTACAAAATAAGTGCATGAGAATAATACTAAATAAAGATAAATATACTACTACCAACTCGTTCAACAGGCCCCACAGAAAAAATCTCAAGGCGTTAAATCCGGGGAGCAGGCCAAGAAATGGGAATATATTATAATTCTACACCTAGTATCTCGAAGGGGTGAGGGTGCATTTCAGGAGCCATTTTTGTACGAACCTTCCTTGCTTTAAGGAAACATTTCCTTTTTTTTTCTAAGCACTCTGTATAAATGATTTACTTACGGGTTTCCAGTCTCTTTTCGTATACACGGACTTTTAGCTTTCCTCGGGTCTATCATTTCTTCGGTGGCGAAAGGTTTCTTCTGCGAATCTGCTACTATTCCTAATATCGCACAGTTCTTGCACAGGCACGGAGTCGACGGTTTTTCATTATCCGGTCGGTACTTATTTTTACAGCTGAATACCTTGTTCAGATCAGAAGCAGGCTTGTGCGTCCTATATACCTGCCGTACCTGTAACCAAAAACAGACGAACAATTACGTTAAGCAGATAGTCTCTGCATTTCGCCGTCGAAGCTAGACCCTCTGAGAAAAAAATAGTTACGAACACGTACAATTGAAAAATTAAGCTGATCTAGTCGGTCAAACAGGCCCACACATTTCTCAAGAACTGTTGTTCTGAATCGGATGAAAGTATGAAAGTTTGCTGAGAAAACGTTGCTTAACCAACGTTTCTATTCAATTGACGAGTACGTTGACGCCATGCTCCGATAGATAATAAATTAGATTGTAATGGTAAATGGTACAGTATGTTATTATTATAAAAAAATTGTAGCCCCAAAGGACTTTTGTGTTACGAATTTATGTAGCATTCGCGTTTCAAAAAGCTTACCTCAGGATGTCCTCCAGTTTCACGTTGCAGCAGATATTTGATTTGACCAAAAAACTCAGGGTCATCTAAGTAATAGACTTTCTTGTTTTCGCTGACGTCGCACTTATCTCTCCGTTGTCTATCTTTTGGAACAGGATTGCTGATACCGTCTCCTGAAGAGTAGTCCACGTATTGGCTTTGTTCCGCATGGTGCTCGTTTTCTAGTAAAATGATAAGATGCAAGTTACAACCGCAACAGTCAAACATTTATACGCGCAGCTTAAATTGAAAATCCTTGCCATTCGTTAAAAAGCCGGACAGACCAACGGACCAACGGAAATAAGAGACGTGGTTTTTCGTGACGTATATGTCAAAAATATAATATCTCATTTTCGAAATGTTTCGCCATATCAGTAGGCCACGAGGCTCTATACAAATATTGAGTTTACCGCCTTTCATTCCCAGGTTATCCGTTTCTATCACCTTATTTCCCTGGATTATAACATTTAACAGAACAGGAGCAGTACTGCGGCTGCAGCCGAAAAAACTTGGCAGATACAATGCATGAAAACGGCAGCGTTATTACGCGAAAAACCTATAAAAACGTTTTTTGAAGTAATAAGCTCATTTATAACTAACGTTTTGTATCAAAATTCATAGCAGCTATAAACTGTCTAACTTCTTCCGCACTCATAGTTCTTTTCTGCGTGGTATAGGTTTTCTCTTTGGGTTTTATCACGGTCACGTCGAGCAAAGCGGACGCGCACTTTTCGGGACTTGTGATGATCTCCTTAACCTCTTCGTCCATTTCCAACTCAAGGCACAGTCCGACATCATCCTTAGGTGAGCGAGAGCCCTATAAAGTTATTCTAAGTATATTTACTTGTTGTATACATTGTACACATTGTACACATTGTATACATTGTATACATTGTATACATTGTATACATTGCATACATTGCATACATTGTATATATTGTATATATTGTATACATTGTATACATTGCATACATTGCATACATTGTATACATTGTATACAGTGTATACATTGTATGCAGTGTATACATTGTATACATTGTATACATTGTATACATTGTATACATTGTATACATTGTATACATTGTATATATTGTATACATTGTATACATTGTATACACTGTATACATCGTAAACATCATATACATCGTATTCATCGTATACATCGTATACATTGTATACGTTGTATACGTCGTATACATTGTATTCAATGTATACTCGTACATTGTACACATTGTATACATTGCACACGTTGTATACATTGTAAATATTGTACACATTGTATGCATTTATACAGTTTTCTTGGCTTTCCGTAACAATGCGCAATCAGAAGCTGAATTGTCTGTTTATAGTTTGCAACTTCAAATTAAAAAGAGCTCGCTGCGGCTCTTGGCGCTCCAGACCCAATGATATGAGTGAAAATTCGGCAAGCATCTTGCTTCGGTGTTATTCAGCAATAGTTATATGGGGATACGGCGATATTCAAGAGAAGATGTGTTGTGAATATAATTCTGCCCTATACCTTATTCGCGTCGTTCGTTTGGACATTGTTTGGCCTTCGTGACAACTTGTTTTTCTGTTTGTTCATTATTTTCTTCGACCACGGTGCATCTTGACGTCTAGAGTTAAACTCGCGTATAATTTTGCTGCATGGATGTCGAAATGCGGATGATTAAAACAGGGACGTTAATTTGACATTACTGAAGTTTTGATCGAACAAGTGAGCCGGAAGCATTACGTAACAGTCATTTTGACGTTTAAGTGAAATATTTGATGAAAATGTCTTGCGAACTTGTTAACACAATAGGTACGTTATATTTTATTTGATATGTAGATTATTAAGTGAATTAATGCAGAGGAAGATATTGTCACTGCAGAGATACAGCACTATGCTTTTTGTTGTAACGAGTATAGGAGGAAGCCAACGTGATATACAAAGTGTACTCGTATTGTCTATAAATTGCATTCAATCAGACCATTACCGAGAAGGTAACTGATACGAAATCATGATTAAATATTGCTCTAGGGCTCATGGTCATCGGTTTTTAAGATTCAGGTATACACACAGACCGAAAAACAGACAGAAATTATGTTTTTTTTCGTAGAGTTCTAGTGATATAAAACATCTATATTTCGAATTAGCTGTACATATAATTTGAAAATGACACTGAATTAACGCGTTAGAATTGTGTATTTATCAAGTAACGAAATAATTGCGCAACTGATTGCTGTGTTTGAAGCGGTGACAATATTGAAAGCGAGAACGTATAGGTCCAGACTACATAACCGTTAGTACCCCAATAGAGTGCAGTTTATATGTTGAACTAGGTCTAACTATGTTGTCACTCCCACGTTTTCTCCTCTACAAGGCGACGTGTTCAAATGTTCATTTCGACGTTTTTCCTCTCGACTTCCATCACCAACTTTGTATTTCCATATAATATTGGTCTAGGTGCAAAGTTTTCATATAAATAGTAACGGTAGTGTCCAACATAAGATACCCATAAAAGTGTACACTATGCTTGGGTTTTAACCGATGTCGAATTATATGAATACAACAAATTTTCTATAAGTATATATATTCGTCAAATATATAAATTTATTATCAAGTAATATATTGATTTTTAATGTCTACAAACTTATGGATGTTTGGCCTTGGTTGATTCAGGGTCCATAACTTTGATCCAATTTTTAAACGTTTTTTACGTTCTATATGTTACTATATGAAATTTTCATCAGATTGTACGTTTTTGCAGCTATTCAAAGTTTTAATTTGGAGTTGATTTAATTTTGGGGAAGATTTGTTATCACAAGAAAATTTGATAAAATAAGTTTCGTTCAAATTGGCTATTAAATCCTTTCCTTGAAAAAATTTGTAAACTTTTGATAATCGAATACAATTTTGTTTTCTAAAGAAGCCCATTCTTTTAGTAAATAATTGCCGTATCGTCTGCGAAACCAATAATTTCTTCATCGTCTTTTAAATTAAAAAAAGATCATTAATATATACTAAGTGACATATAAATCCGAACACTCAGTTTAAATAGTTTTATTTTAATAAGTACTTAATGAAGCATAATAAATAAACGATAAAAATTTCAAAATGATTGCACTGCTTTAAAGCCCTTTGACCTTTAATAATGTGTGGATGCACCCTGATGTGCTACGCATTCTCCAACGCGCCTAGGCATGCTTCTGATCAGGTGGTCAATGTCCTCCTGAGGTATCTCATTCGAGGCAACCACCAACTCCTCTCGAAGTGCTTCTAGAGCCTGGGGAGGACGTTGCAAATTGAGCAAGCTCCTACCCATCATATCCCACACGTGCTCAATTGGGGATAAGTCGGGAGATCTTGGTGGCCATGGTAACAATGTGACATCATTATGTTGAAAGAAGTCTATTGTGACTCTTGCAACATGTGGCCGGGCATTATCTTGTTGGAAAGTTGGATCTGCCAGGGTGTCAAGATATTGTAAAAGATGGGGTTCTAGAACTTCGTGGATATAACGCTTCATGTTACCTCTGATGAAGATTAAAGGTGATCTGGAACCATAAGCTATAGCACCCCAAACCATAACTCCAACAGTGTGATGAACATGTCTTTCAACAAAAAACTGTGGATTCCTCCTTTCACCACGTCGCCTTCTAACCCTGGCACGACCATCGTGCATGCCTAAACAAAATCGAGACTCGTCACTGAAGACAATACTGTTCCATTCCTGATCCCAGAGTGACCGTTGTCTGCACCATTCAAGGCGATTACGTCGGTGTTCTCGAGTTAAAGGGAGGACCCAGTGTGGCCGGTATGAAAACAAGCCAAAACTTCTCATTCGTCGGTAAACACTTCGCATGCCAATAGGTCTTCCGTGTTCTGCAAACCATTCATTTGCAATGGACCTGGTAGTGGAGAAACGGTCCCTTAAGGCCAATAATCTTAGGCGGCGATCTTCACGGTCTGTTGTTCTACGGCGGCGTCCAGTGCCCCTTGCTCTTTGCGTACGGCCTTCTCGAAGCCATGCCTGACAACACCTAACCACAGTGTCTACACTTCTTTGCACTCTAACTGCAATTGCCCGAAAAGAAGGTCCAGCTTCCCGAAGTCCCACTATACGGCACCCTATCAAACTCACTAAGTTGACGAAATCGTACAGGTCTCCGTACTCTAGGCATCGTAACCGATTGTAAAGGATGTCAAGAACCAAAATCCGCCAACGTTGATTCTTTACTGTGGCTGAAATATTCATTTTTAGAGCGTTAGTGAATTAAAAAAAAGCAGTATAAAAACCGGAATGTCCAACTGATAGGGCTGGAAATTTTTTCACTTGTTGTTTATAGTAAGATAAATACATTCACCAACTTTTATTAAAATAAAACCATTTAAACTGGGTGTTCGGATTTATATGTCACTTAGTATATGTGAAATTGATAGTGACAAACATAAACATAGCATAACTAAATATAGAATCAAACATTGTGTTCTATTGCACAAAATTTCAATAGGGAGTCTATAAGAAAAAACAAAGTCGAGCATGGAGATTGAAAGTAGAAATATCTCGAGTGGAAATGGTAATATGCAATACATTTTAAAATCCCAACCAAGAAATTAACGATTTCTACAATAAATCCGGGATTCTGATAATACATACTATCCTTTTGAAATAACCAAGGTTTGGTGATGTGCTTGTAGGGAATGTTATACATTTTTGGAGCCTGAATTGTAAAGTCTATTTATCTATGTGAAAACCCAATATGGCGTCTTTTAGAAAAAATAAAGTTGATGCTAAAGGGCAATAGACGAAACGTCATATTGAAATTCTATTTATACCGTCTTGTAGAACATGAGAAGTGGCATCTTGTTCGCTACGTAAATACACAATTTTGCATCTACTTAAGCTACTTCGTATCTCTTACCGAGATCCAAATAGTGAGGGTCCAATTTGAGACATGCACCTTTAGGGCACTAACAGTGTTACGGAATTTGGACCTATTATGTTTAAAAATATCGTGATTTTAAAATCTAATAAATATACAGGTATTGGAGACTGTGAATTCGACAAAAATCGCAAAAGTGAACGAGTTTTCGCCACCACAATCGCCGACGAGTTTGTGTCAGAAATTATAGAAAACGCACTGGATATTGTCGATGAAACTGCTAGACAGGAAGAAGCTTCTATTGGCTACATTCTAGATAACCTTTCAAATAAATTCAAAGACATGGTTTTGGTAGAAGAGCTGCCGAAATCGGTGGACAAACGTTCAATTTCTCCGAAAGGTGGTATTGGCGATCAGCTGAAGATCGACGAATCTATGGTTGAAGAGGAAACCGTTAGGCTGCCTCCAGTTGAGAAGAAAAACAGGTTGACGGATTTGGTGAAGAATTCCAAACACATCTTGGCGAAGCTCATCATGACCGAAGCTAAGGAGAATCCTGTTGACGATAAAGAGGAAAAGGTGGTGCGTGTTGTTGACATAGATTCAGGTGACCCTCCCTTCAAGGTTGTACCAGAACACAAACATGAGACTGTATTGCGTGAAGGAGGCGAAGAGAACAAAATGGAAGACGTCCAGCTCGGTCAATCAAGCGAAACCACTCCTAAGGAATCTTACGATAAAAAGACCATGACGTTTCCGATGACTACCTCTACTTCATCTTCTGGGAACACCGGAAGCCTTGCATCAAGATACAGAACACTAAAATTCACCCAGGAATTGATGAAGAAAAGGAACTGGAGTTTCGGCACGAAGATACTGAACTATATCAGGAAGCATCAGAAAAAAGGCGAGAAGGAAAAGAAAACTGAAGATGAGTCGGAGCTCAATGCATCGAATTGAGTCTCTGTGTGATTCGTGTTCCAATTCACGTTCAATAAAATCGTATTGTGCACGCTGAAAACGTTTTTCTTTGACTTTCAGCGTGCGACAAATTGCAACAACGTTTTGACCTTGAAATTCTAGTTACTTCCGGTACTTTTTCCTAGATACTAACCGCGTTCAGGTTTTGTGATTTGACATTAAAATTATAATCCTTAGAGATTGACTTGGCGCTTAGGATTTAATATTTCAATCAATATGTAAGTATACTTCCACCTTTTTATTGGTTATGTTGTATTTATTCAGGGTGATTCACAAGTCGTGACCAAAAATTTTAAGGGGGGTCTTGCATGTTAAATTAAAAAAAAATCGTTTTTAATATCTTCAAAACCGTCAACTGGATTCAATTAAAATTTGGTATGTGGATTTACCTAAGCTGGTATAGTCCTCATTCAGAAGTCTTTACCCTGAATTAGTGTGCACCAGTGGCGGAGATACAGGGGGTAAGTGGCATTATTTTTATAATTACTCTTGTGTCTTTTTTACCGAGAGTGCACTGTTTTCGTAAAAATAAAAATAAAACAAATTAGAGCAATCATCAAATTTTTGTGAGTGGTTACTGTAAATGCATAATCAAAATGCAGATTTTATTGATTTGGTTTTGTGGTCAGATAAATCTTTTGGCATATGATTTTGTATTATAAACGACCTCAACATGCCTTTTTTGATGTGAGTAGGTGAATTTGAGTATTTTTGGTTGATCTTCCATATAGTCTCTATCGTTTTTATCCTTAACCTGATTTACAAAAATTTGTCAACATATAGACCATTACACAAAAACCAACAATTACAGAAAGATGAGTGCATCAGGCACATATTTACGCACGAACAACGACATAAGTTCAGTCATTATATTGCCTTTTATTTTAGCAACGGGTGATTCACTTTGCATAATTCAGGGTCCAATAGAGAGTATTTTTTAAAAAAACGCGGCTTACGCAGCGAGTCTCTTGCCAAAAGAGCGAATGTTTTATGTAAGCGTGTAGCGGTGCTCTGGATTCATTTGCTTCGGAGAACACCCACTAAATTAGCATACTGTTATTTTTAGGCAGGCCAGCGTCTCGGGATCAGACATTTGAAGGCAAGGTATTTCATAGGTTATACGGAACAATTAGACGCCAAAAATATTTATTATTTTGAAATTGAAGCTGGAAGTTGGGCTTATTTAAAATACATTCTATAAATAGCATAACCTAAAGCTAGGAGTGTTTGTATAAATAAGTGAAGAGATAAACTAGAATTATAAAGGATGTTCCAGGATCCGATGATTTGAGATATGCAAAAAAAAAGTTTGAATTTGGATAATTTAAAAAATCGAGGCTCTTGATTATAAGTACTTGTCGTTTTAAGACTGAAAACTTCAAAAAATTAATTATAGTTAAAAGAAACAAATAAAAAACTCCAGTTAATAGCAAATACTACTATACTAAGTGACATATAAATCCGAACACCCAGTTTAAATGGTTTTATTTTAATAAAAGTTGGTGAATGTATTTATCTTACTGTAAATACCAAATGAAAAAATTTTCAGCCTTATCATTTGGACATTCCGGTTTTTATACTGCTTTTTTTTAATTCACTAACGCTCTAAAAATGAATATTTCAGCCGCAGTAAAGAATCAACGTTGGCGGATTTTGGTTCTTGACATCCTTTACGATCGGTTACGATGCCTAGAGTACGGAGACCTGTACGATTTCGTCAACTTAGTGAGTTTGATAGGGGCCGTATAGTGGGACTTCGGGAAGCTGGACTTTCTTTTCGGGCAATTGCAGTTAGAGTGCAAAGAAGTGTAGACACTGTGGTTAGGTGTTGTCAGGCATGGCTTCGAGAAGGCTGTACGCAAAGAGCAAGGGGCACTGGACGCCGCCGTAGAACAACAGACCGTGAAGATCGCCGCCTAAGATTATTGGCCTTAAGGGACCGTTTCTCCACTACCAGGTCCATTGCAAATGAATGGTTTGCAGAACACGGAAGACCTATTGGCATGCGAAGTGTTTACCGACGAATGAGAAGTTTTGGCTTGTTTTCATACCGGCCACACTGGGTCCTCCCTTTACCTCGAGAACACCGACGTAATCGCCTTGAGTGGTGCAGACAACGGTCACTCTGGGATCAGGAATGGAACAGTATTGTCTTTAGTGACGAGTCTCGATTTTGTTTAGGCACGCACGATGGTCGTGCCAGGGTTAGAAGGCGACGTGGTGAAAGGAGGAATCCACAGTTTTTTGTTGAAAGACATGTTCATCACACTGTTGGAGTTATGGTTTGGGGTGCTATAGCTTATGGTTCCAGGTCACCTTTAATCTTCATCAGAGGTAACATGAACGCGCAGCGTTATATTCACGAAGTTCTAGAACCAGATAATGCCCGACCACATGTTGCAAGAGTCACAATAGACTTCTTTCAACATAATGATGTCACATTGTTACCATGGCCACCAAGATCTCCCGACTTATCCCCAATTGAGCACGTGTCGGATATGATGGGTAGGAGATTACTCAATTTGCAACGTCCTCCTCAGACTCTAGAAGCACTTCGAGAGGGGTTGGTGGTTGCCTGGAATGAGATACCACAGGAGGACATTGACCACCTGATCAGAAGCATGCCTAGGCGCGTTGGAGAATGCGTAGCGCATCAGGGTGCATCGAAACATTATTAAAGGTCAAAGGGCTTTAAAGCAGTGCAATCATTTTGAAATTTTTATCATTTACTTATTATGCTTCATTAAGTACTTATACAAAATTTTATTAAAATAAAACCATTTAAACTGGGTGTTCAGATTTATATGTCACTTAGTATAGATAATTTGCAAGTATAAAATACCTTGTGATATTGCAATAGAAAGCCAACAATTAATTATGACTAATTAATTTGGAATAAGACCAATAACATGTTAAAAAAAAATTAAAAATGTTGTTATGCACTTTTCTCTTAAGTTGATAGCTTTAATATTTTAAAAAGTGCAAAATGTGCCATTTTCGACCTCAAAAAAAAGCACGATGTAGAAAGTCAAAAATACTTTTTTTCAACTATAAGAGTTTGTGTTACAACGATCAAGTATGACTCATTAATCTGATATAACATCAATATAAAAATTAGGATTTTAACAAAACATTCAGTTATATTAATTAAGCTTGAAATGTTTGAAATTAAATGTGCTTTTTTCAGTTTTTTGAACTATAATCTATTTTATGAATTTTCAGTCTCAAAACGACAAAAACATTTCTGCTGTACTTTAATATTTGACGATAAATCTAAATTTACTTACGTTTTTTCAAATTTGGAAATTTCCAAATTTTTGCAAAAATATTCAAATTATATTCTAAATCCTCAAATTATTTTCCAAATTTCCTAATCTTCCAATAACTTACCTCATTTTTTGATTTAATTTTTTTCTTCAAATTTCAAAACAGGTAGCTACTAATTACAAAAGTAAGTTGACGGCACTCATTCACAATTCTTTGTCGCAGATCTTCTAATGATGTTGGCTGAGTAGCATAGATTTTGCTTTTTAAATGACCCCACATAAAGAAATCCAAAGGTGATAAATCTGGCGATCTTGGGGGCCATTCAATGGCACCTCTTCTACCAATCCATCGATCTGGAGATCTGGAAATTATTTTTAAATTTACGAATTTTCCAATTATGTTCCAAATTTAAAAAATTCAATTTTTTTCAAATTTCAAAATACGAATTTTTCAAAAATTTACAAATTTTCTTTCTAGATTATTGTATAGAGTCACCGGCCCTTGATTCCTATGCAGATTTACAAATTAATCAGACTTTTTGAAAATAGTGAAAATTATGTTGAAAGATGCTAATAAAAGCTTATAAAAAAAGGCTACAGGAGCAGACGAAACAACGGTTACTCTTCAACATTCGTGGTTTTAGGAAAGCAAACTACGCTTTTAGAAGCTAAATGTGTTTAAATAAATAAATCGCGTTCATTGCCCAACAGTTAAGGGAACCATATACAAACAGACAAAAATAGAAAACATACAAAAAGCAGGTGATTTCATCTAAAGGAATAAATAAACAAGAAAAATCGTTAATTGATCCCCAATCTTATAATTCAATTTACAAACAGAAGTTGTCCTGGAAAAGCTACACTTAGACGCATTAAGAAACATAATCCTGAATGATTTTAAATCATTCGCGAAGAGCAGTTTTCTACAACTTTATAGCAATAAATAAGGTAAACAATAAAGGACTAAGGTTTGAACCCTGGGGTACGATTCAGTTACATTCTGGTACGACTTGAAGGCATTGAAAATAACATATTGCATATGAATGGTAGACCGTATCGAACGCTTTAGCAAAAGCAAAGTCAGTATTATACTAAATCCAGTTGACCTTGCAAGTCGGCACACTATAGCGAACTCAGTAAAGATTGTTAAATTATTCACTGTGGATCTCTTAGTAAGAAACCCATGATGAAAAGCGGTCAGAGATCTATGAACTGAGGAGTAAACTCTACTTTGCAACGTCATCTTCAGCAATTTGGAGAAATTTTCGCCGCTCTAGCGGAACATACCGAAATATCCGGATTAGATCCGTCTGCCGGACGCGCTTTCGGCCGCGTCCCGTTCCCGAATGCCCGTGTAGAGTTACAGGCAGATTCGCCGCGGTCCGGACGCCGGCGATCGCAGCGCCATCTATCCCTATAAAATTTTCCGCACGTCTCCTGCCCTTCTCACTTCTGGTCGCGACTTACTGGAAGGCAAGTGGCAGGCAACACAGGTGCACAATGGTAAGTACGTCGCAGCTACCCGGCCGCGTCTCTGCGTGTGTGATTGTTTGTGGCGTGCGAACGCAGCTTAAGGATACACCACATGGATAAGGATAAGCTGAAGCTGAAGCTGCGCGACCAGGTGGTGCAGCGCGCCGTCCAGTTCTGGAAGAAGAAGATCTACAAGGCCAAAATTGTATATACCGAACACGCGATGCGTTCACGAAAAGTCTTGGTTTTACGTTAGAGCCGTTTTGCACCGAACTAGTACACGCCAGTTCTGTCGGATTTCAAACTAAAACGAGTGACGTTTTATCGAGAAAGGTTTAGGTAAGGCATTACCACTGCGCATGCTCGGGCTACCAGTTTTTCGCAAAATAGATTTTTTATTTATTCATAAGCCGAGGCACAAAGCATTGTTAAAGAGCTAGCTAAAATTAATTATAGTATACAGTTACAAAGTTTTTTTATAACATTGTGCTTCGCAATCATAAGCAAGAACAATATATTTAATTCCAACAATTTTCCATATACAGGGTGTTTCAGTTTATTGTTGCATAACTTTAAGATTCGATAGAACTTTTAAAATTAATGCATAAAGTCTATATAAACATGGGTCGAAAAATGCGTGGCTTCCGAAATACAGGGTGTTTAAATTTACTTTCTAAAATAGTTTTTTGTAAATATTTCGAACAATATTTGATGTATAACAGTGAAAATTGGTACACAAGGGTTTTTTGGTACGACAATGCCATGGGCATAGTTTTACAGTAGCCGCTAGAGGGCGCTCTCTACTGTACCTGTAGTGACTTAAAATGACCGAAAAACTTTTCTCAGTACAATTTTTTGCTTTTTGAATAAAAAAACTGATTCTTCGCACTTTTCTGCATAAAAAAGCTCTCTTGTGAGTTTTCGTTATAGTTAGCCGTTTTTGAGATATTTCGATTTTTAAGGTTCGATGCATTTTTCATTATTTATGGGAAAATAAAATTTTTTTACATTTTCGATTTGGGCATTACAAGTAATTAAGATGATCGTATAGATTGTGTTTTTGAAGACGGCAATAATTCCTAACTCCAAATAAACACAAAAAAACAATATTATTTTTTTTTAATTTTCCAATATTATTTTTAACAGATTAAATTAATTATTTACAACTAAAATGCTATTGGATAGTTAGGACAAACATACAAAAACTAAAGTAGTTGCTCGAAATGTAAACCCAATTGTTCAATACACAATTCACATCTACGAATGATCGAACGTGGTATAGCATTATTCAAAAGCCAAAAATAGCACTAAAAAATGTTTTCGGTCATTTTAATACACTACAGGTACAGTAGAGAGCGCCCTCTAGCGGCTACAGTAAAACTACGCCCATGGTTCGTTTTGTCGTACCAAAAAACCTTTGTATACCAATTTTCACTTTTATACATCAATTATTGTTCGAAATATTAAAAAAAAACTATTTTAGAAAGTAAATTTAAACACCCTGTATTTCGGAAGCCACGCATTTTTCGACCCATGTTTATATAGACTTTATGCATTAATTTTAAAAGTTCTATCGAATCTCAAAGTTATGCAACAATAAACTGAAACACCCTGTAGACAACGTTATCAATAAAATTATGTACGTAACAGATAACGTTATAAAATTTTGACATTGTGGCAATTTACTTCCCATCGCAGGTTTAAGTGGCATTGCAAAAACGCCATTTATGAAAATTATTGAATTTTTACACCTTTTTTATATATCCATGTAATCTGAATAACGTGCAGGTTTTTCGAAAAATGGCGAGCGATATGCCATGGGCCAGCTGCAATATTTTTTAAAGTCAGTGTATTGGAGATATGAAAGAAATATAAAATCAACAAATTTCGTTGATGCGAACGATTTTTATCAAATGATCGTAAAATATTTTTCGGACACGTTTTATACATAAAATAACAAGAAACAAATTAAAATAGCTACCTTTTTGCCAAATTCCCAAGTCAACATCTACAGGGTAATTCAGAAGGCAATGAAAGTATTTCAAAGGTTGTAGAAAGGTCTGAAAATAATACGAAAGTTTGAAGATACCCTTACAGGGTGTTGAACTTGAAAATCTCAAAATCGAGAATAAATGATATGACTTTAGTGAATAAAGGTGTCGATGAAAATTTTTTACATGCCGAATATGAAAAAATTCCGCCTCTAACTGTACCAGTGGCGTAGAAGCTGCGATGTTTTGAACTCTACAAAAGGTAAAATATTTTTTAGGAAAGTGACTTCTTTAAAACAGCTACACTATTATAGGTATTTAATTCTACATAAATTGTCTCTATTATCTATATCTGTTAGAATAAATATTAAAAGTGTAAGGCTTAAAAAAACATGAATTCATTCCACTTTGATAATATATTGAAGCCTGAAGTTGCTTTTTGGATATCTAGATATTGTGGTGCCACAAAATTATTTCTGCAAATATACAAATATTAAAATCTATAGAATTTCATGTGACACCGTGTCTGTTTAAATGGTGTAATTCCTCTTTGTCATCGTTTTCTCTTTCTCATTTCCTTCTTGCTATTGACTTCAACCAGCATGTAAGCAACAAGACCTGATACACAAATCTTTAAATGCAATTGTTAACAAAAATCATTGATCAGATGGTAAATTTTGTTTCAAAATATGATGATTCGTACACCACGAGATGTTAAGAAAACAGAACGTTAGGTGTGTACTAGTTTGGTGTGATATCTCTCAAAATCATCCATAAATAGTTTCGGTGGACTGAGGCAGGAATTTCTCCCATTAACTCATTTATATTTGTATGATCTTAAAAAGATGTAAAAATAGACTTGAAATAGGAGATACCTTACATAATCAGTAGAAGTTTTGCCAAATACCTGAGTCGTTAAATGAGATAGTTATTGCATACTTGAACGCTTTGTTTGAGATAATCTAGACGGCTAAACTAATTGTCTTCTCTAAGTATTCGTGTGTATTATATCAAGTTGGTCTACCGGAAATACTTGGGATGAACAATACGAACCAAGACTTCAACTAAAACACTCTTTTTCAGGAATGCTTTAGAAAATTTGTAGCTCGTACATATATACGCATATTAGGTATATTTTTCACAATTTTATTGTTTCTGTGAATGTCCGATATCTATGTGTAACGTACATGTTGCTTGTCTTTCTTCTGATTGCTGGTGTTGGACAGTCCAAAGATGAAAACAGTAAGGATGTACCAAATACCACGATGGCAATATGAAGGACCCCGCATAAAAAATGTACTGATTGGATCTTAGTCGATTTGACTAGAAAGTCAGTGTGATATATTTCTCCTCATGAACAAAAGTCCCCATGGAACCAAAGCAACCCTGTGATTAGGTTTCTGAGAAAGCCGGATTTTGGAAAATGCATCGAAATGCCGATTGTAGTTATCAGACTAAGTACTCGGAGAGTCGTTATCCTGCAGGTGTTGAGATGTTGACATTGTCCATGATCCTCAGAAGGTGGATCGATGAAAAATGCAAGTGCAGCGTTTGCACTCAAGTACTGCTTGATCGTCTATATTGGCCTGGAAAACAAATATAAATTAATGAGTCGTTGTCGAAGTGATACGTCATTAATTTGGAAAAGGCTGCCGAGGTAGCCGAAACGTCACTAAACTGGCCCGTTCAACATTTGCGGTTTCATTTATTGGCAACGTTCAAAGCTGTGCGCTTTCTCTTTCATCTCGAAAATGATTTGACCTTGTGAAGGTCATAATCAAAGGCAAGGAAACGACCACGAGCTGTCCGTGTCCTTGAGTTCCCCGAATTCCCGACCAAATCGTGCTAGATCTATTTCGGAACTTAAATTTAAAAATCAACTTGCCCTTACGTTGATCTTGTACAAGATGTTTTGATGCAATAGTTCTTCCAGTAATTTTAGTCCATCTGTTGCTCAGAAACCAATCATAGGATTGCTCTGGACTCAAGGTGACTTTTGGCCAGGAAGGTGAAAAATACATGATACTAAATTTTTAGACAAATCGAACACGGCCCGTTTCCCATATGATCTGTGCGGGGTCCTTTGTGGAAACCATCCAGGCTTGCAAGAATTTGTCATTTAATGAATTAGAAAAAGCAGATTGATTTATAAAAAAACATTGTTAGTGTAGTGTAGCAGACGTTGACCATTAAAAAAAATGGAGTAACAATATTTGTCGTCCCTGGGGTGGATGAATAATATAAAAGATGGAGACTTGCAATTACTTTCTCTCAGATGGTTAAGTTCATCTACAGGTCTCGAATTCGCATTTCATCCTGTGCTTAGATAAGATACTTATTATAGACTGAAAGCAAACTTTGTAATTTTCCACATTACCCGGTTGTAACAGAAAACAGCATACGTTTTAAAATTAGATTCCGATCTCACAAACCAATATCTACGGAAATAGAACGCAAGCATGTTTCTAGTAGATTATGAATCTAGAAAATTATAGCGGCTTGCAAATTTATTTTTGTACGGGTGCTTAACAAAGCATCATTAATTTCGTATTCCTGCAGCGTCCACAACACATGGCAGAAATCTGATACTAAGGCCCGATTTTTCATTTGCAGGTTAATCGTGAAGTAAACTCTTAAAATATGTTTTTTGATGTAATGTTTATCCTAAAACGGTAGTTAACTTTAACCAGAAGAACAAATTCTACTTAACTAAAAAGTTACATCACAATTCCTAGGTTCTTTTGCGTGAGAGTGACATGAGTTGACCCGGATGACACACACTTTGGGCGTCGAAACATTCACAAAACGCGATATTTCAGACGTAGAAGCAGCGTTGCCAGTTCAACCGCAACTTGTTAGTAAATCAGAGATTGCAAAACGAATTTATATAATACTAGTTGACTTACAAATTATAGTTACCAAACGAGTGATTGAAAAACCGGGCGTAAGGGTTGCTTTCCAATTTCATAATTATCTGCATTTTCCTTGGCCTTTTAGACTGACGACAAAAATAATTAAAACTATAACGACAAACTGAGTCTTAGATTCTGTATGCATTAAATAATATCTTTGGATTTTCCAACACAAAGCAGATAAATGTGATTGTTTAACAAGTAGCAGAAAATACTTGGAACTGTCTACGTGTATAACATTGTCATTGTTTAGTATACTGGTTTTTATATGTGAACGTCCCTTGTGATATTTATACTGTGATACTACAGGTATTAATTTATACTCAAGTGCGTATGTTGTTTGTACTAACACATATTCACATGTATGATAACAGTGTATGTAGTTGATATTGAATGGGTGTCTATCCGATAAACCTGTGCATACGAAAATTGACCGGTAATATTCGCATGTTTTGTTTGCTGAATATACACCCATAGTTAATAGTTGTGCGATATCAATCTTCTTTGCTGACCAACTGCAGACGTACTACCTAGGTTTCCATCGGTTGTGGGTGTCGAGCGGGGTTGGAATACGATAAACTTGTTTAAATACTATAAACATTCGATAAATTTATTTTTTGCAGTATGCACGTGTGCGCAGTCATTACTAAACAACCCAGCAGTGTTTGTTTCATATACTAAGTGAATCCGAACACCCAGTTTAAGTGGTTTTATTTTAATAAAATTTTGTATAAGTACTTAATGAAGCATAATAAGTAAATGATAAAAATTTCAAAATGATTGCACTGCTCTAAAGCCCTTTGACCTTTAATAATGTGTGGATGCACCCTGATGTGCTAGGCATTCTCCAACGCGCCTAGGCATGCTTCTGATCAGGTGGTCAATGTCCTCCTGTGGTATCTCATTCCAGGCAACCACCAACTCCTCTCGAAGTGCTTCTAGAGTCTGAGGAGGACGTTGCAAATCGAGCAATCTCCTACCCATCATATCCCACACGTGCTCAATTGGGGATAAGTCGGGAGATCTTGGTGGCCATGGTAACAATGTGGCATCATTATGTTGAAAGAAGTCTATTGTGACTCTTGCAACACGCGGTCGGGCATTATCTTGTTGGAAAGTTTGATCTGGCATGGTGTCAAGATAGGGTAAAAGATGGGGTTCTAGAACTTCGTGGATATAACGCTGCGCGTTCATGTTACCTCTGATGAAGATTAAAGGTGACCTGGAACCATAAGCTATAGCACCCCAAACCATAACTCCAACAGTGTGATGAACATGTCTTTCAACAAAAAACTGTGGATTCCTCCTTTCACCACGTCGCCTTCTAACCCTGGCACGACCATCGTGCATGCCTAAACAAAATTGATACTCGTCACTAAAGACAATACTGTTCCATTCCTGATCCCAGAGTGACCGTTGTCTGCACCACTCAAGGCGATTACGTCGGTGTTCTCGAGTTAAAGGGAGGACCCAGTGTGGCCGGTATGAAAACAAGCCAAACCTTCTCATTCGTCGGTAAACACTTCGCATGCCAATAGGTCTTCCGTGTTCTGCAAACCATTCATTTGCAATGGACCTGGTAGTGGAGAAACGGTCCCTTAAGGCCAATAATCTTAGGCGGCGATCTTCACGGTCTGTTGTTCTACGGCGGCGTCCAGTGCCCCTTGCACTTTGAGTACGGCCTTCTCGAAGCCATGACTGACAACACCTAACCCACTTCTTTGCACTTTAACTGCAATTGCCCGAAAAGAAAGTCCAGCTTCCCGAAGTCCCACTATACGGCCCCTATCAAACTCACTAAGTTGACGAAATCGTACAGGTATCCGTACTCTAGGCATCGTAACCGATCGTAAAGGATATCAAGAACCAAAATCCGCCAACGTTGATTCTTTACTGCGGCTGAAATATTCATTTTTAGAGCGTTAGTGAATTAAAAAAAAGCAGTATAAAAACCGGAATGTCCAACTGATAAGGCTAAAAATACATTCACCAACTTTTATTAAAATAAAACCATTTAAACTGGGTGTTCGGATTTATATGTCACTTAGTATATAAAACTGCAGCACTGTACGTGAAAGAACGCTGAAATAAAGCTGTAGAGAGGATAGGAATCGTTATCATGTTCATCGTAACTAAAGATCAGCTTTTCTCTTAAGTACATAGACGTGGACTTAAGTATTCGTTTATGAATGAATGCAAGATGATGATATTTGTTTTAATCCAATCTACCAAAAACACGGTCAAAGCGCCTTAATCCGCAGATAAACCTAGCACAATTATTTATTAATATGTTGGTCAGTGAAGCAGTTGATAATAACCATGTTCGTGTCACGTATTATATGCACTCTATAACAAAATTTTTGCATTTCGTTTCAGGCTGATCTGAGCTCGAGAGACATCGAAAGTAAGTAGAAATATCTATTTCGGTCTGACTGGTCGACACGTAATACTGCGAACTGGTCGTTCAGTTGTTGAGCGTTTTAAAATTATAACGGGCTCTAATATGGCCCGGCGAACGGAAGGCGCGGCTAAAATTGTATCCGACTCTAAAATTAGCCGCGTGGATGCTGCCGTTTCTATGATTATGTATCACTGACCCAGATCTAAAGTCACTGCCATTTAGGGGAGCGCTACTAAGGATTTTTTATGAACAAAACGCTGATCGCTCTTGGAGGCATTTTTTTTTTTTGGAAAATCTATGATGTTTGTATTCATCCATCACAAGCCATGTAGGAGTTGTTTTCAATTTATAAGTAAGGGCCTTTTTGGTTATGTAAGCGTAACATTAAAATTTTAATTTTTGATTGGCGTCCCCGTACAGGTTCTCAGATAATTCTTGTTAAGTATTGGAATTTTCTTCCAGACTCATTTTTTGTTTAGCATAAAAATAACTAAATATCATTCCTGCTTACAGAAATGGGTACTACTTTTATATCTCTATACAGGGTGCTTCAGTTTATTGTTGCATAACTTTGAGATTCGATAGAACTTTTAAAATTGATGTATAACCATGGGTCGAAAAATGCGTGGCTTCCGAAATACAGGGTGTTTAAATTTACTTTCTAAAATAGTTTTTTTTAAATATTTCGAACAATATTTGATATATAACAGTGAAAATTGGTATGCAAGGGTTTTTTGGTACGACAAAACGAACCATGGGCATATGTTTACTGTAACCGCTAGAGGGCGCTCTCTACTGTACCTGTAGTGTATTAAAATGACCGAAAAAATGTTCTTAGTGCAATTTTTTGCTTTTTGAATAAAACACTGATTATTCGCACTTTTGAACATAAAAAAGCTGTCTTGTGAATTTTCGTTATAGTTAGCCGTTTTTGAGATATTTCGATTTTTAAGGTTCGATGCATTTTTAATTATTTATGATAAAATAACGTTAAAACGTCAGTATCTTGATAATTTTTAGAAGTAGGCTGTGCCTGCAAATATTTTTGAAATTGAAAGCAGAATAAGGTTAAACGTCAATCAGTTGACAGTTAGTTTTGTTGTCTGTTGAAACCTGAAACGTTTTTTTGCAAATGTGAATGCACGAAATTTAGTTTCTTTTACCCGTTTTTTTTGTAAGTTTTATAAAAATGCCATTTTTATTCTGCAATCAAGAGTTAGCGGATATTCATTTTGTGTATGGCTTGGTAAATGGAAACACAGCAGAAGCAGCCAGAGAATACGCACGAAGATTTCCAAACAGACGACATCCAACTCGCTCAGTATTTGTAGGAGTGCATCGCCAAATAATTGAAAATGGTTTTGGAAATCTCCAAAGGGATCAAAACATAAATGTTCGTCAGCGCAGATTTACCCGTATGATTCTGCGTGAGTTTGATAGAGATCCGACCACAAGTGTTAGGAGAGTTTCTGGTGCCTTGGGAATTTCAGCAAGCCATGTTCACCGTGTTCTTAGAAATGACCATAGACGTCCTTACCATTTGCAACCTGTGCAAGGACTACAGCCAGGGGATGGAGAACGAAGAATCACATTTTGTCAGTGGATTCTTGATAGAACTGATAATAATAGGGAGTTTTTAAGTAACGTTTTATGGACCGATGAGGCATGCTTCACTAGACATGGAGTGGTAAATTTTCATAATCAACATACTTAGTCGCATGAAAATCCGCATGCAGTTCGGGAAAGAAATATTCAGCATGAATTTAGTGTGAACGTGTGGATTGGTATCTACTGTAATCGACTATCTGGACCCTACCTTTTGCCTGCAAGGTTAAATGCTGCGACCTTCTTGGAATTTTTAAAGGCTGAACATGCAAATATGTGGGATGATGTTATGTTAGATTTAAGAAGATTGGCCTGGTTCCAGCGTGATGGTTGTCCAGCTCATTATTCGAGAATAGTTAGAAACTGGCTGGACGAAAATTATCCAGAAAGATGGATCGGCCGTGGAGGACCAGTCGCCTGGCCTCCACGATCCCCTGACCTAACTCCATTAGATTTCTTTATGTGGCGATTTCTAAAAGAAAAAATGTACCAGACTCCCGTAACCACAAGAGATATGCTAATAGACAGTATCAGGAATGCATATGATGAAATAAGGCCTTATTTGAATAATGCTATACCACGTTCGATCATTCGTAGATGTGAATTGTGTATTGAACAATTGGGTTTACATTTCGAGCAACTACTTTAGATTTTGTATGTTTGTCCTAACTATCCAATAGCATTTTAGTTGTAAATAATTAATTTAATTTGTTAAAAATAATATTGGAAAATTAAACAAATTAATATTCTGTTTTTTGTGTTTATTTGGAGTTAGAAATTATTGCTGTGTTTAAAAACACAATCTAAACGATCATCTTAACCCTTAACTGGTCCGGTGCTCGACTAGTGACATAACTGGTCCGGCGTAGTCTGTGAGACGACGACGTTTTAAACGCAAAAATAAAACACAAAAAAAAGAATGTAATTATTTATTCAAAAACTGTCGATAGCTTGAACATAAATGATATATACTTCGTCAAAATACAAGTGATTGGGCATTGAATTGAGGACATATAAATAAAAGAAAAAAAAAGGTACATAATTTTACAACTAAAAACTTATTATTTCCTAAATAATCATATCAGTAAGAGAAGTTTAAATGAGCTGATATTTTTTTCCAAGAATTCGTTTATAAGGCAATATATAACCATAAGACAGATGCAGATATGCAATGTTGAAGGTATTTTTCATTCCAGCAAGGCCGTAAGTTTATAGATTTGCGGTACAGTTTTTGCAGAGGGGATTCGTGCAAGTAAAGCATACTGGTTTTTTGAAATAAATACATAGATATTTGGTCATCCTCCGTTTGTTGCTAGGACATATATGACAAATCCTACGTTTTTGAAGGACAAGATTTCCTCCATCATTAGTTTCTTGTTCTTCCGGGACTCTAAGTATCCTTCTAATCATAGTTCGAATTTCCCGTGGTATATTCATCATTGTCATGCGTCGTTTCATATGATCTTCCACCAACTGCATAGCTAACTGTTTTCCGAAATCGCTTTTTTCTGTTATTTTAGGATTGTTTTTATAACACTGATGGAGAATATAGGAATTTACCACGGAAATATCCAAGATACGAAAAAATATTGTCAATGGCCATCTTTGACTACGACGACTGGATGTACTTTTAGAACATTTTTCGTCAATGGAATCGACTCCTCCTTTATTTTCGTTATAATAAGTGATTATTTCGGGTTTGTTAGCTACTTGGTCAGTGTATTCTCTGTCGTGCATGGAAGATATCAGAATTGTGGCTTTTCCAACCTTCCCAACGTGGGAAATTATTGTACATTCCTCCCTAAATCCATAGAGTGTTGATCCTGCAGCTCTTTTGCGATTGGGTAGGAAAGTCTGTGGTATTTCGGCCTTATTTTTTTTTAGGGTCCCTACATATGTTAATTTTTTTTTTAGAAGGACGTCCACTAACTGTATTGATGAATACCAGTTATCAGCTGTAATGTTGCGATTGCTGTTGAAGAGTGGTGTTGCTAGGCGTAATACTGCTTGCGTAGGTTTTAAAAGTTTCTTATCTTCGTCACTGAGACCAAAACCATCCGAGTCTTTTCCGCAGTAGATGTAAGCATTGTATAAATAGCTATTACGCGCATCTGTCAAGCACTGAATTTTGAGACCATATTTTGCTGGCTTGTTTGGCATGTACATCTTGAAGCGACATCTCCCACGGAAATTAACCAGCATTTCGTCTACAGTAGCAGATTGCCCTAATCCATAAACACTTTGACAATTCTCTATGAAACTGTTGAATACAAATGATATAGCTGCAGCAGGGTCATCCTTTTTGCGCTCCTCTCTATCGTCCCGATTATCAAATCTTATAGCAGCTAAAAGGACAGCAAATCTTTTCTTACTGAGAACTGCTCTAAATATGTCCCTACCTGTTCCATCTGTTGCAAATAGATGGTCCAGATGTTCATGACTTGAATTGAATACAGCTGTGTAGATAAGTAATCCAAAAAAAGCTTTCAACTCGGTTATATCTGTTTCCCTTAGGTGATGTTTTGAAACAGCAGAATATTTTTCACTCATTGAATTTAGTTTTTTGTTAGTGAACTGAGTAATATGTTCCAAAATATTATCACTAAAAAGTAAGCTCCAAACAGCCAGGGGGTCTGCTGTCTCGCCAAGCATACTTGCCTTTGACTTCAGTACAGGTACCTTCATGACAATATTGTGTCTTCGGACCTTAGATGATGGACGAACTTCTGAAGTGCACCACCTGTACCGATTTTTGCCATATATATATTTCTTTTCACTTTCAGGTGAGTCCAACTCATCATCCCATTGTCCTCCTCACATTCAGATAATTCAGAATTAGTGTCATGCTCTGACTCAATATTATAGTCTTCCGACACGTCATCTATATCACTACCATCAGTTAATTCGTCATTCCACCTAGCTAGAGTTTCTTCATAATCCCGATCGCCCCAACGTACCCGTTTAGATGGCCCAGCCATAACTCCGTATCTGTGCACCACGTACTAAAGTAACGCAAACGGTCCGGCGTAGTCTGACAGACTACCGCACAAACATAATCTAACTTAGGACACAAATGAGCAAAATTTACCGAAATACGCCTATTTTCAAGTGACCAATAGGGGAAGGATTAGACGGAGTGATGCGTCTGTAGGCGGTTCCAGTGGCGCGTAAACAGGATTTGTTATTACGGCGTAGTCTCTCAGACGACGCCGGACCAGTTAAGGGTTAATTACTTGTAATCCCCGAATCGAAAATGTAAAAAAAAATATTATTTTCCCATAAATAATTAAAAATGCATCGAACCTCAAAAATCGAAATATCTCAAAAACGGCTAACTATAACGAAATCTCACAGGAGAGCTTTTTTATGTTGAAAAGTGCGAAGAATCAGTTTTTTTATTCAAAAAGCAAAAAATTGCAATGAGAAAAATTTTTCGGTCATTTTAATACACTAAGGTACAGTAGAGAGCGCCCTCTAGCGGCTACAGTAAAACTACTACCATGGTTCGTTTTGTTGTACCAAAAAACCCTTGTATACCAATTTTCACTGTTATACATCAAATATTGTTCGAGATATTTAAAAAAAACTGTTTTAGAAAGTACCCTGTATTTCGGAAAGCAACGCATTTTTCGACCCATATTCATATAGACTTTATGCATTAATTTTAAAAGTTCTATCGAATCTTAAAGTTATGCAACAATAAACTGAAACACCCTGTATAACCAGTAACAAATTGTTTGTACATTCTTCTTTCGAAAAATATTTCCCTCATGACCATTTAAAAAATGTTTCAGTGAACGTTACAGAATCTACGTATAATTTTCTACAAACTTTGTCTAAAGCAAGTTTCTAAAAGACACTGCCACTGCAGTTAATCTAGTGTTTAGGATCTTGTCGTGCAAATTGAGATACGCATATCCTCTATTTTTTCCGTTTCAAAAAATAAATATTATTGTTTCAATACTCAACTGACACCTTTCTAATGCTGCCGCAAAATTTTGAAGTTATGAAAATTTCACCCATTTGAGTTTGATCAGTATCAGCTGTGTTTGTTTTTCAATACGATCTGGATGCTTTTAAATATAATTTGGCCAATATCAATCAAGACAAAATAGCAATACCTATACAAACCCCTAGAACTGGAATAAGGTTTTTTTTTTAAATTATCAGTAAAAGTAAGCCGTCGTTATATATTTTCCTGGGTAAAGTAATCTAAACTATGATGCGTTCGGGTCTTAAATATAGAACAAACCGGTTGGTATTCGGCCAATTGCTTTTTAAAACAAGCATCGTTAAACTTGATTGTTGCGTCATTCGAATATTTGAGGGAACCTGAGATTAAAAACAAAGTTATTTGTCGAACAACTTGATCCATCCCGTTACGCTTCCAAGTTTAAGCGAGACCATGTTTTTGAATATATTATAATATTTAAAACACATTTTTTAAGAATTAAGAATCGATAACGTATTTGATTAAAATTTTTTCTTTCATAAAAGACGTTCAACATGACCGCCATTTTCGTTCGCGCTCATAACAATACGGAGCAAAAAATTTCACACAAGAAAATTTTTCAGAAACCAACACCAATAAATGGTCTGTTTTTATGGGATAAAAAATGACGTAAATAAAAGTATCTTTAAATAAAAACATCAGATTCGTTGGGAGAGTTGCTCTAATTGTTATAGGGGTGGAATAGTTGCCACCCTTCCAGAACGCTTCGGCGCCTTTTTGTTAAAGTCAAACATAAGGACGTGTAGCAAAACACGTGTTCCAAATTTCATTCAATTCAAAAATGTGTTTTTTAGACAGAAAACTGTCGCTCTCTAACAGACAAACGAACAACTTTCGTATAGAGGTGAATCATGTCCTATCGACGTATTTCATAAAATACTGGGACACCCTGTATAAGCAAGCACACATAGCAGCCGATTTGAACTTTGTGCTGATTTTCCGGATTTAACGTCGTAAAAGATAAAAAACATTGTACTTTTCAAATCTCATAGTGAAAACTATGACAAATTTGCTTCACAGCTACGAGGGATGTCTTTTAAGTTTTGCATATAGAAACATAGTAGGCCGCGCGGTCGAACGTCAGTACTGAATCTTAACCTCACTCTTTAGTAAACTTAAATACAAAGTTTCACAACAATACGTGCAGTGTTCTCGCTGCAGTGAATTTTTAAGTGTCGCCGAGTCATAAGAAAAATGGAACTCAACCGAGAACATTTTCGCGCCATAATTTATTACAACTTTCAGAGACAATTATCGCAACAAGAACGCCTTGCTGAGTTACTGTCTGTTTTCGGCAACGAAGCGCCACATCAGTCGACGATTTCCCGTTGGTATGGAGAATTCAATCGATGAAGAATTAGGAGCAAGAATGCCGTTTTGGATCTGCCAAACGAGTGGAATTTTAAAACTACCTACCGTGTTATTTTATTTCCATGTGCAGAATTTAAAAGACATTCCCTCGTATCATGTTCATCACATCTACCAAATATCAGAATTGTGATGCAATAATTGTATCTGAAAATTTACTGCTCTATATATAGCAGTTTTTTATTTTAATCTAATGGCGATTATCGATTGGTTTGAAATGAATAAGAAATCACTACTAAAATTGACATTTTTCAATAGACGTGAAACATTAGATTTATGAGTGAGATTTACGTGTACTAAAGTGGATATTTTACCATGTTTCAGTCAGGAAGGTGCTGCTTTTACTTTTTAAATATACTAAGTGACATATAAATCCGAACACCCAGTTTAAATGGTTTTATTTTAATAAAATTTTGTATAAGTATTTAATGAAGCATAATAAGTAAATGATAAAAATTTCAAAATGATTGCACTGCTTTAAAGCACTTTGACCTTTAATAATGTGTGGATGCACCCTGATGTGCTACGCATTCTCCAACGCGCCTAAGCATGCTTCTGATCAGGTGGTCAATGTCCTCCTGTGGTATCTCATTCCAGGCAACCACCAGCTCCTCTCGAAGTGCTTCTAGAGTCTGAGGAGGACGTTGCAAATTGAGCAATCTCCTACCCATCATATCCCACACGTGCTCAATTGGGGATAAGTCGGGTGATCTTGGTGGCCATGGTAACAATGTGACATCATTATGTTGAAAGAAGTCTATTGTGACTCTTGCAACATGTGGTCGGGCATTATCTTGTTGGAAAGTTGGATCTGCCAGGGTGTCAAGATAGGGTAAAAGATGGGGTTCTAGAACTTCGTGGATATAACGCTGTGCGTTCATCTTACCTCTGATGAATATTAAAGGTGACCTGCTGTAGCACCCCAAACCATAACTCCAACAGTGTGATGAACATGTCTTTCAACAAAAAACTGTGGATTCCTCCTTTCACCACGTCGCCTTCTAACCCTGGCACGACCATCGTGCATGCCTAAACAAAATCGAGACTCGTCACTAAAGACAATACTGTTCCATTCCTGATCCCAGAGTGACCGTTGTCTGCACCACTCAAGGCGATTACGTCGGTGTTCTCGAGTTAAAGGGAGGACCCAGTGTGGCCGGTATGAAAACAAGCCAAAACTTCTCATTCGTCGGTAAACACTTCGCATGCCAATAGGTCTTCCGTGTTCTGCAAACCATTCATTTGCAATGGACCTGGTAGTTGAGAAACGGTCCCTTAAGGCCAATAATCTTAGGCGGCGATCTTCACGGTCTGTTGTTCTACGGCGGCGTCCAGTACCCTCTCTTTGCGTACGGCCTTCTCGAAGCCATGCCTGACAACACCTAACCGCAGTGTCTACACTTCTTTGCACTCTAACTGCAATTGCCCGAAAAGAAAGTCCAGCTTCCCGAAGTCCCACTATACGGCCCCTATCAAACTCACTAAGTTGACGAAATCGTACAGGTCTCCGTACTCTAGGCATCGTAACCGATCGTAAAGGATGTCAAGAACCAAAATCCGCCAACGTCGATTTTTTACTGCGGCTGAAATATTCATTTTTAGAGCGTTAGTGAATTAAAAAAAAGCAGTATAAAAACCGGAATGTCCAACTGATAGGGCTGAAAATTTTTTCACTTGTTATTTACAGTAAGATAAATACATTCACCAACTTTTATTAAAATAAAACCATTTAAACTGGGTGTTCGGATTTATATGTCACTTAGTATATATATAGAAACCAGCCTATTATTAGAAAAAAATGTTAATTGTAACGACATTAAAAACATGTTGAAGCTTTCGAGGTATCCTTTCAACTGTAAGGCACACGATTCGCTGCGTTTAAGTACGTTCGATCGTTTTAAACGACAAAAGTTTTCGAAACTAAGGACATATAAGGTACGATATGAAACAGCAATCCAACCAAAGATTACCTCAAACCTACAAGTCAAAGATGGCGGTTTTTTTTCAAGCTCATCGATACAATCAAATCTTACAATTTGGTTACAGTCAATAGTTCTAATTTTCTTGTTACGAATCTTAGGGGCGAACTTCGTGTTCTCCATCTATGACTTCGAAGGAAATGGCACAGTCGACGCTGTCAACCTAGGAGACATGCTCAGAGCCTTGAACCTGAACCCCACCCTAGCCACAGTTGAAAAGGTTGGAGGAACAAAGAAGAAGAGTGAGTATTTGAAAATTTCACGTTGACCCAAAATCCCTTAGTCTTTCCCCAACAAAAACTAGTCGACAAGCGGCTCGGTTCAAATCATCAGAAAATGTTTTACAACGATAAAGACAGTGAAGCACGTTTTAGCAGACTGAGTAACCTTAATAAGCACTTGAATATTTACATCTCTCACCTGGATCAAATCGTTTATATTACTATTCGCCATTATTCGTCAGAGCGGTCCGGTGGACCTTTGTTCTTAGTTAAAAGCCTCGGCGGTCTGTTAGTCTGTCAGGTGTGGGGCTAGCAAGATACCAAACATGTTTAAGGGGAAAAGGGAAAGAAGGAAAGAAAGGAAGGAAGAAATAGAGCAAAGAGAAGAAGTAAATCATTTGAAATGGCTTAAGCATTATTGACTATTAAGGACCACCGGCTCTTGTCTTGTTGACAACACATTGTTAATTTTGATCCGAAACTTCCTTTCTTCTGGAAAAGATTTCAACAGTTTTAGGAGCCAAAATGGAAAACCCTTTTGGATGAGCTTATACAAGAGGCCCATGTGCCACACCTTTCAAATGCCTTTGATACATCTAAAAGCAAGATACCAGTACTTCTGTTCACGGTGAACCCCCTGGTTACATGCTCCGCCAGTCTAACTATGCTCAGACCGAAAGCCGAATTGTACGTCAGGGATCACGTGGTGATCTGACGAGAAATTCTCAAGGTCACGATAAATCACCTTTTCAACGAGCTTACAAGGAGCTGACAGCAGACTAATGGGACGGTATTCCTGGGGAAATATCGAACCTACCTTCTTTGGGGTCATGATGACTTCAGCGATCTTCCACGCCTTAGGAAAGTAATGAGTTCTGAGCATTGCATTGATTATTGCCACCAGATAACTCAAAGCCTTGAGCGAAAGCAACTTCAGTGCTTTGTTGGTGATGTGATCCTCTCCAGGTGCTTTACGCACCTTTAGGTCTTTAATGTGGCCTTAAAGCTCTGCTGGTGTGCAAAAAGGTATCTAAGAGGATTCCCTTGTTGTGCTATGCTGAGATTCATCTGAAGAGTCTTTCGTAGCAGAAGCTTCTGAAAAGGAGTCACCGATGCTAGTACTGATGTTGATATCGCCATTCGCCCTGAAATATCTCCTGACAGATCGTACAATTTGTCGTTCCTCGTCAAGGTCATAATTGGGAGAGAACTAACTTTCCATGACGTCAGCAAAAACTTCCACTTTATCCTCAGTCCTGAAAACTATGCCTCCAGGATCATGAATATGTGGTAGTTGTGCTTGCCTTCTTTTTCTGAGCGATTTTGCCACTGTCCAGAGAGGAATACTTCATTCAAGCATCCCCACCACGAATGTCATCAGGATGACAAGACCTTTTTGCTTGCTTAATCGCCGCCCTCTTTTCAGGAATCTTCCGACGAATGTCAACAGGGAGAAGGTCACAATATGTTTCTTTATGTCATAGTTATGGTACAGAAATAAAGCAAGTCAAGTCTTAATGCGTTGATATTGATATGAGAGTTCCCCAAGGATCTATATTGGAGCCTTTTCTATTTATACTAGATATAAATGATCTAGCCTCGTGGCAGTAAAGATTCTATATCATTTGATTGTATGTTTAACCTATTCGTTGCACGTTGCTTGATATTTGTTGTCTACACTAATTTCAGATGAAAAGAAACTGAAAATAGACGAATTCCTTCCAATCTTCAGCCAAGTGAAAAAAGACAAAGAACAAGGTAACTTCGACGATTTCCTGGAATGTCTCAAGCTATACGACAAAGAAGAAAACGGCACAATGATGGCTGCTGAACTCGCCCACACACTCCTTTCTCTTGGTAAGTATACAAATGTTATCGATGAAGTAACTGCTGAAACAAAAGTCGATAGAGATAGAAATAAAGCTATCTATAAAATGAGCATTTGGTTGTTGACATCTTTGCTGCGAGTATATTTTCTGATCTCACAATGGTTATTGATCAAGATATTTTCAGTGGAGATTACGTCAACTACCATGCAACCAAAGTTCTTATACACTTTTCAAATGCTTATGTTTTATACGTTCCAATTTAAGAATCAGCGATCAGCTTAACAGTGTTTCTATCCTAGGCGAAAGATTATCAGACGCTGAAACAGAAGAAGTACTTGCTGATTGTATGGGCCAAGAAGACGACGAAGGATTCATCCCTTACGAACGTAAGTGTGTTTGAAATATATTATGATGTCATTTGAAGGAGGGTGTTAGTATTCTTTATGTATTTAGGCCTCATTTAGCCCCCGGGTATGGCCAGCCAGGGGTCGCTCAGGTGTGGATCGTCAGTCAGTCAATAGCAGTTATTAACTTGAGCATTTTTAGTTTGTTCCTTCTTATAATGATTACTTTCTGTAATTAGAACCACTGAATGAAGTTCCTTATAAGAGTGAACGATCACATTTATCTTTTCGGTACAAAAGTTGCCTTAAAAAACGCTCCAATAGCTATTTTCAACAACAAAATGATAAACAAACCATGAGCGTAGTGAAGAAAAGCATTTACTTATTAAGTATATTATAGCTAATATTAAAGATCTACAAGTTTTATCAGTACGAATATCACAAGCGTCCATCGCTTGACATTTGGGAATGTAGCTTTTAACTATACTTTTGAACATTACAGCATTCCTTAAAAAACTGATGGCGTAAGAAGCTAAATTTAGTACAATAATTACATCTATGTAAGTAGTTTACTCTTCCTCAAGCTGCCGCCATCGCTTGCAAACGCTGTTGCAATATTCTGAAGCTTCTTTGCACTTTAATACCAGCTCTACATGCCGCATAGTAAAATAGCTAGATTCTCTATGCACTGACAGAAATTACGCAACACCCGGTGAACGTGATGACTCCAAAATGACGTCACTATTTGGTCACTTTTGGTCGGAGATGTCATTGACTAAAAAATTACGTCTTGAAGACGTCATGTTTATGACGACAACAAGGTGATCATTTTGACGATTTTTCAGGACAGTTAGTTCTGAAAAATCAACACTTACCCAAAAAGAAAATCTGGTCTTTCAATGGACTGTGTAAACTAGATATACAAATACGAATAAATACTTTAAAGTTATTTATAACTATATTCTTCGACCAAAAATATCTCGTTTCTTACGACTTTTCTAATAATAATATTCCATGTTCAGATATTTCAAATTGCCATCTTACATCATCTTTTACTTTTTATTTATTAGGCTTACTATAAACAATTCGTGTATTAAATCATAATATGTAATTTTTGATATGATTAAAGATTCACATATATTTTTTTGTATCTACAATCAAGTATTTCTTTATTTAAGTACGGATGCCGTCAAACAATTAAACAATTTTTAGTTACATTATTTATATGACAAATAAATTTTTCTGTATAAACAGACCCAAGTTTTTAACTGATTCTCCTATCAGAATAGAATGGCGTTTAGAGCAATGTTCAAATTATTTTTAATAAGGGACCTTAGATTTTTTAGGTGTTCTGTTGCATGATTTTCAATAGATTTAGGTCCTTTTTTATTTGTGCTTCCAAAATTTCTAAATTTTCTTGATTGAGCCTATGACATAATTGTGAGTCGTCAGCAAAGACTCTGCTATATACAAAATAAAGAGAAGTGCTCCAACAATTGATCCTTGTGACATTTCTGACAAAAATTAGATGTCCTATAGAGAATTCTGAATCAACGACTACCTTTTTTGATCTATTTATCAGAAAGTTGCGTTCTAAACTCAGTGAGGAATCGTCGAAATCATAATTAGGACACAACAAAGTAGCCTCGGTAGTTTTTTCGGAATTTCAAAAACTATTCTCGAATAAACACGTTTTTGTTGCTGGGTGTCCCGTCAATCTGAAATTCTGGCTAGTGTGTCAATATGACTCAATTTGGGGCAATTTTCATATATGTAGTTTCGCCTATAGCCTTTATGATAATCCCTACTGAAAATAGATGCAAACAGCATCAGCATTTTCCTCTAAATCATACGTGAAGCATTCAATAACAACAGCAAATAATGTGATGAATATCTACTTTGCTAATTGTTTGTTTCGCTATTTGTCGCTTCATGTTAACATACCTCCTGCTTTCTAGATATGCTAATATAAACGCTGATACCAAATATTGACTTCAAGCTGTCCAATTACATGGCTTTTTTACTCTTAAAGGATTGTCAACCAGAAGTCTACAAAGAGAGGAAGTGAAGATATGTCGCAAATTTGGAATTCCACCTCCAAAACATTCAAAGTCACTCACATCTGAAATACAATGTATTTATTTTGAAATAGGTATTATATGTTATTTTGAAAATATATGTTATCCTTTATTATAAGCGTAGCTCAGTGTATCTCACCTCAATCCTTTTACCCTCCCGACGAAAAGGACTTTACTAAAGCCAATTGTGGGATTTGGATTACTAATGGGTATTTCGTCTGAAAAAAAACGTTTGATGTCTGATTGCAGCGCCTCGTTAAGGGCAACGGCGGATCCAGGACTTGTGTCTTTATGTTCAGGAAGATGTTCTTTATTTACCCATCAATATGCACTAGTAATTCAGTAAATAGCAGATTAACCCCACGAAAATAATGCGCCCTATAATACTGTCTAGATTTTGCGAACGCGATGAAGTCGACTCGTCGTTTATGGATACACTTGATAGTCCGTCGGGGACAGTCGGCGCCGGCTCGTGTTTGATCGCGGTCGCCCAAGTGCTTGGGCCGCCGCGATTATTATGTAGGCCTGATACGTGACAACGTCACAACGTATCATACATCTATTCATTTGCACAAAAAATCGAATATAGTGTCTATAATAAAAAAAAAGCTGATGCTGGTCATATTAAAATTCTAATCACGCAATCTTGTAGAGGAGAAAAAGTGGCAAAGGTCAATTTTACAACAAAAGATATTGACTGGTACTTGTTGGTTAAGCACATCGTTACTAATGCACTCAATCAAGCAAGCGTAATTGTTAGAGCTCCCACGTTTGCTACACGCATGAACAGCTCCATAACTGTGACGAATTGCGCCATCTGTTGGGCGAGTCTCCTACTCGCCAGAGCCTAAATGCCGATCTCTGCTTTTACGCGAACCATGACCTCACAACCCGACTGGCGCATTCTTTTTTTTTTCTTTTTTGTGAGGGGGAATGCGTTTATGCACCATACCATAGCCCGAGCTACGGCGTGTATGGGACTCCAGGTTGTCTTGAGGAGACCACCTAATACCCACTAAACCCTAACATCCGCGTGGACCGACTCATCAGCGTCTCGGTAAGGCCATGTGTTGTGCGTGACCTGCGGTCTGCTAGAACGTCTTCTCATGTGTTTCAGTTTGTGGGAACGCCGGGTTGGTTCCCTTTACCTCGCACATTCTATCGATGTCGTTAAGCGATCATCGATAGAGGGTCCGCTAGGTTCTCTTGAAACTCTTGTTTTCGAAAAATCAAGAGTTCTCTTACTCCTATATATTGTTCCTGGGCCTGGCTCTGAAGCATCCTGGTCCTGGTGGGTCCTGGTCGTGGCGGGTCCTGGTCCTGGTTGGTCCTGGTCCTGGTGGGTCCTGGTCCCGGTGGGTCCTGGTCCTGGTGGATCCTGGTCCCGGTGGTTCCTGGTCCTCTGCATCCACGCCGTGGGGGGGGGGGAGCAACCGCTGGTTCTCCTAGTCTCCTAGTCAAGGTTCCAGTTAGCGGGTACCAACTGTGACCTTGGTCTAGGGTACCTGGTTCTGCGGTTGCGAGGCCTCTCGTCCGGATCGTAGTCCATGAGGAGTCTTAGCTGCTCGTTCGGGTGGTTCTGAGCTTTATGGAACGTCTTCTCTGCTTTTTGCCTTATGTACTCGTGAATGGTGTCCCAATACAGGTCTCTACGCAAGGGTTGAGTTTCTTACGTAGGATGGTGCACTGGTGGCGATCCGGAGTAGCTTCATCTCTAGAGCAGCAAGTCGCTTGCGGTAGCTGGGGGCAGCGTACCCCCAGACCGCGGAGGCGTAAGCGAGCTGAGGTCTGGCGATGGCCTTGATCAGCCGTAGCTTGGTCGCTAGCGGCATCCGGCTGTGTCTACCCAGTAATGGGTAGAGTTGGGCCATGGCTGCTCTGGTCTTTGCGATGACAGCTTCTATGTGGGCTTTCCAGGTGAGGGACTTGTCAAATACGATCCCCAGATATTTGACTTTGTCGCTCCACTGGATATCCTCGTCGAAGATGGATGCTTCGAGAGGTCTTGCAATCCTTCTTCGTTGAATGAAGATTGCCTGCGTCTTCTGGACGTTGATGCGGATTTTCCATTTCACGCACCAGTCCTGGATGTGGTCCAGTTCATCCTGTACTCTCCTACGGATGATCTCAGGTCATCTATGCTTGGCGGCTATAGCAGTGTCGTCTGCATATAGGGCCTGCATTGTGTACGCTGTCTTCGGCACATCGTGAGTATAGATGTTGTAGAGCAGGGGGGCTAAGGCTGACCCCTGGGGCACGCCTGCTTCCAGCTGTCGTCTTGTTGAATGGCATGTACCAATCTTCACCGTGAACCATCTTTGTGTTAGATAGCTCTGGATCAGTTGGCACATGTTCGCATCGATTCCGGCGGCTTCCATTTTGGCGATGAGTCCATCGTCCCAAACTCGATCGAAGGCTCGTTCCACGTCCAGCAGGACGAGACCGGTTGCCTCCTGGAGATGTTTTCTGTCAGTCGTAGCGCTTGGAGTTGTGGGAGGATCTGAAGCCGAATTGCTCTGGGGGGAGAAGTTCCAGTTTTTCTGCCTGCTTCTCTAATCGAACGGCGATAGCCTTTTCGACTACTTTGCCCATCGAGGAAACCAGGCTGATGGGCCGGTAGTTCTGAGGAAACTTCCGGTCCTTGCCTGGCTTGGTGAGCATTATAACCTGGGCTTCCCGCCACCGCCGCGGGAAGTGGTTAAGTCTCAGAGTGGCATTGGCGATGTTGGTGAACGCAGCAATGCCTTTGGTGGAAAGGTTCTTCAGCATCCTGTTGTTGATGCCGCCCTTTCCCGGCGCCTTTCTGACCTTCAACCTGCGGATGATCAGACGGATTTCCTCTGGACTGGAGGGGTGATCCGTCTCCTCGCCAGGTGGTCGTCTCCTCATGATTTCGGCTGCGACTTCCACGGCCTCTTCGTGGTTGTCGTCCTCATCTTCATGCTAATTTAGTCTGCATTCGGATTCTAGCGAATCGGCGAATGCTTCGGCTTTTTCTTCACTGGAATAGGCCAAGCCTCCAACATTCTAGATGTAATGGGGACTATATATAACTCGGCGGCCGGGAGATGGAGGGGGAGTACTGATACTGAATACGGTAGAGTAGCAGAGCGGAGTGAACTATAGTACAGTAAATGGTGACATAGAATTAGTGAGACATAAATAATGGTGTATATAAATGTTTCATCAAGTCAAATAAATTAGTGCATTTCTTTTTGTGGAATCCAGTGTTTCAATCCACACCGAAAAGAACCCAGAAAAACGCTATAATACGTTAATTTAAGATATATTTCATTATTGATCAATGACAATGCGACTATTACCTATGTTATAAATTGAATTTATTTTGCTGGTCCCGCCCAGTATCCGTAGAGCCTGGTGTTACAACAAATCCTCACGGTAAGAAAGTAAATAGCTTCCATCAGTGACAATATAGAGAATCCGGTAAATAATCCCAATAACCCTCCGAAATTGGCCAGGAAGTCCGTGGGACCGTACAGCTCATGTCTTTGTGAAGTTATAAAGCGCGAAGACTTGAAGTACAAGGTGAGTCTTGATAAGTTGACCCTAGAAGAAAAGGACTTTTTAGTGCGCCTGTAGATAGCTTGGTATCCTTAAGGCCGGATTTTACTAACAGGAGATCAAAATTCTCGATCCGCTTCGTAATGGACCAATGAGAAGGTATTTTCTTAGTAATGTATCTAATGAATGCAGTCGATTTTTTCTAAAATAGTTTGAGAATAGCGAAAAAATATACGGTTTGTGAAACAAGGGTCCTTAATACACAAATTACAGCAAGAAATCATTTACCTGGTTTATCAGCTGTAAAGAGTAGAGGAAAAGCAAATGCTAGAGATGGGACTAGGAGGATGCGTTTGCAAATATTCATAAGTGTTAATTAGGGTAGATCAATGTTAATCAATGCATAATCACAGTTACGATCTCACAATGTACGAACAATGACATTTCGCTCCTGGGTGCGGCTTGGCAGGAAATATTTAGCACCTTATTTGAAAAATTCGGTTACAAAAAGAGCTATTTTAAGTGCCGCGACGATCAGTGCGAGCTTATTTTGAATGGCATGAGTTGTGTTTGAGTTGTTATTATTAGTCACCTGTAAGCAGACCCGCTACTTTCTGTGGCGTTTACATCGATATCTGCGATGGATTCATCCTCATTAATTCATTTTGCTACAAATAATTACTCTTGTGTTTTTTCCTAGAGTGCGTTGTTTTCGCAAATTTGTCGATCACCTTCCCGTTGAAATTTTCCATGGTCGAAATAAATTCCTTTTTAATGGACAGCATCGACAACGCTGTAAGGCGTTCCTGGGTCATAGTATAACGAAGAAAAGTCTTGATTCTTTTCAATGTCGAGAAATTTCGCTTAGCCTCTGATGTTGACATAGGAGTTGTAACAATAATTTCTAATAGCTCTTTTGTTTCTTTTAGTGTTTCCTTCAAACTGTTTTGTATCAAAGAGAGTTCCATGTAAATCTCGGCAATCATTCCGTGCATAAATAACAGACAACTCTGTCTTTAAACGACTTTTTGTGATTCAATGTACTCAAACACTACATTTATTGTTCGAATATTAAAATTCCAACGAGTTGTTGCTCCTTGGGGAATTTTCTCCTCGTGTCCCCGTAGCGCCAATTCAAATGCTCCGCAAAATTTTATACCGAGCACCGACCGACCAATCAGATATCGTACTTCGCATTAGATCTGTACGGATCTGTATAACATGCAGCACATACTTATGCTTGAATCCCGCATTTGATTTTGTAGAGAGAGACAAAAGCAAGCGCGTGCGGCTTCTGTCGAAGTAGTGCACAGACCCTTTTCAAGTGGTCCATGCATAATGTTACGCTGCGGTCGCGACGAAAATGACAAGTACACAATTGGTCGATTATAATGCTGCAAAACAGACTCGACGCCGTGTCTTGCGGGGGCAGCGTTGCCGGTATTGTTTATATTTGTGTGTTAACACGGAAAATAAATAATGATCAAATTACTACTGCTTTTTTCTGTTAAGACAAAAGTTTTGGCAGTTCTGCATCTCTGCAACCCAGAAATATCATTATTTACCTTGAAGGTCAACATGCGATAATGGAAGATAATTAAGGAAAATTTTTGAAATCTCCACCTAATTAACAACCGACATATCCTTTTTTTCAATTTTCTCGCCATTATTGTACGATATATTGAGATATTGAACTGGTTTATTTCAGGAGAACTTACTCGTCTTCTGCCATTGTATCATTAACAGTTCTCGCCTTGATAAATTCCTGCCACGGCCAGTCGCTCTGAGTGATCTCCGCATGGTAAGTCAGATCTGTACATATTGGCATACAATCGCAGTCTGGAAAATAGCCGTCTTCAAAGTCGCCTCCTTTAGTTTTGTTCACGCGAGGCTTGTCGATCTCGCGATGCAGGTCTCTGATCTGCAAAGTTTCGGCCGCTTCTTTCATGCATTCGGCAGCGCCAATACCACATAGGTAGGTGTCGTTGTCCCCTGGAAACAGTCAACTGCTAAATACCTCTTTTTCTGCTACTGTGTGAGAAGTATTAAGTAATTTAAATTATGACCGGTTTTTCTACACTTTGAAAAACATTATTGTAAAGTAATCTTCATCACTGCCAGGCACTGCCCGACTCCCAAATCATCTGTTAGACGCTTTAAACATATTGACTCCCTCTATCTTTTTTACTCGTATAGATATAGCTGTTTAGACAAAATTATAAAGGGTTCAAGATAGTTGAAAAAATCATAAAGGCTAGACTCATTAGTTTTTTCAACAAAAATAAGCTTATACTTGAAAATCAATTTGTATTTCAAAAAAATAAATCTACTCAAGATAAATTATTAGAGCAAATATATATATATTCTTAGACCTAACAAAAGCGTTCGATACGGTGGATCAATCCCTACTATTAGACACTGTATACGATGCAGGAATTAGAGGAAACGCTCAAAACCTTATGAGAAGTTACCTGTTTTACAGAAAACAATATGTTCAAATAAATGATTCCTTAAGTTCAGAAAAAAGTGTAAAGTCGAGGATATTAAAAGAACACCATTTACTACAAAAAATGTAGAACAAAGATGCTTCAGTTATCTCTTCACTAGATTTTATAACTTTTTACCAAGCCATATAAAATCCACGTCAAATAATAATAGATTCAAGAAAGAAATAAAAAAAATCTTGTTAAATATACTAAGTGACATATAAATCCGAACACCCAGTTTAAATGTTTTTATTTTAATAAAAGTTGGTGAATGTATTTATCTTACTGTAAATAACAAGTGAAAAAATTTTCAGCCTTATCAGTTGGACATGCCGGTTTTTATACTGCTTTTTTTTAATTCACTAACGCTCTAAAAATGAATATTTCAGCCGCAGTAAAGAATCAACGTTGGCGGATTTTGGTTCTTGACATCCTTTACGATCGGTTACGATGCCTAGAGTACGGAGACCTGTACGATTTCGTCAACTTAGTGAGTTTGATAGGGGCCGTATAGTGGGACTTCGGGAGGCTGGACTTTCTTTTCGGGCAATTGCAGTTAGAGTGCAAAGAAGTGTAGACACTGTGATTAGGTGTTGTCAGGCATGGCTTCGAGAAGGCCGTACGCAAAGAGCAAGGGGCACTGGACGCCGCCGTAGAAGAACAGACCGTGAAGATCGCCGCATAAGATTATTGACCTTAAGGGATCTATTGGCATGCGAAGTGTTTACGACGAATGAGAAGTTTTGGCTTGTTTTCATACCGGCCACACTGGGTCCTCCCTTTAACTCGAGAACACCGACGTAATCGCCTTGAGTGGTGCAGAGAACGGTCACTCTGGGATCAGGAATGGAACAGTATTGTCTTTAGTGACGAGTCTCGATTTTGTTTAGGCATGCACGATGGTCGTGCCAGGGTTATAAGGCGACGTGGTGAAAGGAGAAATCCACAGTTTTTTGTTGAAAGACATGTTCATCACACTGTTGGAGTTATGGTTTGGGGTGCTATAGCTTATGGTTCCAGGTCACCTTTAATCTTCATCAGAGATAACATGAACGCGCAGCGTTATATCCACGAAGTTCTAGAACCCCATCTTTTACCCTATCTTGACGCCCTGGCAGATCCAACATTCCAACAAGATAATGCCCGACCACATGTTGCAAGAGTCACAATAGACTTCTTTCAACATAATGATGTCACATTGTTACCATGGCCACCAAGATCTCCCGACTTATCCCCAATTGAGCACGTGTGGGATACGATGGGTAGGAGATTGCTCAATTTGCAACGTCCTCCTCAGTCTCTAGAAGCACTTCGAGAGGAGTTATTGGTTGCCTGGAATGAGATACCACAGGAGTACATTGACCACCTGATCAGAAGCATGCCTAGGCGCGTTGGAGAATGCGTAGCACATCAGGGTGCATCCACACATTATTAAAGGTCAAAGGGCTTGAAAGCAGTGCAATCATTTTGAAATTTTCATCATTTACTTATTATGCTTCATTAAGTACTTATACAAAATTTTATTAAAATAAAACCATTTAAACTGGGTGTTCGGATTTATATGTCACTTAGTATAATAATCGACATGAAATAGAAAAACTCACTAAAATGAAAATAAGTTAGTATTTGAATATAATATTATTACACTTACCTTTATCGTTATGTTGTATTTAAATTTATGTATTAACTATATTTAGCTATGTTTAAAGCAAAAATTGCTATGAAAAATGTTTTCCTACGCACAAGAATTAAATTTTTCTGTGAAATTATTTCAGTTTAGTTGCGTATGTATCCATATTTATTTTCAATAAACTGTAATACTTTATACTTGAATAAACTTATATTATTATTATTATTCTCATTATATTATAAAGATTTTTTTGTATGTAAGGGTGCATGAAGAAAGTTCTAACGCTATTGACGCGGTAGTACTATCATCGCAATATATCTCATTCTTTTTACCTTAGTATACTGACGCTTACTTGGCATAAAGTAGTTGACGCATCCGCAATAGTAAAGTGTGTAGTTGGTGAGGCATTCCAATTTGCAGTTCATGGAAGTGTAGATTTTGAAATATTTCAAAGTCTTCTCTTGTGGGAAGTAGCATTCTCTCTTTTTGGGGTTGTACATCTTGACGGAGGTCGAGGTCAGTATCATATCAGGGCGAATGGCAGCTAGCACCTCTTGGTTCAGCGGTACCTAGAAAAAATAACTGCAATACAAAAGCAATTACAACAATCATATTCGGAATGAGTTGACTTCATCAAGCTTAAATAATGTTTCACGATTTCTTTTTTTGACATTTTGAGATGTACTTACTCTGAAGTACTGTTGACTTGGTCTTGGTATTCGCATAGGCGTATGGAGGGTCACCTAGAAAATAAACTTGTCTATACATTAAGGTGTGTATTCGTAAGCGCACTGTTTTCGTTCAGTCTACATGTAGAAGGAAGAACGCAGTTCTAAAAAGGGAATATTTTTCCAATCAAGTGGCAGAGAGAGCCAGATCGACCTAGACATTTAGATGGGGTAGACAAAAGTTCAGCCATAAAAGAAGAAAAGCCGCGTCTTAGGAAAACCGAAGAACAAACGCGGCGAGCTAAATATGTTGCTTCCTTAACTACTATCTTATGAACCAGTGTATCTGTGCCTACTTACCCTAAACCCTTGCAAAGCTCCTTTACACGTGTAGTCCAAATCAGATCTATTCGACAGGAGGAATATAGTTAAGGAGTTATCAGCACCTGCTAGGAGTGCCCTGCGCGGGTACGCATCCAGGCCTATATCAGGTCCATAGCCGTCATCGAGGTTCCACTCGTTCGCACTCGTATTGCCCATCGATAAAAAGTCGGAGTGTTGGACGCTGAAAAGCAAGTCATGTCAGGCTATATCTAGGATATTAACTGGGCATTATGTATAAAACAGAAATCAAACATAGTCCATAACACTCTTTCCCCGCCCTACCCGTAATACTATCCACGTGGCAACGTCGCGTCGCCTCTCCTCAATACCTGAGCGCATGACGCATCACAGGCGGCGGAGCTCGGAGCGCCCGCAGAGCGCCAGTGATGCAGGTCACATACGAACACCAGCACGCCGGTCGCAGCCTTCGAAAACGTTGTTCTATCGTTCTGTTTAAAGGCAAACGAACAGGTCAACCTATGATGTGTGAAATATGTCTAATAAGTGCGTATCTATGGATTTTTTCCCAATATTTTTTTTTTCAAAAATAATCAGGATCCTCCTTGAAAAAAGGAAGTTTGGGCGATTTTGATTCATTAGATTGTGGGAATACTTACACTCTGTCTCTATAAATCTCAGTTCGATCCAGCATGTTGAAAGTATAACAGATACCTTCATCTGTTATTACAGGAATGAACAATTCACTGCAGTCTACAACTTTACGCATATATGCACAGTAGAAGAAGGGGAAAGTGCACTTGAACTGAAAATCAGGGAGTTGTAAGATATAGAAATATCACTGAAATCGTACTCACCTCATCGATGGTATTATAAAAGTCATCTGAAAAATAATAAACATCGGAATCTTCGTATCCGTCGTTCGTACATATCAAGCCCATGTAATCGGAGATACGCTGTCTGAAACAAGAAAATTTATCTTGTAATAGGGAAAAACCTAAAAGCATCGTAGCTTCTTGCTCTACATACATTGTAGATACACTACTACTAAAAACTATAAGTTCAGAAAGTATAAGCATTGATAAATTTCCAATGTTCAGTGCTGAAACTAAAGTAAAATCAAGAATTAATCTGACTATACAGCGTGTCACAAAGGTCCCGGAACGGCTCTGTATTTACTCAGCTAAGGCATTTTTTGAGCATCTTCGCTAACTTTTAGCAAGAAATTCAACGGTGGCCTTGCATTTAACCATGATTTTCAAGGTTAATTCATTCATTTCTTCAAACAGAAGCCCCCCTTATTAATGCCAGCAATCGAACAGAAAATGTTACGTTTAAGCGCAATTACAGTCCAAGGTCAGGATGACTGCTAAAGTTCAAATGAAGGTCAAATGTGCGCTTCTAGGAAAACCGCTATAAATCTCACAGGACGAGCGATGAAAATAACTATATTGGTCAGATCTCTGGTAAACCTTAACTAGAAAGTGAACACTGACCTTAGACTTAACCTTACACCTTCACCTTCAAGGTTAATTCAAAGACAACCAAATTTTTTAACGTAGATCCCTATTTTTGATACCGGCAATCGAAAGAGCGTAACATTTTACGTTCAAGTGCGAATTGCAGTCTAAGGCCAGGATGCCATCTAAAGGTCAAATGTGTGTTGCCAGGAAAACTCTCATAAATCTCACAGGTTGAGTGATCAAAATAACGATCAAGGTCAGTTCTTTTTTAAATCTCAACTGGGGAGTGAACGGTGACCTTGGATTTGTCCTTGACTTTCACCTTCTAGATTATTTCAAAGACAACTTAATTTTTTTAAGCGTAAATCCCTATTTGTGATGCCGACAATCGAAAGAGCGGAAAACTTTACGTTCAAGTACAAATTGAAGTTCAAGGTCAGGGTGCCATCTAAAGGTATCTGGTAAATTTTATGTAGGAAGTAAACGCTGACCTTGGATATGACCTTGATATTTACGTTCAAGGTTATTTCAAAGTCAACTTTATTATTTTTAAACGAAAATCCCTATTTTTGATGCAGGCAATCGAAAGAGAGTTCAAGTACGAATTGAAGACTAAGGTCAAAGTGACTATTAAAGGTCAAATGGAAGCCAATTGTGTGTTGCTAGGAAAACAACTATGGGGTTAGTGATGAAATTAACGAAAAAGTTAATTTTTTCAGTAAATCTCCACGACTGATCTTGTTTTGACCTTGACCTTCACTTTCAAGGTTGTTTCAAAGACAACTTTTTTAACGAAAATCCCTAGTCGACAATCGAAAAAGTGGAAAATTTTACGTTCAAATACGAATTGCAGTCCAAGGTCAGGGTGCCATCTAAAGGTAAAATGTGTGCTACCAGGTAAATTCCTATAAATCTCACAGGATGAGTGATGAAAAAATAACTATCAAGGTCGGGTATTTGGTAAATTTTATGTAGGTAGTAAATGCTGACCTTGAATTTGACCTTGACCTTTACCTTCGAGTTTATTTCACAGTCAACATTATTATTTTTATACGAAAATCTCTATTTTTGAAGCCGGCAATCGGAAGAGCGTCCAAGTACGAATTGAAGACTGAGGTCAATGTGACTATTAAAGGTCAAATGGTCAATTGTGTGTTGCTAGGAAGAAACTATGGGGTTAGTGATGAAATTAACGATAAAGTTGATTTTTTTAGTAAATGTCCACGACTGACCTTGATTTGACCTTGAACCTCACCTTCAAGGTTATTTCAAGATCAACTCCATTTTCCAAAATAGAAACACCTATTTGAAGCTGACAATCCTGAGAGCCAGAAATTCTATGCTCTAATGTGTATTAGAATTCAAGGTCAAGGTGGGCTTTGAAGGTCACATAAAGGCCAAATGTGTGCTGATAGGAAAATTTCTAGAAGTCTCACACGAACAGTGATGAGAATGGTACTCGTTACAAATGATTTTCAACCGAGTTTTTATTTGAAAAGAATGATTTTAAAATGACATTTAAGGTGAAGTTTAAGGTCAAATACAAGGTCACCGTTGAATTCCTTGGTCGAAGCTATTGGAGACCCGACCTTTATCTTTTTCCAAAGTGCTTTGCCTGAGAAAATTCAGAGCCGTTCCGACACTTTTGTATGTATTTTTTTGTGTTTTTAGTTTTTTTTAACAGAAGAACAACAGGCTGTTTCTAAAAACTGCAAGAAAAGCACCCAAAAAGCTTAAGCTAAAATAAAGGTCTCACTCTTCTTTAGTTAGCTCTTGTGTGCTGCTAGGAAAACAACTATGGGGTTAGTGATGAAATGAACGAAAAAGGTCATTTCATTAGTAAATGTCCATGAGTGACCTTGATTTGACCTTGAACCTCACCGTCATGGTCATTTCAAGATCAACTACATTTTGTCAAATAGAAATACCTATTTGATGCTGACAATCCAGAGAGCCAGAAATTCTATGCTCAAATGTATATTAGAACTCAAGGTCAAGGTTTCCACTAGAGGTCACATAAAGGCCAAATGTGTGCTGATAGGAAAACTTCTAGAAATCTCACACGAACAGTGATGAAAATGGTACTCGTTACAAATGATTTTCAACCGAGTTTTCATTTGAAAAAAATGACCTTAAAATGACATTTAAGGTGAAGTTTCAGGTCAAATACAAGGTCACCGTTGTATTCCTTGGTCGAAGCTATTGGAGACCCAACCTTCATCTTTTTCAAAAGTGCTTTGCCTGAGAAAATACAGAGCCGTTCCGACACTTTTGTATGTATTTTTTTTTGTGTTTGTTTGTCCCAATAGCAATCCCATTGTGTTAAATTTCATGTTATGGAATTCAAAATTTCTAACTGACTGAGTTGAATACACGTAGACGCTTTAATTGGTTTGTTCCTCTGAGTCAGCTCCATATGAGCATAATTTTGCTGCAGCTTTTAGTTTTTTTTAACAGAAGAACAACAGCCTGTTTTTAAAAACTGCAATAAAAGCACCCAAAAAGATTAAGCTAAAATAAAGGACTCACTCTTCTTTAGTTAGCTCTTCCATCATCAGTTTTTTGCGAAACATTGCCGTATGATTATACAGCGCTTGGGAAGTTTTCGATTCTGGGCAGATGGTGACTGCTGGAAACGGTATGGAGTATATGGGAGTTTCTTTTGTGGCGAAGCTAACAATAACCGGACTCCTTATCCATTTCTCGTATACTTCTCTTATTGCTATCACGCATCCAGCTAGTACCAATGAAAATACAATGAACCACCAAGCCCTGCAAAAAAGATTGCGACACCATATTGCCAAATCACAAATATAAGTTGATATCTAGATAGAGATATTCTTAATTGTGAACGCAAACATTTGAGAACTGGATTAAAAATTGCTCAATGAAATTTAGATATTCCAGAATGTCAGTTGAAATAATGACGTCAAGTCGGTTGACTATTGTTATTATAAAACACCTACCTTTCAATGTAGCTTCTTTTCTCTCCAAAATATCTGAAACCATGGATGCTAGTGCACTGGCAGTACTCCCTGAAGTAATTTCGGACACTTTTAAAGAACGTCGGGTCCTCGTACTGACATTCCTTTGCATCATCGTCCATCGCGGAAATAGAAATGAGGATAGCGAGGTGTGACTCACGCTCCACGTAAAATGACCAAGGATTAGGGATGAATTAGCATAATGGATAGTTTCACACTCTTCAATTAATAATCCATAATTAACTGAGTTCATATCCGATACACCGGTGCTTTAAGAAAAGTTCTACGAAATACTCAACCTTGCTGTACGATCCGTGATGTATGCACAGAAGGGCAATTCTAGATTGAACTGGTGAAAATGATAATATTGAGATAGATACGCCATAGTAAAGTAAATGAGATATAGGATGACGAAGTTTAATTTTATAATATAGTAAGTGACATATAAATCCGAACATCCAGTTTAAATGGTTTAATTTTAATAAAAGTTGGTGAATGTATTTATCTCACTGTAAATAACAAGTGAAAAAATTTTCAGCCTTATCAGTTGGACATTCCGGTTTTTATACTGCTTTTTTTGAAATTTTTATCATTTACTTATTATGCTTCATTAAGTACTTATACAAAATTTTATTAAAATAAAACCATTTAAACTGGGTGTTCGGATTTATATGTCCCTTAGTATAGTTCAACCTGTTTTTCTGGTATCAGTATCGGCAGATGAGGATTCCTGGCGATAGGGGGACCGATTTTGTCTGATTTTTTAACACAATATGAAAATGGCCCAAGGTCACTAGAACTGTGCATTTACAAAGAGTAATTTTTTGGTTGTGGATAGTACTATATGTAATTAATAACATATGAATATTTCCTACTTTGACAGTAGGAGTGTTTATGTAAATCCAAATGGTGAAGGATTTGGTGGACAATCTCGTTACTTAAGACATTTTAAAAATTTTCGTCGAACCCCAAAGTGGTGTATTTAGCTTCAGGGCATAGTCAGCAAATTTTTAGCGGAGATTAAACTTATGAGAATTGGCATTTTATTCAGTGGAAATAAACCGAATTTCCCTATGGTCGTTTTTATGTTTTCTTCTAAAATGTGACGTAATTAGGGTTTAAATGTGACGTTCCGTCAATTGTCTTCAATCATTAACTTTATTTTTCCTTATAGACGTCATATTCGATTTTTGCACTGGCCAGTGGAGTTTCCGACTTCAGCGATTTGGATAATGTTCATTCAAATACTGAACGTCGCCTCTAAAAATGTGTTATGGTGCCCCGTTATGAAGAAACCACAAATTCTGTCTCCCTTGTTGTCTAAGGTCTGTTCTAAAATTTCTGGTAGGTTATTGGCTAGAAAGCTAGGGTATCCTTCTTCTCACAACTTTGGGGGTAACTCAAAGGGCCAATTACCTGATGGTCAAGAATACCCGCCCAAATATTTATTTTAAATCGTTATTGGAAAGGACCTTCACGAATGGTATGAGGATTTTCTTGGGCCCACGTGTGAGTATTATGGAAATTTAATATCCCGTTGGCGATAAATTTGAGCTGCAAGATTTCACCAGCCTAACCGCCTGTAGCTCGTGCTATGTTCATACCGAATACCGAATTGCAAGTCAGGAATCACATGGTGATCCGACGAGAAATTCTCAAGGTGACGTAGAATCACCTTTTCAGCGAGGTGAGACAATCTCAGGATCAGTATCAGATGTTACATTTACCCCTCGTAAGAGTGGTGCGTTCCATACTTAAATTAAAAGCAATATGCTGACCAGACAATAACGTACGGATAACTGTTAATTACAAGCATTTATCACACTCGCTAATTTTAGGCGAATAATTAGGTTAAAACATCGTCAACATTTTCCCTGTGGAATAAAAAGAAAAATGCAATGGGGAGAGGAGGACCTTGTTAAACATGTAGCAGATGAATATTATCAGATGTTATAGATTGGGTTGAAAAAGGAGTGGTGTGATAGATTAATATATCGCATAGTTTCTTACAGTATTATAATGGCGAACGTTCAAATATATACAACAGGAGTCTCCTGAAAATATTTTTTACCTACTGGAAATATTTGTAACGTAACCTTTTTTGTTCTATTTATCACTTATCAGTAATTTGAACTTCTCTTCATTGATAGTAGAGTGCCCCTTCCTAGGCCAAACCCTTTTCAATGATTTTCTTTTGGCAAATTTAATAGTTTATCGATTGTGTAATTCCACTCGTATTATATGTTTCTTTCTCAGCGATTCAGTATGGTGTTGACGATCAGCCAAAAACTCTCCATTAGTTGATTTCCTATAAAACATATCTTCTTCAAGGCCACTCGAGATACCTTCTTTTAGAACGTTACGTGTTCTGCATTTTCCGGACTCTGGGATATTAGGCCCCAAGCGCCAATTCATGGACTAGCACCCTTTTTTTGTGTAACTCAAGTTTAGTCATTTTGGTTTGGGTGCTACGTCTTCCATTTTTTTATGGGATTTTTACCGTCAGCGGTAAGTTCCTTTTTATATACCTTGGAACCACGTGCCTTAATGCATGTCCTGATGACGTTCATTCAATATCTGCTATCTTTTAGTCAATAGAAACAGAAGAGAATCGTCATCCTTTCCCCTCCAGCTGGTTGCATCTTGTTGCAGTTTTGCAAATTGATGGAAGCACCCTTTTGTGTGGTGGTCAAGCAAAACAAGTTCCGACAAACATCTCGGGGAGTTAACCCCCCCTACTCTACGCTTTATTGAGCTAGTGCCTAAATTTGTACGCCACTAGACAACTGTTTTGCTTGGACCAACCGTTAGATAGTATTTATCATTGTGTTTTATTAATTAATCAAAAAAAGGCGTGGCATATTTAAATGATGATGATGCTTTTCAAATACATTTTGATAGCCGGAAAGTACACACTTTGATGTAAACGTTTGATATGAGGACCTCACTATTGTTTAAATATTTCCAATCGGATTTTTTTTCAAATTTTAATTCGTTTTATTATCAGCTAAATAAATTCAATTTGAAGTACCATATTCTATGATTAAATCGACGATAGATTCCAGTTTCTGTTGAGCAGCATTCCTATTTCCACTATTTTTATCCGCATTAGCCTGTAATCATTTATTGAGATGTTAGAGGGATTCTTAACACACGGAACGGCAAAGTGAAACGAACTGATCAAAATCAACAAATTTATTGAACCTAACCACTATATACAATTGATCAAACATAATTCGTTACCCTACTGTTCCATACCGTCAACTCCGCTTAATCTTAACCTCTTTATCACTCTTTCGTGATGATCTCCTGATCAACCAGCAGATCAGCAGCACGGGTAGACTAACAGCAGCAATAAGAAAAGCGATGACATCTAGGAGGTAATACTGATACCACGGCATATCGACCGCCGCCGTCCGCATATGTGGCGCCCCCTTGTGGCGAGCCACGTACTCGATCCAGTATATCGCGGTGTCCAGCGGCGATAGTGGACGATCTCTGTAACGCGCTGACAGCTCTTTCGCTTGCTGTTGGAATCTGGAATTGGGAAAAGGTGTACTTATGATGATGTTTGTGGCTGCAACAAGATGGCTCTACAATCTGCATCCAAATACTCTAACGACATAATTTAGCTTCTCTTACCCAATTTGTTGCCAAGATTCGGGGTCAGAAAGGCCATTTTGATGAAATCTATACAGAAACAGAAACCTAGGTTTTTCTGAAAAACTAGCTTCGCTCCTGCAGGCAGAACACGTTTGTGGAATATGGTTGTTTCACGACTAATAACTACAAAGCTACTCCAGGAGTTGCCCAGGGAGCTAACTTGGGACCATTATGATTTTTAATCTTAGTTAATGATTTGCCGCTGGAGATTAAACATCAACATTTATTTTTCGCATCGAACTTTACCTTGATGAAGTTGTAAGTTAGTATCTTATTATTGATTATTTACTTATATATTGTTATTGTTATCTATGTATTCCTTTACTGTGCTTATTTGATATTTATTGACATTTCCTGTCTGTTGGAAATAGACTTATAATTGACTAACAAAAAAGGTATGCTCGCAAACCGCCTTAAGCCTACTATCAAATGCAGATAAAATATCTTAAAAATTTAAATAATCATTGTTCAATTGTCATAACTGCAGTTTTTAATCTGAATTTTTGGAACCGACATTTGTTACAAGGTACTCGATTCATTATTATTATTACTACTGAAATAGGCGGAATCGTAAACTCTTAGCCTTCATCTGTCAAACTATAATTTAACGTATTGCTACATAGTGATGCTTACGTTTCGTCCAAAACTGTTTTCAGTGCTTCATAAATAGTCTGCTCCGTGATGTCCCTGTAGTTCAAGATAACTCCACCTCCAGAAGCTTGTATGGCCTTGGCGTTGGTGTGTTGGTCTCCGAACTGGGGAATGACTACGATGGGCGTACCCGAGTGCACGCCTTCGATAGTTCCTAGTAGACCTCCGTGTGAAATGAAAGCCTTCACATTCGGATGACCTGCAAAAGAGAGCTTTTGATTTCGAGAAAAACGTGTTTAAGGGACATTCGGATAATTTGTTCGTTTATTGAATACAACAAGAGTAGTTAGATTGACAGTGCTTGAATGCAACGTATGTGCATCAGTTTAGATATGGCATGTATTTGAGGTTTGATATGTCATGATATTCTGCAGAAGCTTGAAGCTATGTTGTTCGAGGCCTTTCACTTACGAGCAGAACGTGTTATTAAGTAAGCAAGGGGCTGTAAATCTTCTAGACATGTTTTCCGAAGAGGGTGTACCTCAGGGCCCTATTCTGGGGCCACTTTTATACATCATTTATGTAAACGATTTCTTTAGCAAGAAACATGTGATGTATGCTGAACTGTCCCGAGCAGCGTCATCGTAATTGAACCAAGTACATCAATGGTTCTTAGATAATGGCTTGTTGCTGAACGATACAAAAATTTTGTTTTTGTTATTTGTTTTACCCGTGATGGCTTTCTTTTTAGAAGTCTCAATGGAAAAGTGAGAGAAGATGATTCGGTGGAATTTCTAGGCGTATATGTGTTTGATGAATGTACTTGGGGCCTACATGTAGATAACGATAATTTTGAAAGCCTTGGAGTGTTTACATTTATGAATTATTAGTGTAGGTCAAATTAACCAAACCTCAGTTTTACGTCACGATATTTATCACACCTGAAATTCAAAGTTGCTTCAGATATCGCACGCCACAAGCTTCCTGCAATACCTCAGCGGTAATGAATTAGGAGTAACCATTAATACTTACTAAGAATATCAAACTGAGGTGCCCACTTGAGTAACATGGCATTTTTCGGTTGTCCCTCCATGGTGTCGTTTTCCCATTTCCATATGATCCTTTGCGGCAATCGACTAAAAGCCTTTTGAATTGCTTCTCTTTTGTCTTTCGGCAAGGTGTGGCCTCTCAACAAAGACCCCAGGCTCATATATATGACGCCGTGTGTTGATTCGTTTATCCACTTTTGCAGATTCTGAAATCAAGCACCACAATTAGATGATGACGTTGTCTCTTATTTTCAGTGAACGGCTTGTTCATGGTGCCAAAATATTAGTTATGATGTGTGAAATAGTAGGGTAGAGGTACCTGGGCTGAGAGATAAATGATTGAATTATATGTCCTCTCCCATAGAGACTATCAAAATGTTCGTAAAAAGGATAAACTTTGGGCTAAAATAAGAGGAGAGAGGAGGAAGAAAACAATCAATTATTTTAAAATAAATATGGAATCGAACCGCCTTTTCATAAATGTTGCATTATTGTGTAGAATTCGCCATATTATCGTCTTCCTTAGTTGACTGTGTGAACTCTTTTTCTTTTTTCTGAAGTAAGAGACGTGAATATGATAAACAAGCTAATTTATAGATATTTATAAATACTATTTTACCTTAAATTATGTAGAGATTATGCAAGAAATAATTCTTCATCCGATGATGTATACATTTTCTAGGATAGCAAGGAAACTACTCGCTTTTCTTAACACTGCCATTCAGTCTTTTCGATACTGAAAATACAACGTAAATGACGCGATTATATTCGCTCTCGTGAGAGGCTTCATCCAACATCAGCTATGAAATTCGCTGCACCATCACGAATCCGCCGCGAATAATTGGCGTTGGCTTTGGGGACCCTTAAATTTTCTGACATCAAAAAAACCGTGGGGCAGGCACCCCCCAAAATCGCCGGGAAAGCAGCAAGCGGCACCCCCAAAATCTTAGGGCAAGCGGTCCCCCAAAATCGTGAGGCAAGCGGCACCCCCAAAATCGTAGAGCAAGAGGCCCTTCTAAATCTTGAGGCAAGTGGCACGTGTAAAATCGTGCGGCAAGCGACACCCCCAAAATCGTGGGCAAAGCGGCCCCCAAAATCGTGAGGCAAGCTGTACCTCTGAATACGTGGAGCAAGCAGCCCCCCAAAATCGTGAGTCAATCGGCGCTCCCAAAATCGCAGAATGAGCGGCTCCCAAAATCGTAAGGAAAGCGGCACCCCTAAAATCGTACGGCAAGAGGCCCCCTAAATTTTGGGGGCAAGTGACACGTCTAAAATCGTGCGGCAAGCACCATCCCCAAAATCGTGGGGCAAGCGACACCCCAAAAATCGTGTAACAACCCCCACCTCATAGTCGTGAGGCAACTTGTACCTCTCAAAACGTGGGGCAAGCGCCCTTCCAAAATCGTGAGGCAAGCGTCACCCCCAAAATCGTAGAGCAAGCGGCCCTCCCAAAATCGTGGAACAAGCGGCTCCCAAAATCGTGAGGAAAGCGGCACCCCTAAAATCGTACGGCAAGAGGCCCCCTAAATCTTGGGGGCAAGTGGCACGTCTAAAATCGTGCGGCAAGCAACATCCCCAAAATCGTGGGGCAAGCGACACCCCAAAAATCGTGAAACAACCCCCACCTCATAGTCGTGAGGCAACTTGTACCTCTCAAAACGTGGGGCAAGCGGCACTTCAAAATCGTGAGGCAAGCGGTACCCCCAAATCGTAGAGCAAGCGGCCCTCCCAAAATCGTGGAACAAGCGGCCCCAACATCGTGAGGAAAGCGGCACCCCTAAAATTGTAGAGCAAGCGGCGCTCCCAAAATCGTAGAGCAAGCGGCCTCCAAAATCGCGAGGAAGGCGACATCCCTAAAATCGTGGCGAAAGGGGCCCCCCAAAATCGTGAGGAAAGCGGCACTCCTAAAATCGTGGGGGTAAGTGGCACCCCTAAAGTCGTGCGGCAAGCGGAACCCCCAAAATCGTGAAACAAGCGGCCTCCCAAAATCGTAGAATGAGCGGCTTCCAAAATCGTGAGGAAAGCGGCACCCCTAAAATCGTACGGCAAGAGGCCCCCTAAATCTTGGGGGCAAGTGGCACGTCTAAAATCGTGCGGCAAGCAACATCCCCAAAATCGTGGGGCAAGCGACACCCCAAAAATCGTGAAACAACACCCACCTCATAGTCGTGAGGCAACTTGTACCTCTCAAAACGTGGGCAAGCGGCACTCCAAAATCGTGAGGCAAGCGGTACCCCCCAAATCGTAGAGCAAGCGGCCCTCCCAAAATCGTGGAACAAGCGGCCCCAAAATCGTGAGGAAAGCGGCACCCCTAAAATCGTAGAGCCAGCGGCGCTCCCAAAATCGTAGAGCAAGCGGCCTCCAAAATCGCGAGGAAGGCGACACTCCTAAAATCGTGGCGAAAGGAGCCCCCCAAAATCGTGAGGCAAGTTGTACCTATAAAAACGTGGGGCAAGCGGCCCTTCAAAATCGGGAGGCAAGCGGCACCCCCAATATCGTAGAGCAAGCGTACCTCCCAAAATCGTAGAACAAACGGCCCCCGAAATCGTGAGGAAAGCGGCACTAAAATCGTACGGCAAGAGGCCTCCCTAAATCTTGGGGCAAGTGGTACGTCTAAAATCGTGGAGCAGGCGACAACTCCAATATGGGGGGGCAAACGCCACCCCTAAATCGTGGGGCAAGCGTCAAGGTACCCCTTAAAATCGTGAGACAAGCGGCAAGCGACCCCCTAGAATCGTGGGGCAAACGCCACCCCTAAATCGTGGGGCAAGCGTCAAGGTACCCCTTAAAATCGTGAGAAAAGCGGCTAGCTCCCCCCTAGAATCGTGGGGTAAGCGGCCCTCAAAATCGTGGGGCAAGCGCCCTCTCCAAATCGTGGGACAAGCGGCAAGCAGTATCCCCAAAATCGTGAAGCAAGCAACGCTCCCAAGGTCATGGGGCAGGCAGCACCCTCAATTGAGATATATTCTCACCCACCTCCGTATAGCCCCAAACATAATTTTTAAACCTATACATTTTTTTTCAAAAATGATCAGGATACCCTGAGTCGTCAAAAAACGACGGTTGAGCTATTTTTATTTTTTTTCGTATATGGTGGTCTCTTTCTCCGCTGCCACTGGATCCATCTTAAAAAACCATAATGCTTTCGTCTTTGGCGTGCATAGAAAGTATTCGTTTGGTACTACCTCGTGGCGATACAACATACTATATGTAGATATAACTGAAGAAAAACTGAAATATCAAACCCTATTGGTGAATGGTGTGACCTCTATGAGAGACTTCCTTTTCATATAACGGCAACTTGATCTTTTATGCGGTTTAATCAGGATTGAAATGTTATATCTAGGTTTTACAAATAAAGCTACTATAATTGTAACGGATCGGATACACAGGTACACATTTCTTAATCTAAGTATAAACATTATTTTTGCACCTTAAATGAGATATTTAAATATTTTGTAAACCACAATTGTAGCATATGTAAACATTACGGTTTGCCTTTGTTTGACGTTAATGTCGATTTATTGGAGGTATGAGTTGACTTTAGAGAGTTTTAGCAATAGCAAACACCGCATACATTATCAACGTTGACATTTATGTTATAAGATGTTTATGGATTATATGATAAGTCAGTTTTCTATAATTACTCTTTATTTACACATTTTTTACTGGTTCTTCAGTAATTTATATTATTGTCTATCAAAATCCCATCGCTATGCATTTTGGTTTTCATAACGTGATTTGTTAATTTCACCTTAAAAATTGTTAGATTCGAACACTGTTTAATATCATTTTTTAATTTATTAAATTGAAACACAGACTTGCTAGTTATGCTACCATTACAATTTTGCAGATGAAAATTTACACTACTCCTAGTTTAGTGAATGATTTTTTTTTTGGAATACATACTGAAATTATGGGAAACTCTTTATTAACGTGTTTGGATATTATATGACATATACATTACGATTAACCATTTCATTAGTGGAAAAATTCCGTTTTTGACGTTTATTCTAAATAATATTTATTTTATTATTTCTGTTAAACATATACGTACTTACTTTTCTAAGATGACTAATTTGTCCCGCTATCTATTATAGATCAGTTCACGGTACATCAACAAAAATTCAAAGAATCATGAAAATTACTTCCAGTCCATTAAAATTATAATTTAATTGATGTCAGAATCTTATGGGAAATACAGAGACGATCTACCTGACGCTGTTTTTTGTTCATTAAGCTGATAAGCATTTTGTGACTTTTGAAGCCTTCATCAGACACATTACAAGTATTCACGAAGATGTCCTGAGAATACGATATCGAATTAAAAAACATACATCAAAATAGCAAGTCATCCATCAAAAGTGCATGTCATAATTCAATAACAAACACTTTATATTGGATGATTATTTATCGTTATCAGTTCCAATTGAATGTTAATCTCCATCAATTGATAAATCAAATATAAACAGTGAGTCTATTTTTCGTCACCACAAAATAAATCACAATATTTGTAAATAAAGGAACTATCGATGTCCAAAAATTGTTGTTTCGTAATTTTTCTAAGCATGTCGACATCCTTTATCGATGTCCTACAGGCAAAGACGATAATTAGGCATTGGTGTCAATGACCATTGCGGATGGGCAAAGTTGTTAATATTCTCGTTTTAATGACTACAATGACGTAATGATCAAGAAGGAATATGCAATGTTGATAAAGGACAAATTGTTCGTAGTAAAAACAACTAGAGAGAATCTTGTTTCTTTGATATCAGTGAAGACGGTAGCTAGCAAGATGCAATGATCAGGCCAATATTCCAAATTATTAAAATCTTTGTACAAACTTTTCATAAAAATAAAGGATGAAAATCAACCTCTCAAGTATAACTATGGCATAAAAATATCTAATAACTAATTAACTAATTCTTTTTAAAAAAATATTTAATTTTAATCTAGCTAATGCATATCTAATTCATAAACCTCTTATAAATATTAATGCATTGATTATTTTTATTAAAAAAGGTGAACATAGGTTCATAAAATATTAATCAACCTAAAACTCTTCTCCTGAAAATTACAAGTGAAATTAAAGCTCCCATAACTTTTAATATCAAATATTAAATTAAATGTTAGAGTTAATTTTTAGTAACTATTTATACAATTTTAGTTATTATGAAAATACAGTTAATTGCATCCCACCCTTGACTACTCAAATTGAGTTTTTTATTTCAAATTAATCATTCATATTTGATTGTTGGACTTTCTATTATTTCTCCAATACTTGAAAATTCTTTTCTTCTTTTTAGTTCTATACTAAGTGACATATAAATCCGAACACCCAGTTTAAATGGTTTTATTTTAATAAAATTTTGTATAAGTACTTAATGAAGCATAATAAGTAAATGGTAAAAATTTCAAAATGATTGCACTGCTTTAAAGCCCTTTGACCTTTAATAATGTGTGGATGCACCCTGATGTGCTACGCATTCTCCAACGCGCCTAGGCATGATTCTGATCAGGTGGTCAATGTCGTCCTGTGGTATCTTATTCCAGGCAACCACCAACTCCTCTCGAAGTGCTTCTAGAGTCTGAGGAGGACGTTGCAAATTGAGCAATCTCCTACCCATCATATCCCACACGTGCTCAATAGGGGATAAGTCGGGAGATCTTGGTGGCCATGGTAACAATGTGACATCATTATGTTGAAAGAAGTCTATTGCGACTCTTGCAACATGTGGTCGGGCATTATCTTGTTGGAAAGCTGGATCTGCCAGGGTGTCAAGATAGGGTAAAAGATGGGGTTCTAGAACTTCGTGGATATAACGCCGCGCGTTCATATTACCTCTGATGAAGATTAAAGGTGATCTGGAACCATAAGCTATAGCACCCCAAACCATAACTCCAACAGTGTGATGAACATGTCTTTCAACAAAAAACTGTGGATTCCTCCTTTCACCACGTCGCCTTCTAACCCTGGCACGACCATCGTACATGCCTAAACAAAATCGAGACTCGTCACTAAAGACAATCCTGGTCCATTCCTGATCCCAGAGTGACCGTTGTCTGCACCACTCAAGGCGATTACGTCGGTGTTCTCGAGTTAAAGGGAGGAGCCAGTGTGGCCGGTATGAAAACAAGCCAAAACTTCTCATTCGTCGGTAAACACTTCGCATGCCAATAGGTCTTCCGTGTTCTGCAAACCATTCATTTGCAATGGACCTGGTAGTGGGGAAACGGTCCCTTAAGGCCAATAATCTTAGGCGGCGATCTTTACGGTCTGTTGTTCTACGGCGGCGTCCAGTGCCCCTTGCTTTTTGCGTACGGCCTTCTCGAAGCCATGCCTGACAACATTTCACCAACTTTTATTAAAAAACCATTTAAACTGGGTGTTCGGATTTATATGTCACTTAGTATATTTGGTATTAAAGTGTGCTTTATTTTAGTTTCTTAGAGTCATTTTCCAATTTTTTTGTTTCAAAACGACAGCAGAGGTGCTTATCATCAAGAGCTTGGACTGGTATATTTTATTAGGAGTTTTCAAAATTTCCAACTATTTTGGAATCTTCCAAAACCATTTATTTTCCAAATTTCAATCATACTAATACAAAAAGTTGATAACTACCTGAGGTAAAGGTTTGGGCTCCCCAACATGCACCCCACCAATTTCGATGACGTTCGGCACGAAAGGTCTAGGCAGATTCAATGAAAAGTGTGTGTTCACCAGCAACAAGCTAGACCTGTTGATAGCACTGTCCATGTTGGCGGCTTCTTCACCTAAGTACTTTCTGGCTATATTCTCGTCATTAGCGTTCATCACATATCGGTAAAAGAAGCGGTGCAGAGTGGTGACGACAGTGTTCTCCACACGTTCTAGAAAGTTCATCCTATCCGAATGAGGAAGCAGATTGTTGGGTATGTATCCAGTGTGAATGGGGTTGGCGAAACGATCCGAAGCCCAGGGCATCAGGGTGCAAGAACTCAGACCAATGACCGGGACGTTGAATATGTCTGCTAGACCTGAAAATAAATAGGTGGTAAGAATCAGTTGGCCGCATTGGGGGGAGGAAATTTTCCTCAAAACTGTGCAAAAAGATGCTACATATTTAAATTTGAAGATCGCAGGGACAGAACACGTTTAATGAAAAATAATCTGCTGTCTTTACGCTATAAACATACGGTCTTATGTAATCAACAAAGCTTGAATTTATATTATAGAAATTCTGGGATTGATTGCATCAATTTTTATGTATTTTTCAGCTTTACCAACTGTTTTTCGCCATTTTGAGACTAGTGTACATGTCAAGAGAAATCACCGCTGCTTCAGAAAACGTTAGCTTGTCTGTGTCGTTATTTATTGTTTGCCTTCTTCCTTAACGGAAGATTTATGCAACATTGTATCCAATTATATACAATAAACATCACCGATTTCTAATAGAGATCTTACCCATAAGGCAGTCGGTGTTGAACATTTCGATGATCATCAAATCAAAATGATATCGATGACGCTCCTTCATGAACCGCATAAAGTTTTTCGACTGCATTACATCATCGCAGGCGATTTTTGCCATGTACTCCAGAAATTGCGCCATCATGTACCGGGTCAACTTGCTAGACGGGTCTATTTGTTCAACATCTATAGCTTCCACAAACTGCTTAGACTCGTCGTTCAAATTAATATCCTTGTAGTTTGGCATTGGAGGAGACACAGGGTAATGACCGATCACTGTCACCTTGTGGCCCTTTCTGGCAAGGGCCTTGGTAATAGGCAAAAACACGTCCACGTGACTCTTTCCGGGATGCGGAAATACCGCCAGAATCTCATAACTATTTACACTATACGCACCGATAATAAAAAACAAAATCACAGTTGAGACGACAGTAGTAGACATGTTGTTAGGCACCCGTAGGATAGCGTGCAACGTTTTGTACCGATAAATATATGCCTGCGCTCACGGTCTCGGTCAAATTTTCAAGCTGAATATTATCAGCCGCGCGAGTACAGCGGTGACTTTGGGAGCGTTTAGCTATAGATAAATTGATCTATTTATACAGCGGCAATCACAGACAGTTAGGGTCTCCCAAAAGTCATGGTGATACGGGGGTCATTCCCGATCCCATAGAATCCTTTCCTTACACCAGAGCAAACGGTTACGCAGATGTTCAGCTGTGAGAGGTAGCATACCAACCATTTTTCTATGCTCTTCAAAACAATAATTAGCGATGGCTCAAATACTACTAAGTCCGTCTCTCAGAGTCAGGAGTCTTAACGGGGCTCCTACAATCACGAGCACCATCTGCTGAGGTAACGGGGGGTGAAAAGGAAACGAGGATGGGCTGGCCCTAGAAGGTCGTTGGCGCTACTTTAAAAGAGGAAAGGATAACTGCGGGTGCATACCAGGATATATTTTTATAATAACAGTCGGATTTCGATTAGCGATCTAGCCTGTAAATCGTTTCCTATTTTGGCACTCAGCAAGTGATCATTTAGTATTTTTCTCCCCTTGTTACTGTTCGTCGATATTGTGTTCTTGAATTGTTGTTGGTGTGATTGTTCTTGAGTGCCTTTTTTTTATCAAGGTTGACAATGGACAATAATGGACATATGCGATCATTTCAATTACGAATGCAGTGAGTTTAATTCATGATGAGGTCAACAGTAGTGTGAAGCAGTTCAACTCTATAATCGCAAAATACATTGGGGAGTAAGCTAATAAATTATTGCAAGAAGAGGTCATACCGTGGAAGATGTGCTGCAGCTGTATATGTGGTCTAAATACATTTGCGTTCTAAGCTTAGTCCAACCTCGCTTATCGCCAACATGGAACGAAGACTCAAACGCAAGGATCTTGAAAAGAAACTCACACCAAAAAAGGCTGATATAAAAAGAACTAACAATTCGGATAGCAATTCCAAAGTAAATGAATAGTTTTATGGAGAATTCTGTCAAAAACCTGACATGAACGACGTTGATTTGGAGGTAGCTAAGCAAGAATTTTTAGGGAAACTTAAAAAAAAGGGCGACGAGATTTTGCAGATCGAACAAGTCACCAAATCACAGGACTGTACTTTGTGGCGCCTTCATCGGAGGATAAGGTTGGCAGCGTCTCGATTTGCTGAAGTTTGTAGAAGAAGGTAGACAATAAGCTGTAAAGTTCTAGTAAACTCCATCATATACCCAACAGACACGGAAGTAACTATTTCGACGTGAAATTTTTTGATGCGCTGCCCAAGTTTTGTCAAACACTCAACTTAATCATTTTTAAAGCAACTGCGAAAAAAAATCTAGTGACGAAAGCTGTTTACAGCATAGATGAGTTTTTAAATAATGATTTTACCGACTTTGTTCCATAGTTGTTGACTATTTGTTTTATTACACTGATCAACAGCCAAAAAATATCCTAAATAAAATCAACAAAATATTACTATTTTTAATGTGCTAAAACCGGAATGAAACTTATTTTTTCAATATTAGTTCAAGTTTTAGAGATACGGTAATTATATGTGTTCCTGCTGTGACAGTGTTAATATACTGTAATTCACAAGAATGCACGTGCTACATTTTTATATTCGGCAAGGAAAGATGATGTAATCGGCATGATTGTGTTACGTTATACATACGTGTACATTATATTGTTTTATATTAGCCATTTTTTCCTCAGTTGGCTGACAGCGTTCATGCAAGATGTCTCGAAAGTGTGTAAACAATCCAGATCAGTTTTGTTACGTGTGTGGTGATGTGACTTTTGCGTCTCAGAGACGGTCTATTACTCCACTAATAACAAAGGCATATCAGCTTTATTTCGGTTGTAAACTAGGTGAGCAAGACAAACAGTGGGCACCCCACATCTGCTGTAATACATGTGCTTCAAGTCTGAGGAGCTGGTTAAATGGCAAAAAACGGTCTATGCGCTTTGCTGTCCCAATGGTTTGGAGGGAGCCTACAAATCATATTAATGATTGTTACTTTTGCATGGTACCTTGCGTTGGACAAGCCACAGGTATGTCCAAGAAAAAAAAATCGGTTATTAACTACCCAAACATACCATCTGCGACGAGACCTGTGCCTCACAGTGACGAAAATCCTATTCCAAAACCCCCAGAATCCTACACTTGCGAATCAGAAAACGAATCAGATCATGGCGATCGAGTGATTCGTCAGGAAGAAGATATGCCATCAACGTCAAGAGATCCTGATTTTATACCGAGCACGTCATGCCACCAACCACACAAAATAACACAGTCAGAATTAAATGATCTTGTAAGAGATTTAGAACTTCCAAAATGTAAGGCAGAGTTACTTGGATCAAGACTGCAGCAGTGGAACTTGTTAGAAGACGATGTTTCGGTATGTGTTTTTCGTAAACGCCACAAAGACTTAGAACCATTTTTCAATATGGAGAATAACTTGGTTTTCTGCAGTAACATTAACGGCTTACTGGCGGCTTTAAATATAAACTATAACCCAGAAGAATGGAGATTGTTTATAGACAGTTCAACATTGAGTTTAAAGGCAATGTTATTGCATATTGGAAATATTTTACCATCTCTTCCTGTAGGGTATGCAGTTCACATGAAAGAATCATATGACAATATGCAGAACCTATTGACATGCATAAAATACGATGAGCACCAATGGCATATTTGTGGCGATTTGAAAGTTGTTGCACTTTTACTTGGGCTGCAGCTAGGCTACACAAAGTTTTGCTGTTTTTTGTGTGAATGGGACAGTCGGGCAAAGGCACTTCATTACACCATACAAAACTGGCCTGTTCGTCAATTCCTAGAGCCAGGTCAAAAAAATGTACAGCATATGCCATTAGTAGATTCGAAAAAAAATTTATTACCACCACTGCATATCAAGTTGGGCCTAATGAAAAACTTTGTCAAGGCATTAGATAGAGATGGGTCAGCTTTTCAATACCTGCGTCAGAAATTTCCAAGACTAAGTGAGGCAAAGGTTAAAGAAGGTATTTTTGTTGGGCCACAGATTCGAAATATTTTGAAAGATACACAGTTTGAAAACACTTTAACAGGTATTGAAAAAACTGCTTGGAATGATTTCCGTCTGGTGGTCACTAATTTCTTGGGAAATAGAATAGCTGACAACTATAAAACCCTTGTCAAAAATATGCTGTCATCGCATCAAAAGATGGGCTGTAATATGTCTCTTAAGATACATTTCCTACACTCACACCTGGACTTTTTTCCTGACAATTGCGGAGCCGTAAGTGATTAGCACGGCGAACGTTTTCATCAGGATATTTCAACAATGGAAAAAAGGTACCAGGGAAAGTGGAATCCTTCCATGCTTGCAAACTACTGTTAGACTCTTGGTAGAGATGCTCCAGAAACGATCCATAAAAGAACAGCAAAAGACAGCGCATATAGTGATTCTTATAAGTATATGAATCTTGTTACTTTTTTTAATATATCCTTAAAAATAAAAAGTTTTTTTCTAAACCGCAACTAATTTTTTTATTTCATTGTCATTTTTGGATTAAGCGCCCCAAAATTAACAAAGAAGTGCACTTTTCCTACAAGATACAATTAAAAAACTAAAATTTGTTGTCCAGTGTTATTTTGTTTTCGTTTGTGTTTTGCGTATGTGTTATTTTTGTATCACTTTTTATTGTTCTCCAGGACTTTTGAGTACAAACATGAAAAAATTAATATTATTCCATAATTTTTTAACCATCTCATTTTATTGTTCATCTTAATTTTAAACTAGGTTTTATCAAGTTTTTTTACCTTTTATTGCCACTTTTCGGTATACGTTTGTCTTATTTTCGTATTGTTTGTTGTTTTTACTTACTCTTTTATGTACTACTCTAACTGACCGGTGCAAACACATTTTTCTGTGATAGTACCAATAAATTATTATTATTACTAAACTTTTCAATTATTATTAGCTGTTTTCAAGTTATTATTCCTAAATAAGCATGAGCATGATTTTACCTCTGTTTCTAAGTATCAGATATATGATGAAAAAGCAGGGGTCCTAACGAAGATCCATGTGGTACACCAGAACACATTTTTTTGTGCAGTGAGTGCTGTTGACTTGACGAACCTTTTGACACCGATTTTCAAGGTATATTTGACTAAACGGAAGCAGTTAGAAAATCTATAATAACTGCATTTCGACACAAGATTGATTGATTAATTTTGTCAAATACTTTAGCAAAGCTAAGAAGTATGAGAGCTACTCCTTTTCAGGGTGCCGGAGCTGTATAACGACCTTGTCGAATTCCAGATTGTTTAGATGGAATAACTTTGTGAGAATATGAGTAGACGCAGAGCTGCTCGTAAACAACGCGTTCCAATACTTATGAGAAAATAGGCAGTAAGCTGATCGGTCTGCGTTGACTATGGTTCGTTAGGTAGCGTGTTTCCACTGATCTGGGAAATATTGGCACGTCTTTCTGTAACACCTTGTATATAATTTCATTCTGTTAGAAAAACATGATGTTTTATCACTATATTGTTAGTCGCCTCTAATTGCTTATAATTGACAAATATATTGAGATAAGGTTATCTTATCGACAACACAGCAATGACAACTATGTCTATCACACCACACCAGACCCGAGACAATGACAGGGAAAGTAAAAGGGGCAAATAATTAATGCAAGATTTGTATTTTGCCCATATCCCAATTGACAATTGATTGTATTTTTTGCCCAAGTGGTCGTTGGTGATGGCAATGACATGAAATTACATTCAGTCCGTTAAAAACATAATTTAGTTTATGACAGAATAGTATGACGATCTAGTTGACGCTGTTTTTTGTTTCTTGAACTGAAAAGCATTTTTTCAGCCTTCATGAGACACATTACGAGTATTCATGAAGATAGCCCGAGAATACTCTGACGGATTACAAAAAATACATCGTCATCCATCAAAAGTGCATGTCATAATTCAATAATACATACTTTATATTGAATCATTATTTCTCGTTATCAGTTCCCTCTTGAATGTTAATCTTCATCAGTTGATAAATCAAATATCAACGTTGAGTCCATTTTTGTTTATCACAAAATAAATCACA